ATAAATTTATTGAAAAATGGTGAGGTAAAATGAGAAATTGGCTTTTGTAATCTCTATATTATTATTACTCCCTCAGGTTATGATCGTATATGAAAAGGTGCCTACAGATTTCTCAAACAGGAGAAAGCAATTCCATTAGTTATGCTTTATAACTATAGCTTCAAAGCTTAAGGATGAATAACACAAACCTTTTTTTCAGAAATCAGCAATATACGTATATCTAATAAATCTATGTTCATAAAGATAACTTAATAATGCTGCCACATTAAATGTAGAAAATTGTAAGAATTTGTAACAATGTTATCAAATGTGTGCAAAAATTTGTATTGATTGACACTTTTTGTTGCAGTATAGTCAAATAAGGGTAATGTAGCAGTGTATGAATAAAATTTGGTACTGAAAGAAGTTAAAACCTACACCCTCACCCCATCAACCCATGAAAGAGGATTTTCGAGTTTGAACAATATGACAATCCCCACCCCACCTCCCACCCACCCCCTTTTTTTTTTGCTCGTCAAGTTTTTTCCAGCTAAGTTGATTTTTTTACTCTGCCTGCCCCCTTTCAAAAGTGCAAAAGCCAATTGAGCAATCTAATTAAAATTAGATCTTCCATTCGCTCCCCGATTTTTTATATGTCGCGAGGAAGATTAGATCAGACATATAAAAAGTCGGGGAGCGAATGGAAGATCTAATTCTTATTATAGAGCTCATTTTCGTAGGTAAAAAATAAATATTTTTCGCGTTATAACGCGTAACTTTCGCGAATCAAATTCAGTCAACAAATGTTATTGTATGTCAATGCATTTCCATGCATCAAATATTTTGTTTGTGTTATTTTCCTAAAAATGCCGATTTATAAGGAGGACCCTACAGTCATTCTACGATAAATGGACCAATTCAGAATAAAAAACATGAAAAAAATAATTGTTTCAAATAGCAAAATGAACATCATAATTCTCTAAAGGACCTATCAGTGAACTTGAAAACAAAGAATTGTCCACAAATCTAGAATCGTTACCTTTTTACAACAATTTCAAGATACCATTGATTTTAAGGTAATGTTACGGAAGTTAATACTTGATCAAGCCTTATTATTTTTTAAATAAGGCTGAATTTGACAATTTTTCGTTTCTGATGTTCAGTAAAGAACGCTAAAGTATGATTCATGAAGTCTCGCATGTATCCGAATTTAAATTAAATTTTCGGGAAAAATATCGTTACGGCAGTTAATCGTTACGGAAGTTAATTCCCAGCAATAAAAGTTAAAATTCTCTTCAATAGTTAAAATCAAAGTTTGTTTTAGGATATTAAACAAAAGTATGAAGCATTTCGCTCCCAAAATAATCAAAAATTTTATATCTTTAATGCAAAAACTTTCCTGAATTACCGTTAAGGAAGTTAAATTTTTAAGAGAGACAACTGTATTTGTCTAACTCATTTTGTTATGTCGAAAATGTAATCGTGTAAAATAGCCGACTCGCAACTAGAATCGATGATATAAGGTTCCGTGGTCACTTTCAGATAAGTTTCAGTTCTTTTTGAAATCTGCATTCTATGCGTGAAATTTAAAACAAAATCGTTACGGAAGTTAATCGATTTTAAGCGACATGCTTATAAATTCGCACGAAAGGAGATCTATGCATTTCTTTGCGAGAAGTGGTTTGATTTCTTTTTATATAGGATAAAAGACATTTTTTAACATTCATTGCACCTGAAAACTTCATCCTGAAATTTGTATATAAATGAAGCGACATTAAGATTTGCAGTGGAATACGTTTTTCAACATTACATTATGTTCATATCAAAACTTTAACTGCATATATATCGGTGAATATTTACAAAACCATGTGCGTATTTTAAGTCTTAGAGTTGAAATCGACCTTTAAATTTATAGTTAAGATATTACAACGGTACATTTGCTAGCGACATAAAAAATTCTTAATTGGTCATGTTTTTGTAGAATGACTGCCTAATGGGCCCAGGGCGAAGCCCTGGTAAGGGTGCAGAGGACGATGCCTCATAAAAACCCGCGAAAGATGAATTTCCAGCATATCTGACAGATAGCTGAATTATTTGATTTTCCCGAAAATTAAAGAGACTTATGTTAAATTATCTGAAATTTAGTATTTAAAACATGTAAAATGCGGATATGTATAACGGACTTTAAAAAAAAAAATTCTTAAATTTTGGATGTTTGGGAAAGGGCGAGGGGGCTCAGAAGCTCTTGAATTTTCAGCATTTTAGACAGATTAAACTTAATTATTTTATAAGAAGGGGGTGGGGCTCAGAAGCGGATGAATTTTCAGCATTTTTGACACTTATGATGTTAAAATTCGTGATACTGGATTGATATTTAAAAAAAAAAAATTAAAGGTATAGATAATGTAAAAGAATTGCAGATCAATTTTAAGCTTTCTGGAAATTCAGCCATTTTCTTTCAAGTAGCTATGGCCCTTAATTTTGACGGAAAATAGAAACAAAGTCTCAGACTGATAAATTCTGGAGTTTTTTAGGAGGTAAACTCTTACGATGTATTTAGAAGAGTTACAGGTCAAGTGAGGCCTCTCCTTTGAGACATTTTTGTCCCTTTACTGCATGGCCCAAAATGTTTTTATTTAAAGTCATCAGGTTTTTTTTTTGGGGGGGGGGGTACTGAATTGAGATATTTGGTACACTACTGTGCATATAGCAGAGTAAATTTGAATTCCAGAAAATGTTGACCCGGCCTTTTTATCAGAATTTTAGTCCTTTATTCACCCCCCCCCCCCAACTAGTTGCGACTCGCCGTTGTACAGCGACTATAAGAATTTTGGAGCGTAACAAAGATCTGGTTTTAATCAGATTGTGGTACACTGGGTATTATTGGCCCTTTACATGTAAACATAAAAAATCCATTTTCCAGAATCTGAATTTATCTCCAAGTGATCAAACTTTGAGATATATGTATTAGATTTAAAATTGGTACAACTGTACAGTTTATTCATTCATGTTTTATATATTGAATGTTAAAGAGTTCCAGATAAACTATGAATTTCAAGAAATTCCAACCTTTATAGTAACAATTATGGCATATGACCAACATAACATTGACAAATTCTGTTTTCCTGAAGCCTTTTTTTTTTTTTAAATTAAACTTGAATATGGTACACTATTCAAGTTTCCTAAGATTCTAAATCTTTTTAAGGGAATAATGCTCTTTATTGGTTGAATTTCGATACTTTCTTTTTCTTTTTGATGACCGATAACCTTTCATACATTAATATTTCCTACATTTTTGCATTCAGCAGAGTTGCTGATTATTAATTGTTAGGAACGCTAACCCCGTCTCATTATATTGTGGTCCACTAAAGCTGAAAACCCATGAAAATCTCACTTCAAGAATCTTAAAGGGTTGCTTGAACTTAAAAACAATGAGCTTTGATTCAAGTTGAAAACAAGTGGTTTATGAGATTCATTATTTTTTTTTTAATTTATTACTGCCTTTATGAAAGTATATTTGAAAAATTTACTTATATAGTGCTATCAAGAATCAGCCCCTAAAAATGTATGTAATATAAAATAAAATTGTAAAGTCTTACAACTTGTTTTCTTTTAAGGCCAAAATTAACAGAGGCTGAATCCAAGTTGAAAATCCTCCCTCACTAGCTAAGCGGGAATAAACCAATACCAAAACACCAAAATAAATCTTATAAAATATGCACCGACAGTGATAAGAGGCAAGGATCCCTTCAGCTGCTGTTTTAAAGATTTAAAGAGCTTTATCATCCAATGAAACACATAACTGCATGTTTCTCTGTGTGTGTGAGTGTCACAACACTGTACCAGATTTTTTCTTAATTTTAAATGAAACCAAAACTCCCAAGCTAAGAACCTTTACTGTATCAAAATACTTTATTGACCATAGATCATAGCAAATATTGGTAAAAAATAAATGATAGTAAACCAAAACTGACCTCATAATATTATAAATATATATTGTAACTCCCTTCATTGAAGGAGGGCCAAAAAAAAAAATGGAGACATCTTGTTAAAGCTAATGCACATGTGAAATATGAAAGTCCTATCTTCTCTCAATCAAAAGTTATTATCAATGTTTAAATTTTTAAAAAGTACTGGTATGTCAAACTTCAAGGTCAAGAGGTAAAAACTTATAGGACATTCGAAAAGGTCTTGTAACAGGTAATGCATGTGAAATACAAAATAAATTATCTTCTTTCATTCAGAAGTTACTAACAATGTGAAAATTGTTTGAAAGTAGATCAAATTTCAAGGACTAGGTCATGGGTTCAAAAAATTTTAAGACATTCTGAAAGGTCTTGTCACAAGTAATGCACATATGAAATATGAAAGCCCTATCGTAATTCTCTCATTCAATACTTATGACCATGCAAGTTGAAAGTTTTTGTGACAGAAGAATGAGAATCAATGTCTCCAGGCTTTTGTGAAAGCAGTGGGCAATAAAGCATCATAATTCTGCAAAACAAGATAATGGATTTCACTAGTTATAAAGTACATAGTGTTGTACACAATACACAATAGAGGAGTTTTTGTTGCTGAAACAAATCAATACACGGTTGGTCATATATTTTAACAGTACATGAGCTGTATAATCATAAACATGATGAAGCAAATACATATGTATAATTATCCTATATTTTCTGTTGATACAATCCTACAATGATATGATGGCAAGGAGACATACTTTTGCTATACTGATTACTAAATGCATGTGGACGTTGTAACAATAAATTAAGAAAATACCATAAATAAAATGTATTTTAAACAGAAATGAAGAAGTTGATGGGGACAATTCATTTGGCATTATTAGCTCTTTGAGAATAGTGATGACGCTAGATATACAAAGACTGTTAGGAAAGTTCATAAACATAAAATGTTTTTCCATTTCTGAGTAATACTTCTTTCTTTTTAAATTTAGCATAAAATTTCAAGTATTTTGAAGCAAAAAATAAATTACAAAGAACTATAAAAGATTATAAAAACACAGTTGCACAATGTTCATTAACATCACACAATTTTAGTCACTCTTTTTCAACATAAGCATCTCACTACCTCCTCAGCTAAAATTTGCTATATTTGATACTTCAGTCTTTTCTACCGATAAAGTTTGATCACCGACTCATAATTATCAATGTGTTAATGACCTTTCCTAACAATCCTCATCAAATCAACTGGCTCCAGGATCACGAAATTTTCTTAAATCTTAAGACTGACTTGAATTTGAGATAGTTTCATGATCCCAGAGCCTGGTCTATAGATTCCTTTTTTTTTTTATAAAATGCATCATTTTATCCATGGATAAAAGACCGGGAAGTGTATACCCTAGTATGAAACAAAACACTAACAGCATCTCAATCAAATTGAAATGATAATAAATCTAACATGTACTTTATAATACATGTATTTCATTTGGTTTTATTTGATTTTATGGCATTTGGTTTTATTTGATTTTATAGAATATGATTTTTTTTCCCTGAACTACAGGAATTTTGTATTGTGAGACTTCCATGTAATTCCATCCCCATCATGTTTTGTCCAGGGGAAAGGAATCAGGAATTGTATACCCCAGTATGGACCAAACACCGACCGCATCTCATCCAAAAAGTTGGTCTGGTAAATTTTTTTCCCCTTCACAAACTCGTAACTTGTTTGACCATTTAAGATAAGACTGAACTGCCAAAAAAACATGTACATACAGAAAAGTCCTGTGGACAGTACAAGATAACACCAAAATATGGTTAAAAATGTATAAAATGAGGATTTGCCAATGATTGTTATAACAAGTGCGTAAGGCAGGAAATATTTGAAAAATTCTGAACCTAAAAAGGAAACATAATGGATGCTTAAATATTGTTCTAAGTAATACAGTGCAATAGTTGTGCCTATGATGCCATAAAATGACCACAAAATAAAGTGTCTTTGATTGTGAAAGCCAATGCAACAACCGGTGAAGAAGCAATGGTGGTCTCTCTTGAGAATGCAGCGTTCACAGATGTTGCAATGTCTGGCTCTGGGAGGGACATTTTGGTCACATTTGGTACATTTTGTCCAGTCCTCATGTGTAGCATCATTAAACAAAGGCAAATCTGAGGCTGTGCTGTAAACAGACTTTAAACTTGTTATGATAGTCAGAACCCATTGTCCTATTGCATTAAGGGTAAGGTACCAGAAAAATAGCCGATGGTAAAACAAGGAAAATTCTGGATCTTGTAGCTCGTTGTGGAAAATCCCTGGCAGGCACACACTGGAAGCCACCCAGTGCAAAAGGAAGATAAACACAATGACATATAGCATTCCACCATAGTTAATAAGAACAAGTATGTTTTTAGTGAGTAAGGGTCTGTGAGTGGGGGGTCTGTCTTGGTAAGTGTCCATTGTGAGCACCAGACTCTGTGTGAACTCAAAAAACTTCACAAATAAATTCAACATGATGATTTTCACTGACTCCACTGTAGTCAAATGTCTGTAAATAAAAACAAAAAATATTACAGCATAATAGATACTAATTTCAAGGATTCATTCAAATTAACATTAAAGATGGTTTGTATAGCAGAATCAAAACAGCTTGTGCCATTTTTAAGAAGTCCAATTATTCATTTTGTGCTAGTTACAAACAGGAACCTGAATCTCAATGTTAAAAACAACATAAAGGGCCTAAAATAAAATATTGTTTGTTAACAGTTACCTACTGACCCACTATAAATGCACCTGACCTTTTATTCCATCCATTTTTTGATTGTGTGTGTGTGTGTGGGTGTGTGCAAGTTTCTAGTTTTCAAGGTATTAAAACTGTTTCATTTTCTATTATTGATGTTTATAAAAGACTTAAATTTAATGGAGCTTGCTCTGCAGGTGAATAAACATTTTGTAACCCTATGAAAATCCCTATGATTTGTTATGTAACAAAAATCCTGAAAACTAAAATGAATTTTTTTCCAAGAAAAAAAAAACTACAAACCTAGATACCTACCTACTAACTCTAACTGCAAACAAAGAATTTTTTAAGCTTGGTCTAGTAAAATGATGAAAGTGACAGCCAGCTACTATTGTGTGATATGGTCAGCATCTACACTGTGTTAAGTAAAAAAAAGTCTTGGTTTCCCAAGTTAAATGTCTTAAGTGGTGTCCAATAAAAAGTTTACTTCTCTCTTTCCCCCTACAAACATCCTGTAATACTGAAAACCGGGACCAAAGATTGGCAAAATCTCTTGATTAAGCTTTAATTGATATACAAGCCTTTCAAAATCTGTCAGTATCTGGTACTTTTACCAAGCTGAAATAATGATTGTACTGGCCAAAATATTTGATGGAGAAAAATTTGATAACATATTTAATTAAAATTGCTTCTACGATGTACCTCCTATATTTGTAAAAGTATTGCCTGTTTCTAATCTTTCTTTTTTTTTTGAAAGCCCTAGATATAGCTTGAATCACATATATCTTTAAATCACCTATTTCTCAATTACATCTCTTCTAAAGTGAAATGTAATGATAGTGAACAGTGATCATGCTCAAAAGTCCACAAAAAAACAATATAAATTGAGAGCCAATGCGGGCCTCTGAAAACAGATGTGGGATCAGGTGCCATGGAGGAGTAAGCATCCCTGTTGACCAGTCACAACCGCCATGCAGTCCTTGTCATGATTGGGTAAACTGAAAATCCGTAGACAATTCAAAGTGAAAATAATGGCCTAACAATTTGTATGAAAGACATCAGTCAACATAATGAGAGACTATATTTGAAAAGATCATAGTATCAATCATAGAATTTGCAAAATGTTGACTTTAATTAAAATGATATTGTTGATATCCATGTATCATCAACTTAATAGTCAATAGACAGTCTCGTTTTAGAAATTTGTCTTATGTAGAATACACTCTTATTCTATGCTTAAAAGTGTTCAAAAACAACGTTTAAACTATCTTTGCTCTCAGGGTTGCTTGTTTAAAAAAAGTTCATGGTATAAATATTAGTAGTCACATACATCACAGGGCCATATTATCCGCTCTGTTCTCTATTACACATGTAATGGAGAAAAGAGTGGGTAAATTGCCCTTTTGCAAACATGCGTCTATTTTAAATAACAAGCAAATTTGTGAAAACTTGCATTTAAATGGCTAAATAAGACAACTTCAAGTACCTACGGTAGGTAATTCAAGCTATGTAGTTAAATGTACTGACTGTACTGGACCTAATAGAAATGCTTACCCCTGTTACATTACACAGGTCTCACACAATTGCTTGATTTAGCTATATAGCTTGAAATAGCTATAAAGCTTTATTAAGCTATTCAAAATAGCTTGATTTACAATGTAGCTATTTAGTAATAGTACTTTTTTCTTATTACAGTCAGGGGCATAATGCAAACAGGTTATTTGAAAAATAAGTTATTTTATGCATACAATTTTTTTCTCAATGATAACTTATATTACTTTTATATCCTACTTGGACATTGATTTCTTGGGGGTTTTGAATTTCCTGCAAAAATGTATTGCATTTTGGGATATTCCATTATGTAATACAAGATGGAGTGCACAGACTCCAATGGAGAATTGGTGAGAAGGTGGAGATAAATAGCATTTTACTTCTTATTTTGAGGTGTTATTTACATTGTTTTGGTCAAGTTTTTATATTTAAATAAACATTGTTTCCCAAGATTTTGAACAATTTTTCTGGATTGAGCAAGGTTTCAATTTAACCAAACATTTATTTTTGTCTTGATGCACGCGAGCATGGGATGTGAAATTGGGGGGGGGGGGGGGGGATAACACAAAATAACTGAAACAAGTTATCATTTTATTGAAACTATTTTACTAATGAAGGGAAAAAGTAGGACAGAAGCTAAGAGAGGTAACTCACTGTGACAAAAAATAACTCTGTTGAGTTATTTTTGGCAATAACTTCTTTGTATTATGTCCCTGACTGTTAAATGTGCATTTTTTAAGCATGTAAAAAAAAGTTGCACTTTGGTGCAATGATAGTTTTTAACTTTGTCTTGTTCTAAAAACAATGCATGAAAAAATTAATCATCAAACCATGTCTCCTCAATAGACTTTGCACTCAAAGTTCTAAAAGTTTTGGGGCTATATAAACATGTTGATATATAAACATGATATAAAGCAATTGATATGTGACCACAGTTACTTCTTGAATGAAATTGTATAGCTGGTCAATTCTGGTCAACAAGATAATTGATTGGTAATAATTCAGCACAATGTGAAGTAATCATACTTATCCATGCCTCACCACAAAAGGTGGTTTACAGTTAAGGACATACACAACGTAGTTTGAACTTTGTCTTTTTCCCTGGAGTTGAAGAGTTCCAATACTCGAAGGAACAGTGTGCTACATTTTAATGTCTATATATGCTGTTGTACACTTCTTCTAAAACAAGTTTGGATAAACAAAACATCTAGAATATATGTTTAGTAATTTTTGTATATTTTCTACAAGAATTTTCATCGGTATCTTTTCAAAACCCCTGGTAAGTGGTAATGCATGCTGATTTTTTGTCTACGAATATCTGATGGCACTATAGTCTTAAAGTAAAAATATCTTGAAAAATTGTCAGTAGGTATACATAGCTATTTCAAGTTTATTCTCTTTAGAGAAGTGGACAGGCTTTCGCCTACATCCACTTCTCTTCGCAAGCCTTCATGTTTTGATTCTGGAAAACGTGTAAATCTCGAACCGGTGACGGTCTACACTTTAACTGACATTTCGTCTAAAATATGTCTGAATGTACGTAATAGACGTGTTATATTATCAATTTTAACATAAATACACACAATTGTCACAAGAAAACTGACCTTTAAGTATTGTTAATCCATTTTCACAAGTTCTCCATCCCGGATTTAAACTAATGTTTATCTACCACAGCTTATTAGAAAAAATTGAAAATTTTAAGTCGGATAATTTGGAAAGATTGGCGAAGACGTATTTTAATGTTCAAAAAAGTTTTTGACAATTCACTTTTGATTTAGCATATTATTCAAAATTCATATTATTACCTATACTTATTTTTACTATTTTAATACAATTTAAATGTAAATTTGAGCTTAAAAAATATTTCATTACTTCCTCACTGACAATATAAAAAATATGTTCTTTTATTTTTAAACGATATTAACTCTACCTTTCCCGAGAAATGAAAAAAGATTTAAAACAAAGACGAAAAGAATTTGAACGAAACTTGAGGAAAGACTGTCTCATTAGTTTAAACAGAGTAGACGATTTCTCTTGTTTCATTATTATTTTGTAAAAATAGTTTCCATTTTTGTCCGAATTAGAGATTTTTGAATACTTCAAGAGTTACTTGCACATAATTTAAATCCGGGATGGAGAACTTGTGAAAATGGATTAACAATACTTAAAGGTCAGTTTTCTTGTGACAATTGTGTGTATTTATGTTAAAATTGATAATATAACACGTCTATTACGTACATTCAGACATATTTTAGACGAAATGTCAGTTAAAGTGTAGACCGTCACCGGTTCGAGATTTACACGTTTTCCAGAATCAAAACATGAAGGCTTGCGAAGAGAAGTGGATGTAGGCAAAGCCTGTCCACTTCTCTAAAGAAACTATTTCAAGTTAAATCAAGAGATTGTGCTGGATCTGTACATGTAACGTTAATTTAAAGTGCCCCCAAAAATTATGCAGAAATGCCTCCTTCTAAATCAATGATATAATGATTCTCTTGTTGAAATGTTTTGCTACCTTTGTTTGCTGCTGCCTCACGGTATTTCGAAATTATAAGTCCTTTCCTAACATCATGATCATCTCCACTATCGCTGCAATTTTGAAGAGGTATTCCGAAAATGGGAACCAGCCTAATTTTTTTTACAAGTAACTTGTACCACAACTTATTCGTGTGTGTTCGTTTTTGTTGAAAATTTAATAAAGTAAAAATTAGGGCATACCTTTTTTCAAAACTTTTTAAACGTATTTACTGACGATGCTAATATTGAACTATGCACGTTGATGAATCCACATATTCACCAGACGAAGTGCATGTTTTTTCATCTATATAAGTAAACAACAACTTTCTCTTTCAGACATTTTCTCCTGATGGTAAATATGGCTGTAAGTTACTCTTTGTAAAAAATGAATCTCAGAATCCAATAAATATTTTTAATAGTTTATAAAATATCTTTAGATTTTTCAGCATCTCAGCCAATATTTTAACAATTTAAGGGCAGACGATACGTTCCTCAATAATACATAATTTTTTTACAAGATTTTGTCATTGAAGTATTGCTACTTTAATATGCTTACTCACAAAAAAATGAGGTACCTTACTAGGCATTTGTGCAAGATACCAGAGGATATTTTTTCTTGTATAATCCTTTTGGAAAAAAATTAATTTGCCAATATCAAATTTTTTACTGTTTAGATTTTTAAAAGACGATTAGAAACTGGCTTAGAAATCAGAAGGTAATTAAAATTTTGAATATTTTTCATACATTACAAAGATATACAAAACAGATATTTGAGGAACGTATCGTCTGACCTTAAATATCTTTATTATTCAACGATCCTCTATAAACTAATAAAAACAAATGTTTTTTGAACAGAGAGAAATTTAATGTACATGAAGCATTTCGTAAAGGAGAGAATATTGAGCTATCTAATTATCATTTACAACAAAATGAACCTGTAGTTCTCCCGGCACAGCAAAATTGTTCATTGATAAAGAAATATATAAAGTAGGGAAACACGCAAATAAATTATTGAACTACTTTATATTGGTCTGACATAATATTAAGAACACGGTTTAGGAAATAAATGAAATTCATGATTTCACATTTTTACTTGGGGGGGGGGGGGTTAGAATGGAGAGAGAGAATATTTTTATATCTTTAAAGCGTTTCTTTCTTTTTTTATAATAAATTATTGCAGCATTTTTTAATTTCATTATTCATTATTAATTTTTTTTATTTCTTTATATAGGCCTATATATATTTTTTGTTTTGTTTTGAATGAAATATCCATTTTTCCAAACATCACGAATATTTCTCTCTCGACATGTCAAGAATTTGACTGGTTCCCTACCCTTTCATTCTTCGGTGAAGGTCATCTTCAAAAATCGAGAAAATTGAACTTATTAGAGTTTAAAAAACGAATTAAATAAAGAACTGCTGGGAAAATTATGCCGACCTTCAAGGTAAAATATATTTATTATTAAAAATCAGTTCATTTCCTTAAGTCTTACTTACTTACGAAACCGCGGTATGGAATCTTTTTTAATCAACAGACTCAATCGTTCCGCCATTTTTTAACACAACTATGTATTTTGTGTCAACCATGTAAACAACAACACATGGGCTGCAATTTCAAAGTATTTTACCGGAAAAAAAACAGAAATTAATAAAACGGGTTTTTAAACAAGATATAGGCCTAGCTCACGTAAGTCCGGTGGCGTGATAGATTAGCAGGATGGAAAAGAAATAAGGAATATGGGCATATATAGCAAGAAAATAAGTCCGAGTCATTTCGCAGGAAGACTTTTCTTGAGTTTTACATGTACCTGCTTGTTTTGCTTAATGAAACTCCCTTTGTTATAGAGGATCTATAAAATGCGACAGATCAGACCAGGAACTGAACCTAAGCCACCTTAAATCATGCACTTCCTGTTACTGGTCCAGTAGTATTTGTTACTATGTGCCTTAATTAATATATAGATAAAGCTATAGAAATGATATGGTGCATCTACGTATGTCACCAGTCTCGATTTGGAGCCTGTATCACAGTTGCATGCATAGTTTCCCATACAAGTTATTACTTTTTATTTTTTAACTCATCTCTACATAGCTGAGATGAGCCAATGAATGAATTACCTACTCTGTGTTATAAATTTTAGACAATGTTTATTCCCATTTGAAAACTAATATAATAGTTTCATGATTAAACTTAACCAGGTAACTCTTGGACCAAATTTGCAATGATGATGAAGCAGCTAGGGAAGCATATAAAGTGCTGTAGTATTGCTTTAGTCTTCCTTTAGATTCTGTATTTTTCTACTTATATGTTAGGAATGACTCTAATTCTTGGCCAAATTATTTGAGTATAACTTGGTTTTGGTCAGTTTACGCTTTATATTCCGTGAAGCGTAAACTGACCCAAACCAGGTTATACTTGAATAATTTGGCCAAGAATTAGAGTCATTCCTTATAATTTAATTTTTAAAATCATTAAATAACTATGGGTGTAAAATTTCGTTGCTTTTTTATTATTTCAAATTTGCCGCTCAATAATACAACTGTAGTAACGGAAGTGATGGGAGGTAAAAACTGATACATAGGCCTAGCAGCCTTGTTGTTTGTTTACATGTGGTAAGATCGAATTATTGTTTGAAGTTAAAGGTACATTTATTAAATCTGGAATTTTCCATGAATCCCGAGGACTGGAAATGAGAGGATTGTATGGATACAGATGATTTAGCTGGTTGTCAGGGGGGTGTGTCCCCATACCAAACCAGGTTATACAGAAATAATTTGTGTTCCTTTTTGGATATTAACCAATCAGAGGCTAGAATACAAACAAAATTAAATTATTTTTCTCTTTTCCTCTTTTTTTTATTAAGGTGATTTTCATAACAAATGCATTTTTTAAAAAGGAAAATCAAACATGATGCATGAAATTGTCTTCTATGCAGAGGATCATCAGATTGTGTGGTAATGTGAAGACTTGTTTGAAAGTTAAGCTTCACTTCATGGACTACACATTTTCAATATTACCCCAGAATGAAACAAAAAAAAAAAAAATGAATAAATAATAAAACCAGGTTGTTCTATAACTTTAGCATCTGATTTTATCTTAATATATACAAGCACATTGTATTTGTTTTAATAGACTATTTAAGAAGATCAGAGAAGACCCATGAATTATGGAATACACCTGGGAAGGTAATGGACTTCCAGATCAATTATCATATATACTAATTAGCTATGGATTAAAATACTAGCTATCTCCTATTTAAAAGATATGTAAATCCAGGTTGCAAATCTTTCATGCGTGAACAGTACACTCTTTAGCTCTGTCAAGAACAAAGAGGGAAAAAGAGTATTGAATAGTAACCAATGACAAAAAGTAAATACATGCCATGTAAAAGGGAAATTTAGCATTCACTTTATTTTGTCAGAATTGGCAATGATAATAATGATATCAGCTATACTTAAATATATATTTGCCAGAATTTTATACCAAAGTTCAATTTGCTTAATTTCTTTTTTAATATATATAAAATGTAATTTCATCTTTTAAAGTGATCTTTACTTGTTCGAAAAAGTACTTAATTTATGAAACCACACATTTAGTACATGTACCTGTATTAGTAAACACATGTAGTTTGTCAGTTTTTACATTCATGGATATCTACAGGACTCGAGCCTTTCACTTTCTCCAGACATGTAATAATGTAGTCATAACTTCACATGAAATATTTGATGAATTAACTGCCTGTGCTGTTGATCAGTAATAAAGAATTCAGTCTATTTACAGGTTGTAATGTTTGTGGTGAGAACCACACCACAGAATGCTGTCCAGAGCTCGGACTTCTGCCATCGGAAATTCAAAATCCAGCCACCACTAAGTAATATATGCTAGAATGTAACATTTGTAGTTAGAAATAACTATTTTGATTTTTTTTACAAGTCATTTCATTATAAACACAGTAAAATAAGTGAATACTGATGTAAAACCTGTCAATCTGATTAAAATCAGATCTTTGGTAAGCTCTGAAATTCTGATAGTGGCTGTACACAAAGCTTTGTATCAAAGGTGTGATTTTATTCAGCGCAGCTATGTTAAGTCTTCCCGAAGCTTTAAAATGTGCTCAAAACATAATATGTCATTGCGAGGTCGGTTTTGGTTTTAATTTATAAGTATTGAACTTTAGTACTTCCAATTTATATAAAGGGTTTCCTCGGCTATATATTAGCATATCTGTTATGATATCACATGACTTTGTTGATCACGTGACGGTCATTTCTAATTTTTTGAAGTGTTTCATATAAATCGCTTCAGCGCAGCTGATTAACACAATAATTATTAACATTTTGTTATATAAATAAACTCACCGTATCCTCGTGGATCCGAAATGTGCTTGGGAAAAGTCATAGTATTACTTGAGTACAAAATATTTCCTAAGAAATTCAACTTACCTACAAATTTGAGGGTATTTTCCACACAATATCATAATATGTATTAAAACAAAGCCAACACACATTTTTCCCAAGCAAGATTCAGTTAGAGAACAACCTCTTCTTACAGATTTCCACAAAAATTCTCAGATTAATCCTCATTAATCACCTGCGCCAGACTCTTTTATACACACAAAATAAATTCTACCTCCAACCACGGGTATAAAATAGAGTACATTTCAAAAGTATATTTTTCATAAGCATTTTGAACATGATGAATTTCAATCAAGGGTAGGTAAGCAGTGTATTTTTAAAATATTCGGACATATAAGACTTAAAAAACCTTTAACGACCCGTGAATTTTGCAATAGCTACCTGGTATCTAGCATTTTACATGCAGTTTGAAATAAAGTGTAAAGTTCATGACACTCTCCCCGTCATAACACCTCAAGTTTGCAGTGACCTGACGTCATTTTCCATTATGATGTCATATTTTGGTAGTTCAGAGATGTGAAGGCACAGAGTGCACTGTCATATTCTACAGGAAGCCTTAACATACCTGCAAGATTACAACGACTATCAAAATTTCGGGTCAATGATCTGATTTTAAAGCAATATGAGCTGCATTTGTGAGAATTTCATTTTGCTGTTAAAATATGTTATAATGATAAATTTGAAATGTATGTAATTGAAACCTTGATGATCAATTAGACTTAAATAAACTATTAAATTGCTTCAGAAGAAAGATTCTGTACAGTCGATATTATAGTATTACATGTACTGTATGAGTACATAAATTGGCGTATTCAAAATTAAGCGCAATCACTGGGTATGGAGTTGTATGGCATAATCATGAATTAGTGTTACACATGTCCATGCCATGTATTGCATTAATAAATGATTTTTTAGTGGTATTCATGAATTAGTGCATCGCTGTCCATGCCAAAGCTGCTAAAATATGACAGACTGAGTAATGTATTTTGCTTTAATCAAAGTTTGTAAATAGTTCTTCCATCGCAAATAAGAACATTAAAAGTTTATAAATGTTCTTTTTTTCTGTCATTAGAATTGTTAATTACAATTTTGCAACAAAAATGCTCGACATCAAAGTTCATATTGCTTTAATCAGATTGAAAGTCTGTGTTCCTATTTAAGGAATGTTTTTTTTGTTTGAATAAGTATCCTTATATAAGCTTACCACGTACATGTATATATATACCTAACACAGTGATAATGACCCCCATTACAGTAAGTTTAAATGAGTAAGAGATCACATTTTTACTATTGATTGGACATTGCAGAGCCAGATTAACTCTGCCCCACTCCATGTGTGTGGTAGATTTAGGGGGACAGGAAGTGGCAGTGGTTGCTCAGAGTCCAATAAACAGGAAGACCCAGTATGGCCCGTTTGAAGCCAAAAAGACAACACATGAATTCAATGATGATTCCTTATTTCTTCTGAAGGTTGGAACACATACAAGTACATGTATATTGATTAAATTTTGAACTTTGTTCACAGTAGAAGAAGAAGTGCCCTTGTTTTATGGGAGAAATGAGAACCTGCATACTTACATTTGAATTCAAAAGTTAGAATGAATATTCGATTTCCTTAGAAATGATTGCTGTAATAGAGTTTGTTTTTACACTAGTAATTTATTGCAAATTAATTAATGTTGATGTGATTTTAAGGAAAACATATTTTCCCAGCAGTGTTGAGATTATTTTTACAAACATACAAAGGAAATAATGTGAATGATGTAAATAAGACTAAAAATCTTTTGTGTACTGCTACAGTAGTTTATTTTATTGCAGGTGATATTTAGAGATTCCATTGTTAGTCTGGATACAACAAGTGAAAATGAATGTAATTGGTTGTGTCTGGTGCGAGCTGCAACTGATTCCAGTATGTAAAACTAAACATTGCATTGCCCATTTGTACAACTCATTGTGAAATGCAAGTAAATTAAATGAAAAAAAAATAAGCATGTTAAGAATTTCATAATGGAGTAAAACAGAATTTATTAAGTAAACCCTAACTTTATACAGTTTTTTTGTGGAATGTTATTGGAATGTTTGTTTTTGTTTTTCCTGTAAAGAGGTGATATTTGTAATTTATTAGATGAGCAGAACATGATAGCTTACCAGATGGGAACCAGCATATACTACAGCACAATCAGAGACATAGTCGTGGGGGAGGAACTCAAGGTCTGGTATGCTCCTCCATATGCCAAGAAAATCGGCAAAAGCGTCGTACCTGATGGAGTTAGCAGAGGTAAATCAGTATTTCTTTGAGATAATGGATAATAAATCTTTTTATAACTCAGACATATCATTGTATGAATGACAGGCCTCTAAGTGACCTCTAAAATTTAGGTGCCAGCTGTCTCCTCCTTATCAAAAAAGTTTAGTCTCCAGTGCAAATTTTTAGTCGCCAGGCAAATTTTTCTTAAGCACCAATTTTAAAAGCTTATACATGTATTAGTCAATACAGGGACCATTGGGGGTAGTGAAGAAAGGGCGTGTCTAGTGTCCCTTCCATTTTGAAAGTGGAGGTACAAGAGTATCTATATCCCTCTCCCCTGCTCTCCAGGTCGCAATAGTAATGTAGGAAATAGGAGGTACAGTAACAAGGGAATGCTCAAAGTAGAATTGTAAAAAGACCGTTTTTGCGATTCAAATATTGTATACTTGACTGAATCCCTGCCCCCGTCTTTTAACTTTCTGCATGCAATCAATGCATTTGCAAAAAAAAAATGCGGTAGAGAAATTTTAGGCGCCAATCAAAAATTTTATGCACCATGGCGACTAAATAAGTCACCAATTAGAGCCTCAAATGATAAAGTAGATAGCTGACTATTAGAAATAATACCATACAGGGCCATTACTATTCAGTTCATTATAATTTGGCCTAAATTCAAATATTTTTACCTCACCTCGACGAAGTCGTGATGAGCTTATGCTATACCCCTGGTGTCGGCATCCCGGTTTAAGTTTTAGGAGCAAGTCCATTCCCAAGTAACTATAAGCCCTACCTGGACCAAACTTGCATGGATGATGCATCTAGGGATTGACACTACCACACTTGCTTCGGATGCTGGATCTGACCTAGATTTTCCCAAGTAACTATAAGTCGTACCTGGACCAAACTTGCATGTATGATGTATCCAGGGATAGACACTACCACATATGCTTCGGATGCTGGATCTGACCTAGATTTTCCAGATAAGTGACTAGATTAAAGTTTTTGGAGCAGGTTCATTCCAAGGAACTATAAGCCCTACCTTGAGCAAACTTAAATGTATGATGCATCCAGGGATGGACACTACCACACTTGCTTCGTATGCTGTATATGAGCTAGATTTTCCACATGAGTGACCAGGTTAAGATTTTGGAGCAAGTTCATTCCCAAGTAAATATAAGATCTATCTGGACCAAACTTGCTTGGATGATGCAGCATCTAGGGATGGACACTAACCAACCTGCTTCCGATGCTGGATCTGACCCAGATTTTCCACATGAGTGAATTTTAGCCATATTTTAACCAAATTAGCATGGATGATGTATCTAGGGATAGACACTTCCAGACTTGCTTTGGGTTCTGAATCTGACCTACATTTTCCAGATGAGTGACAAGGTAATTTTTTGGGAGTAGCTATATAATATTATGGCCTGTTATGATTAAACTTGCATATATGGTGCATCTAAGGATGAAAACTTTCAGACTCGCTTTGGATGTTGAAACTGACCAAAATTTTCTTGATGAGTAAACAGGTTAAAAAAAGTTTTTTTAACACATCTATTTCCAAGTAACTATAAGTTCTACTTAAACCAAACTTTCATGGATATTGATCTTGGGATGTACACTAACTAGAAAAAAAAATATGATGTGAAATTTGCCTTGCTAATAGATAACATTAGTCGAGGTGAGCTTCGTAATCTTTGATTAGGCCAAATAAAAAAATATGTGTGGTTCCGGTTACCCGACCTTCCCTATTTTATACCCCCGACCCTAAACTTTTTTTGGCAATTTTCATATTTTTTCTGCAATTTTCCCCGATTTCCATCAATGGCTCCAGTTTAGGTTTTAGTTTCAGCAATGACGGCCTCCTTTCAAAACGTAGTGCAAGTGTTTAATAGTGTTAAATCCAAAGCAAGCTGGCATGTAGGTGTCCCCTACCAATATTGACTAGTATATTATCACACCACATCTAAATGCCATTTGCAAAGCAGTTATAGGTATTATTTAGAAAAAATTAAGAAAATCATTTTGTTTAAAAAAAAAAAAAAAAAAAAAAAAAAAAAAAAAATCCCTACCTACCTACCCTAATTTTTTTGGAAGTGTAACCGGAACCACACATATTTTTTTGTTTGGCCTTATCTATATTTTTTTTTTCAGAAAATACAGTACTTAGTTGGATTGCTATTGCTTGGATCATATTAATTTGTTGTTCCATTTGTCAATGAACACAGCATACAATGTTAATGACCAAACTCAAAAGAAAAAGGCAATTGTTAAAATGTAGAGAATTGATTGTCAAATAGTCATAGATTTAAAATTTATTTTTCTCATTATGAGGATTTTAATTTGTAGTAATGCTAAATATGGAGGTGATATACCCCTCCATTGATGAGGTTCAGGAGAGTCTACCCCTCGAGGTCCCACAGGAACGTCCAACTCAGGGAGAGACAACTCTGCAGGGTAACACTCTAGCTAATGAGAGCAACTTGATTCAATCAGAAGGCGGGGAGCAGGAGTTGTTACAGATGACAAATAATACAGAAAAGACAGATAGAGAGCAGCAGACCATGTCTGTATTAGAGGTATATATTGTGATTTCATGATTTTTCGTTGAACGTCAATTTTCATTGTTTTTATAGTTCAAATTAGGTCATCAATGGACAGCTAATATCACTAATGAAGGAATTGGACAAGGTATCTGTCAACGAATTTACATGTCAAATTAATGAAACCATATTACATGTACATATGATTTGTTCTACTGACTACAGATGCAGTTGTTGTCTGATAAGTTATCACTCAGGATTTGCACCATTTTCCTTCCAAACTGTTGGCTATAAATAAGCATGACAGTTTTGAAACAGGATATTACATGTATTTTGAGATCTACATCTGAATAGTTATGAAATCTCAACAATAATATTCAAATAAAAGATCATAAAGAAAGAACATGAGTCTAAAAAATGACTATTTCTGGGGTAGTGAAATGTCTTGTAAGCACAGTCCACATTCAGAACGGTAGTTATCTATACTTCAGCAGGCAGCCTCAGCTAGCACCACAGAGACTAAGGAGCCTGAGACTGATGTTGTCACAGAGCGCACTGACCTACCCAAACATCCCTGTCAGCGCTGTGAACAAATTTTCACCTCGGAGAATGATCTGGCTCATCATCTAATTCTTCACATCACTCAGACTGAGGAGTAGGTTCTTATTCATCTCATATGGAGTACTGATGATATTCAATGCAATTTGGCTAATAGATAAAATTTAGGAAAAAATGATTCATTAGAAAAAAAATGATGATTTGTTCATTTCACTGTAAACCAACTTTCTTTTGAATATAAAAAAATCTTTGCAAGTTTTTTAAGGACAGTTGAATGGTGAAAGTTAATTGCTGTGATTGAGAAAAGGTTAGAAAGCAAACACAATTTAGATTTATTGCATACATTGTCATGCATGTATTTAATGAAAATCAATTTTTTTTATTTTTCTAAACTAGAAAGCGTAAAAGAGGAAGACATCCGAAAAATCATAATGCCGTAAATGCAGATGGGGAATTGCAAGAAAATCAAGAAGATGGCAAAGAGCAGCCGGCTGAGGAGGACTGGGAGGAACTGGAAAATGATGACCCCAGTGACCCAGACTTCACCGATGCCAGTAAGGTGGCCTTCACTGTGTATGAATTGTCATATACAGACCGACCAAGGAGGAGCATGAGGAGCAGACGGAAGATAGACAAAGACTTCCTGTATCTCTCAAATGCTAAAAAGTCAAGAAAAACCATTGAGAGAAAGGAATTGTCTAGTGAGAATTCTTCAGAAGAGACTCAGGGTTCAGAATCTGAGGATGTGAGAAAAACTAATGAGAAAAGTCAGAGAGAAAGAGGAAGTGATAATCATCAGGGCAAAGCAAAGAGGGGGAGGGGCCGACCAAGAAAGTATCCAATCAAAAATCAAGAGAATGTTGAGAAAGCTCCATATGCTGATATCCATGTACAACCTACTCTAATGGAAGGTGAAAAAACCAAAGGAGATGCTGAAGATGAGGTTTGTGATGTTGAATCTAGTAATTTTAAAAATCTATCAGATCCAAAAGACAAAGCTGAAACTGATGTAGCCCTAGAGCAGGGAAATGAGAATTATTCAGCAGTAGATCATTTTGATTCTGGAGAAACAAAAGAACAGCCTAACCACGTTGTGCCCTCAGTTGCACTACTGGAAACAGAAAATGTGATGAATTCAGATTGTACAACAGAAGAAATCAGAGAAATGAAAAAAGTTGCTGTCTCAGAGGAAATAATTTCTGAAGGAGAAGCAGACAATGAAAAAACTGCATCAAACTGCTCCACATCAGTGACTAAAATTGGTGACGATGCCAATGAATCAGAAGGGAATGACACACAGCTGCCCGGCGACCAGCAGTGTGAGCCAGAAGAAAACATGAATACAACAAAACAGAAAATAGAGTTAGAAATGGATGTTGATGAGATCATGGAACCTCTTACCAACATTGATGATAAAGCAGTTATGAGTGAAATGAAAAGAATCAAAGCTCTTCAGAAACTAAGTTCCAAATACAAGCATGTGTGTAAACACTGTGGGAAACATTTTAAAAGCATACATTATCTCAAGTTACACATACCAATGCACACTGGGAAGTTTTCTTGCAAGTTCTGTGGATTTAACTTTGCCAGAAAGGATAGTATGCTTAAACATGACTGTAAAATGAAGAAAGTTATTAAACTACTGGAAAAAGACGGGAAAGACATTTTTCAGTGTTTGCTGTGTTTGATAGAAATGGAGGACATAAAGGAGGCAAGGGAACATTATTTATCCCATAAAAAGGACTTGAGATGTATTAACTGTAATGAGGTATTTGGTAAACAGCAGTTGCTTAGGGACCACATCTGTCCTAATGCATCAGAGAAACCCATCAAATGTGACATCTGTAAACACCCATTTCCTTCACAGAAATCACTGATGCGACATCTGGCCATACACACAAACATTTTTCAATGCCCAAATTGCCTTAAGACATTTGCCAGAAAAGATTCTCAGTTGAAACACATTTTGGTGTGTTGTCCTGAAAGAGCTGAAGAATACAAGGTTTATGCTTGTAGCAAATGTCGGAAAGGGTTCGCCACTAAGCTTGGCCTTGATAATCACGAGGCCCAGTGTCAACAGGAGTTCTGTGATAACTGTAACAAAGTGTTTGATTCTGTAGATATGCTAAGGATACACCAAGAGACATGTAAGCAAGTTATTAACTATGTCAAGAAAGATAAAGTCCTTTTTTCCTGTGGTCTCTGCAAGAAGTCATTCAGAAATCTGAACTACTTAAATCGGCATAAGGAAATGCATAGAGATCAGCTGGAGTGTAACATTTGTAAAAAGATATTTAAAGCACCTAGTGATCTAGATGACCATGTGCGCTTTTGTGTGGCTAACAGTATTATTAGTGAAAAAGGAAGTGCAGCATGTGAAATCTGTGGTACCTTCTTTTATTCAACCAAGGCCTTTAGAGAACACTATCAAACCCACACCCATCCCTATAGCTGTGACAGGTGTAAGAAACGATTTATCAAGATTGGAACTCTTCACACTCATCAGTGCCTACAGGATACCTCTCTCATGGAATGTCACCATTGTCAACAAAAGTTTCCTGGCCAGACGGCACTGAAAGCTCACATCAAAAAGGAGCATAGGAGGACAATACAATGTAAGGTCTGTCTGAAGAACTTCCTGGCTTATAAAGAATATGAGACACATACGTGTGTTGATGAATTTGGCAACCCTGCAGAATTTGTTGCAGAGAGAGACATGAATTTGCTGGGAGATAAACCCATCTGTCATGTGTGCGGGAAAGAATTTACAACCACAAGCAATCTTAATAAACATGTTAAAATACATGGTGAGAAAAAAGTAGAGTGTGAACACTGTGGGAAGAAATTTCATCATGAGGAATATCTGAAGGTGCATGTTGAAGGAGTTCATGAGAAAAAGCACAAATTCCAGTGTGAAGAATGTGGAAAATTTCTGACATCCAAACCAGGTCTTGTCTCTCATATGAAACAGTTTCACTCAGATGAGAAGGTGGTGTATCCTTGCTCAGAGTGTGGAAAAGTCTTCAATCAGAAGGGAAACCGCAAGATTCACATGTTTTCTCATATGAAAGAGAAACTTTTTAAATGTGATGAATGTGATAAAATGTTTAAGTATCCTGAACAGCTAAAGAAACACAGATTTATACACTCAGCTGGGGAGAAATTGAAATGCGAATCTTGTGACAAATTGTTTCCAAAGCAAGCTGATTTAGAGAAGCACATGCAAACAGCACATAGTGGACTTATGTATGTGTGCAACATTTGTAATTCCCGCTGTGCACACAAACATACATTGCTCAGACATTACAAAAGGAAGCATCCCGAGTACATAATATCCAGGGAAGATGGTTTTGTGAATTCATTGGTCCAGAGAGTCGATATTGGAGAGGAAGCCCCAGTGGTAGCTTACAGTTACGTAAATGACGCCATTAGTGTTCCCATGGAAACCGTCACCATAGAAGAAAACACCTTACCTCAAGTAGCTGCTGAAGCCCTGAAGAGTTTATCTAGTACCATGGTAACCGGTGATCAACAAATCCTATCAGCCAATGGTATACAGACTTTGACATCAGCAGATATCATAAATGTGCCCAGTATTGATGGGAGTTTCCAAATTCAGAATCTGGTCCATGACCCCAATAATCCAGATGATCAGCAAACTGTAGTTATCCTCCAAATTGTGAACCCAGAGAATGAGCAGGGAGTGGTCACAGAGGAGGTCGAGGTCATTGGAAATGTAGTTGATCTTCCAGAGGTCAAGGACACAGATCAAGGACAATTTGTTGCTTTGACATAATTTTTTTGTGTTGAAAGACTAAATTTTAGTATGCATAAAAAATTATCATATTCTTTTGTAAATCACTTATATTTCATGAAACTTTATTTGTGCAAGAAAGTAGCATTTTATCATTTGCAAGTTTTCCTTATCCCAATGACATCAGTAATGAGATACTTCCACAAGATCTTTTTATTTTCTTGTTGAGACAAACTCACATAATTACACAAAAATTCAGTCTTCATGAATAAAACCTGATTTATGGTTACTCTGGAATAGAAAATAGTACATTCCAGACAAGCTGTTTTACACTATCTAATATTTTGAATTTTGTAAGTTTTTTCATGTTAACAAATTTAATGTGTATTGTTAAAATGATATATTTACATAAGTTGATTTGGTGTTCAATTTGTTAATACATGTCAGGGCTCGACATTAACGCTTGTCCGCTTGTCCGGTACCAGTGAAAAAACATTACGGACAAGTGAATATTGCTGGGCACTTGTCCGATTGGACAAGTGCATTTTAATGTAAAGAAGTCTTCAAATAATAAAATGAAAGTTCATCGGTAAAGACGGAAGCAGTACATAAAAAAACGAACTTCGATCCCGATATGGATCGCTATGTAATTGAGTTCACACTCGATCGGGATCGAAGTTCACTAATTGCATACTGAAAGTTACGTCGAGTTACAAAGTTTAGATTCTGTTTGATGTTTGTGAACATTTTTGTTGTTATCAGGATAGAAAGCCTAGATAAAAGTTTGTTTTTATGTGTTTGTTGTATTTATCAATAATATCACGAATCACTCACATGTAATGGACTTTATTTTAGTTTTCAAGTTGACAGTATTGTATCTTTATTGAACAATTTTCGGACAAGTGAAGTTGAAGTTCGGACAAGTAAATGTCTTGGTCACTTGTCCGATTGGACAAGTAGGGAAAAAAGTTAATGTCGAGCCCTGCATGTAGGGTAAAAAAGAATTTTGTTTTTGAAACCAATTTGCTGCACAACTGATGATAAATCATAAAAGGTTTGTCAGTTGTTGGTTGGGTTAATGATTGATTGCTTCTTGCTTAATTATTTATGCTTGGTTCAAGTCCAAGATTTCTATTTATTGCACTCATATGTTCAATGCACATGTAGATGTGTTCTGTTTAAGATGTACATGTACATTTACACTCCTGAATGAAATTTTATACCATATGAATATCACGAAAAATTATACACATAATACAGAAAGAAACTTGTGAGTGTACTTGAGATTGCTTTTGTTTTTCCTTTTGGAACTTGGTTGGTGTGTAATCAAGTGACACATTTTATTATTGGTCTGTGTGTAGTTAAAGTTTGTAAAAACTCTGATTCATTCTTATATCATATTAATATAACAAGATAATGAAACATTTATGCAAACATTTATGCAAAAGGATGTTTTCTTTTAATATTTAAATTGTAGAAATACATGTACAATAAAACAAGCTTATGCCAGGAACAGATATCTTTGCTTTGTTATAAAAATTTGTTATATTGTTACTAAAGTTATTAATGATACATCTTTAAAGTACTAATGTAATTGCACAAATTTTTGACTGAAACACTGTAATCTCTATTAACACAATTTTTAATTTTTTTTTGTGTGCAAAATTATGAACATAACATATAATCACAAAAGGTGGCCTGTGTTAGAACCCTTGATTGGTATAGATTTATGATTTAATATACCGGTATGTATACATTTTCTTTAAGATTCCTCTTTAACAATTCAAAAGTTCATTCTCTCGTAAACTACCATCAATGAGCAGGAACACAATCGTAGTCTTTTTCTTCAGCATCAAACATTTACCCAACAATTCATCTCTTCTAAATTGACAAACATAAGATGCTGCAGCTACTTGGAAAAAATATTTCAAAGCATCTCTGGTTAATTTCAGAAAAGTAATTCTTTCTCGTTTTAAAAATTATTTATGTGCATTTCAATAAAAAAGCTAATAAAGTAAGGAATGTTAATCTTTTTAAAAAGTTTTTGAGGGCGTGAAGTTGAACTGAAGATTACTTCTCACACTTTTAATGAAGCACTAATAAAAAATAAAAGACATTTTTGAGTATGTTATTGTCAATGTTCTAAATGTGCTGGATATAGCATTACGTCTTAAAGGTCAAGGTCACTGAGATTTATGGATTTAATTGCTGGAGAGAAAACATGTTGCTTCATCCTATACCCAGGGGCCATGATATAACAAACTTGAATCTATACACAATGTCAGGAAGCTTTCACAGAAGTTTCATCTTTTCTGACCCAGTAGTTCTTGAGGACTTTTGAATGATCCTACCAAATTTTCAGTATTTATCATTTCCCCATAAAGTTGGTGTGTGTGGCCGGCCTTCAAATGAAAAACACTTGCATCCCTTTCATCCAAGGATACTCTGTGCCTAAGTTGAGTTTAAATTGACTCAGTAGTTCAATCTGAAGAGTGATGATGAAATTTATATAGAAGCATTCTCGCATAAAGTAGAGTCAGATTATTTTTTCAAATCATTGCCTCTGAGGGGTAGGGTGGGACCACAATAGATCAATTTTTTACAAAGGGATGTAGAGGAAACAATCTTCTCAAAAATGCCAGGGCCATGAATAGTGATATTAATATGCAAGCATTCTCAGAAAGTGAAGATATCATGGCTCCGTGGATAGGATGAGGCTGCAGTGGGGATCTGAATTAATATTTAACACTGGTATATAGGAAAAAGCTAAAAAAAAAAAAAAAAAAAAAAAAGAAAAAGTGGGAGGGACAACAATAGGGAATCAAAGTGGTACATTGGAATAAATCTGTAATAATCATTTTCTCAAGAATGACAGGGCCATTATTAGTCATACTAATCTACCTTAGGTTGTGCCGATTCAAATTTGTTTAAGTTTTGGGCTCGGGGGTAGGGTGTGACACACTAGGAGATCACCAATTATAAAGGAAATTTATAATTTTTTTTTTTTGAAAAATATCAAGGCAGCACCAAGTTGTATTAATTTTGTAATATACATGTGTATGAAATTTCCCTGAGCTGTGTGGACTCTAAGTCCCCCCAGTAAGGGATCCTTGGGGTAGGATAGAGCTAAAACTAAGATCAAGTTTTACTCAAACTGAAGATTTTCCCTCACGTATACATGCTTTGGAAAAAATCTTGAAAAAAGCTTGGAAAGGCCATATGTTAGTTATATTGATAATGAAGCAACCCCAGGATATGTGTGAGTTCAACATATCATGGCCCCTTGGGGCTAGACTGGGGACACAATATGGACTTGGAATTTTTTATACATCTAAAGAACAGCTTGGCTATGGTGACTCAGGTGAGCATCATGAGCCTCTTGTTTGTAGTGATAGAAATCTAGACCTCTAGCATAATTAGCTAAATTAGAAAATGTCATATCTCAATCACTATTACAGAGTGAAGCTGAACATTTGTATGTCACTAAGCTTCATGATAGGAATTCAATGTAGGGCAGGCTTCTCACTGAAGGACATATTAGCATATAGTTATTGTAGATCTGTATGTAATATAGCAAAAAAAAAAAAAATCTGTCGCAGTAGTCACACAAATAACTTTTAAAAGTGACATGAAGCAACAAGATCAGAAAACATATTGTCGGATGTTTTAACAAAAGATGACCAAATGTAGTCAGCATTGTACTGGTTAGTACAACTGCCGGAAGACCTCAAATGTCACAAATGTAACAAGATTGCTTTTTATGGAGGTCTGATTGTAATACCTGTTAATAACTCTATCCTTGTCTCTCTGCAGCTGTGCATTTACATAGCTGTGTCAATAGCACTGAAATCTGCATAGACTCGCTATAGCAAGCAAATGAATTATCAGTGTTAGCATTTTTTGAGAAAATCATTTGTAATTCCAGACACTGCACAGAACTTTTACAAGTGAAAAATATTTATTTAATACATATTCTGAAACAATTACAAGCACAAAACACTCGCAGAATACATTCATTATATCAAACAATTCGAAAAGTGAAACAATAAAAAAAAAAATTCTAGACAAATGTTGATATACCTACAACGACCAAGGCATTCATGAGACAAAATGTAATCACAGATATTATCAAGACACATAATAAATCATCACAATCAATACTGCTGTCATATACAGCATTTAAACATGATTGCAAACACGAATTTAGCACTAGATTATTTTTATGATGATGTGGGGCAAAAAGATCAGGTACATGTGTATCTTATGTATAATTATATACATTATAATTAATCTGTGAAATACATGTTCAATGTACCAGTATCTTTGAAAATTATAATGTGTACATGCCAATGAAAAGCTAAATGCATGTACATGTAGTACATTTGATATATCTTTTTCACTCGTATATATTTATAACCATGGTTTACATATATGTCCTAGTTTCTATTTATATATACAAGCTTTATCTATCTGCACATCTGGCCTGCAGTTGCACAAGCCCTATAAATATAGATAAAATATTGCAACCTTTTGGAATGCCTTTGACAACATGGACAATATAATTGCTACATGATCAGAAATTCCGCATGCCCACCATTATTTTTTTTTCAAAACATATTCATGAATATGATAAATTCATTAAAAAAAGCTCTTAGAGCACACTGCACAAGTACATTTTCACATTAATTTTACAAAATACATGTAATACAAAGTCATGGAAGTTTTAGAAATGAAAGTTCTATTCAACCTGCTTTATCAAATCTTAACAAATAAAAATTTTTAAAAAGTCTAAAAGTATTTTTTAATACATAGATATACAGCAGAAGCAATAACAGAAATAAATTGTAGGCAAGAGGCCTTTGGTTTGACAGTGTTCATCAATGAATATCTAAATATTCAAATGATTTCATTTAAAAAAAATCCTGACTAGAAATCATGGTCTTACATAAGATTAATAAAAACTGTGTTGAGTCTATTACAGTAAGATGGCTGACTGTTACAGTAGGATGACTGTGTTAAGCAGACATGTCGATGTGATGGATCAGTGAATTCTGTTGGTAAGAAGACCTTGAGTATCTTCCAGTAGTCGTTCCACCCTTACCCGCTGTCAAATTGAAATAAATGCATATGTATATTCATATCAATTTTTTCATCAATTTGTAATCTCGGGAGTATTTTAAATCCACATAAAATATAACATTTACTTTAATAATTACATCAGGTTGTCCTTTTTATTCAGCATTAACACATCAACTGAAATATTATATCAGCATATTAAAATTATTTGAGAACTTAAATTCCTTTCAATTTTACCTCAAGTTTATCCAGACGATCTTTCCTTTCCTCCCTCTCTGGGTACGCTGGTACTAAAGCTTGGAGTCGCACTGCCTTTAAAGCGGTAGGTTGACAGGCAATCAAGTGGCTTATTTCTTGTGCCTGAATTAATTGACATCAAACATAATAACAGCTAGTACATAAATTATTTAGTCAATAAAATTTCACATATTAGACTCTCCTGTAACAAACAGTTACTTTTTTCAAAGGGTTACAGTTAAACTCGGTTATAGCAAAGTCCTGGGGACCGCTGTATCTGTAATTTGTTATATCTGTATACATGTAAGTTCAGCGAAGTATTAAATACAAAACTTAGCTTGAGAACAAAAAAGTATATTGATGAATTATATGTCAAATATAAGCATGTACAGAAAATAATTTTATTTCAATTTTTTGTATTTTGATATCTTAAAACTTCACTTTATCTGTAATTTCACTATATTTCTGTTTATATTAAATGAGTTTTACTGTATATGGAAATGACAAATCCATGCATAGAGGTTTTGTGTATTTTTGTCTTTAAAAAAACAATATTTATTGAAATTGCACCTCTTCTGGCTTCAAGTTTTAGAAGTATAAATACAAACATGATGTTGAATGCTTAGGACAATATGCTTCGAGTTGGTCTCATTCCTCTTTCTATTTTTCTTTCTCCTGTGATTTTTAATTTAGTAGTTGATAGTAGATGTAGTATTATAACAAGACTTAAGGAAGTTTGGGGTCCTTATCTTCAGTTTTACCCTGATGGTAGTGGTGCTGAATATGATTTTTTATTTATAATAAATAAGATGGTGTTTATTCTTTCCATTGGGCATAACTCCCATTTTATTTTTTTTGATGTTAAAAAAAGGAAAACTCTGCTTTTTAGAAATTTATAACATTAGTACAATTCGCATATCAGCAAAATTTAGTAGTTTTATGATTTTGGTATAAATGAGTGCATATATTGTATAATGCTATTGTATTGCAGGATATACCAATACATATATAGAAAAGACACTTCAATGTATGACCATTATAACTTTTTGACATGGAGGTCATTTCATTGATTTTATTTGCAGGTGTCATAGAAAAACTGGTTAAAGTTATACCTACCCGATTTGCTTGATATCTTAATCTCATGATCCTTAACCTATTTCTTGCCTCTGCAGCTCTGAAAATGCAGGAAATTATTTTGAAATGATTTTATGGATTAATGGTACATGTACTACTTGAGCTATTACCAAGCATATTTCAAAGTTACTAACTGCTGCAAGCACAGAAGTCAGCTTAATGGTACATTTTTTTAAAGTTCATTTTCTCATAAAACAGATGACTCAATGAGTCTCATTTGTTTCATGCTACATTATTCATGTTGTTATGCTTCCTGTCAGTTTGTCATTATATAATCAATACCCAACTATTTTTTGCATAGTGAACAAAGGATTTATATAGCATAGGCATACTATGACGAAATAGTGCATGACGGATTTTTCTAGAGAAAATGTGTTGCACCCACGCTAGGAATCAAACTCATGATCTCAAGTACATCAGTCCAAAGTGCTACTGATTATGCCACAAACACCCTTACATTAAGAAATGTATGAGAATTTAATTAAACTGTCATATACATACAACAGTCAGCAAAAGAATTAAAATAGTGTCATTATTTGGATGGACTATGTCAAAATAGTAGTCAGCGTTTGACACATAGTGCAGTTGCCTCCAACTTGTGCACTGTGTGTCAAACTCTGACTACTATTTTGGCATAGTATGTCCAAATAATTACACTATTATAAATTAGTATTTGTAGTTTAATCTCTGTAAATATATGACTTACTTCAGTTGTCCTATGAGCTTTGCATGCTTATCTCTTTCATCATATTCTTCTTCTGGCAAATCTTGATTGGCCCTAACAATAACATACTTATTTAATTGATTATCTAGAAATAATTAATACAAGTGGCCCAAGGGCCTTAATGGTTACCTGAGTACAACAATTTAGAGGATCCATAAACTGATTAATGAAGCTTTATTGCCCAAAGCAAGAAACATTGTGTGATTAGGCCATCCCTCGGAGAAACACCAGAACCCCTGGGACTACAAGTTTTAAAAATTTTGTAAAAGCACCCCTGCTCATCATAACTATACACTTGTTTCTTTGCTTTATAAAATATTTTGAAAGTAATTATGCATTTTCATTATATTATCAATAGAACCCCCCCCCCTGGGACTACAAGTTTTAAAAATAGAACCCCCCCCCCCCCCCCTGGGACTACAAGTTTTAAAAATTTTGTAAAAGCACCCCTGCTCATCATAACTATACACTTGTTTCTTTGCTTTATAAAATATTTTGAAAGTAATTATGCATTTTCATTATATTATCAATAGAACCCCCCCCCCCCTTCACCAGAACTCCTGACTCTGGGGATGAATTTCACAATTTTGGAAAAGGCATTCTTGCTAATCATAACCATGCACTTCCTTTGTTTAAATAATACCCAGGAGCAGAGATTTTCAAAGAATTAATGCATTTTCACTATATAATCAATACAGCCCCGCCCTAACACCAGAACCCCTAATCCAGGGGCCATGAAATTCTCAATTTCTGAAGAGGTACTCTTGCTCATCATAACTATGTACAGTCAAACCTCGTTATCTCGAACTCAATGGGAAAGAGAAAAAAACTTTGAGATATCCGAGGATAAAATACTTAAGGAATAAGGGGTTGGGACTTCCAAATCACTTCTACATATCCATGGTATTCGAGATATCAGTGTTCGAGATACTGAAATTCAACTGTACTTAGTTTATTTAATACCCAAGAGCAGAGAGGAAGATTTTCAAAGAAATAATGCATTTTCACTATATAATCAAAAGAGCCCCACCCTAACACCAGGACCCCTGACCCTGGGGCCATGAAATTCACAATTTTGGAAGAGGTACTCTCTTGAAAACTATTGAAAAGCTCTCATCAATATGTATAAGTATATAAAGTTTGAAAAAAATTTCTGAATACTTCTTTGAAATTAGGCCACACATAAATTTGAAGTCAATGTCAAAGGAAAGGTCAAGGTCAAAAATGTTGATGCAGTTGAATAGCTCTCACCCAGGGCTCTTGATTATCTATAATTAAGGCCATTCAAGGGCCTCATTCCCATCTGAATGTGTTAATTTTCCCAATAGTCATTTCTCCCAAAAATTAAAGAAAATATAATTAGATATATGATAAGTAGACTTGCTATTCATATTCCTCTGTATTGCAAAACAAAAATTAAGTTGATAACAAAGACCAGAAACCCAGTATATCATGATTTTAAAGTATAATGCTTATCCAAAAATTTCCCAAAATGTCGCCATTTTCCCAATTTTTATGGCCCGCGGCCCCATTCCCAAAAAGCAGTGTGAGAGCCCTGTCACCTATATGTATCAGAATACTGGGTTTGATAAAAATATCTTAAATAGTTTCTTTGAAACTGAGCTTAATACTATTTTAAGATCAGCGAGATCAAGGTCAAAGGAAAGGCCAAGGTAAAAAATGTTGAAGCAGTTGAACAGCTCTGATCAATATGTAAAACCATATAAGGTTTGATTAAAATATCCTAAGTTTCTTTGAAATTGAGATAATCAATCATTTGAGAAAGCGAAGCTAAGGTAATAGGAAAGGTCAAAGTCAAAATACATTGTATGTTAATGCAGTTGAATAGCTCTCAACAATATGCATCAGCATATGGAGTTTGATAATAATATCATGTATAGTTTCCTTAAAACTTAGCTTAACACAACAATACAAAGAGTGATATCAAGGTCAAAGGAAAGGTCGAGGTCAAAAATGTTGATGAAGTTGAATAGTTCTCATTATTATGTATCAACATAGTGATAAAAATATCTTGAACAGTTTCTTTGAAATTGAGCTAAACACAAATTTAAGAAAAGTGAGGTCAAGCTCAAAGGAAGGGTCAAGGTAAAAAAATTTTGATGCATTTGAATACCTCTCATCAAGATGTATCAGCATATGAAGTTTGATTAAAATATCTTGAATGGTTTCTTCGAAACATAGCTAAATGCAAAGTGTGATGGAAGAACAGAAAGATGTAAGAACAAAAGACAGACATGACAAACACCATGTCCCATCCATATTCATGGCGGGGCATTAAAATTCCTGACTATAATTGCTTATGGATAATCACCTTTGAATTTGCGAAGCTCTGATAATACAAAAAAGCTTGAAAATAATGATAAACCTGTTTACCTCATGATCATTCGTCTTTTCTCCAACAGCCTTTTCTTTGTAGCTCCCATGGCTTCTGACACTTCTTTTGGAGGATCTTCATACTGGCATTGATAACATATTTTGTTGTAAATATAGATGGTAAACTTAAATTCAACTTAAATTACAATAGTTAAAAAATACAAAGAGATGTATACAAGTATTAAATATTACTGCTAAATATCTGCTCCTTTGTTGTGGAGCCATTTTTTTCAAGTCATGCTGATCCAGTTTCTTCCTGTTCTTTGGTTTAAACTTTCCTCCCTGACCATCATCATCCAATGGAGGCAAGCTCTAAGAACATTAAAAGATTGTCAAGATTATCATTTTGGAACTTTCATAGATATCTTGTATAAGATATTTTCTTGAAATTTTTTTTAGTTGTGATTAAATTTTTCCCATTGAGATAACATGCTGGTAAAATGGATTTCTCCAAACTTTATATAAATATGTTATTATATACTTAATATAGGTATCTCTTATTTATATATTCTAAAGCAATAAATGGGTTCAAAAATGCATAATGACTTCAAACCATTTTGTTTTATGAAAGAGGCTGCTCAAAGTTTGAAAGAACACACCTTTACATATAATTATGCTTAATATTGTATGACAGAATAATGAACAGTTGAGTATAACAATGAAGTATTTAGGGAATGGACACTGTCATAAGTACTGTTCTGGGTAAACTTGTATTTATTACAGTATTAGTTCTATAGACTAATGTATACAAACAGAGGACATTCAAACAAGAATCTGCTTATTGGTCAAGCAATATTTTTATTCAACTTTTAAGAATTCCACCCCAATTGTATAGTGTATAAAATATTGTAAATCTGCTTAACCCTTTAACCCCCAGAGACGCATTTGGACGCATTTTCAGCATCACAGATATTTAACTGTTACCATTTTCTAAATATTCGGGTTACAACAAAACAAATGATATTTTCTGAAACTAGAGAAGAAACTAAACATTTTTTCTACTCAAAAATTTTCTGTGCGATGTTGAGAAATTATCATAAACTTGAATTGAATATTGCATATCATTGCAGGAAGTTGATAAAACTACGCATAAATGACTGATTTTGTGCTATCTTCTGTTGGCTTTATCTAAATTACAAACACAATAAAATAAAAAATGAATGCCATAACCTGAAAGCTGGGAATATGCCCTACATTTTTTATTCCGGACATTATAAGGTACATGCATCCGTTAAAGAGATATTTGTTGTTGAATATTGGAACTTTTACAAGTAAAATACACAAAATGCACTATGACGTCATTTGACGTTTTACATGCACAATGAAATCGTTCATGAGCGCATTGTAAAACAAACTGGCTCTTGATATATGGAATAGATTTATTTTAAAAAAAAAAATAAATTATTTGTAAAGAAGAGTTAATGTACGACACGTTTTGAGCCATGAACAACATGTAATAAGGCCAAAATAAAAAATACCTTTGTTTCCCCTAACGCGACCGACCCACTTAAATCGTGCCGACTGAAAAGTTTTTTTTTAATAAAATTTTTCAAATTTTTTTTTATTGTTTATAAACTTTATTAAATTCAATTTCATCAAAATGCGTTTTTATCAGAACGGTGGCTTTTGTTTTACTCTCATTTGGCGCCCTCAACATGTGGCCACAGAGGGTTAGTTCGTGTTATAAAACAACGGCGATGTATAAATCTTAATATATATCTTTAACTTATTAGAACCGTAGAATCTTACACTCTTGAAACATTTTGTGAATTAAATATACCATGACTAAGAAGTGTTAAGATGGTATTTGCAAATGTGTCTTTTAAAATTAACGTACGTAGTAAGCTTGGAAAAGCCTGTCTCATGAGCAAATGAGGGGCCCACTTTGTGTTTGCACTGATGCATATCAATAAATTTCACTGCATTTCATTCGTTTCGATCTAATTATCACTTTATGTATGATTCTATTTTTACTATATAGGTTCATAGGAGTTGTAAATATGTCTTTGTATAATTATTTTATCTTGATAAATATAATTCAGATGTCGTTCCTTCATTTCTTTTATTTATGGGGTAAACGTCTTGACTATAACATTAGATATATGAAACTTTAATCATTTTAGATATGGTTTAGTTGAATTAAATATTGTTTATACAGGTATACTCTTTTCAAATAATGTTGAAATCTTTAAAGTTGGCTTATGGTACGGCTTCTTGAGACGTCCAGTGTATTTTACTTTAGTTAGGCCCTTGAAAATAGGCTGTTTCTTTGCTTAAAAATACCTTTAAAAATTGTTGGGTCAACAACATTTAAACACCTGCCTGGCGGAGGGCTCCTTATTTAGACTTTTTCTCGGCACTTGTGACCATTGATCATAAAGCATCAATAAGGGATCTTTTTCGTGCCAACATCTACATGCATACTGCAACACTGCATGGAACTACGTTTTTTACGGTCTCATTCCACTGACCAGTCTCCATGTCCCTCGTCGGGACCTGTGACTTATAAAAAATCTTCTGATTTACGTCTTGACTCCAAAACGAAACACTACAATTACTTCGCCAGGCCCTTGACATTTTGTCTGTGTAAGCACTCGAAGATGATAGTAGGTTTGAAAAAAATATACTCGGATGGCAGATGGTTGAGTATTTGCGAATCTTGTCTTTTTGTAAAAATTCTATTTCAATAAATTTACACTGACCTGAGATATTTCACAAGTTAAAATGAATAATATTTGTTAATTAATTTACCATACATGCTGCTTTTAAATTTCATTTGTATGATATTCGGTTAAAAAATTGGTTTCTTTTGTTCTTTTTTATTTATAAAGATATCATTTAATTTTTCAGAATGTATTTCCATAACTGCTGTCAGAAAAAAAAATAATTTACCTACCTACCTACCCAACTTGAAATTTTAGGGTCTGGTTAGGGGAAACAAAGATATTTTTAATGATGGCCTAAAAGGAATTTTCCATAGCTTTGGGAGACATATACATGTAGTAATAGTCTTTCACCCAACGCCCCGATTGCGTGCACCCACTGTATCAGAAATCCCTGTCGAATTTTGTGTCAGTCCTACATGTAGTGGGAATGATTAATCAAATAATTAAATACAATCATTGCCATTTTCCTAATCTTCAGATTTATTATTGAAAAATGAAAAAAAAAAATAAATCTTTTTTTTTTTTAGTACTTGGTGTCCTATGAAAGGAAAAGTGCATTTTTATTAAAGCGACAGGATAGATAACGCAGTTACCCTTTTTTAATGATTAAAAGATGAAAAAAAAAACTGTCACAATGGAAAAGTATATCAAAAGTACTACGCCGTACGTCGTAAACATAGCCAAAAAACAGCTGATTTTAATCAGATTGCTAAATTTATAGAAATAATTTCTGAATAAACACACAGGAAACTCAGGTTTCTTTGTTCGTGTTAAATTCATTTTTCAGTCTTCACAGAGTTATAAGAACAAGCCTATATCAAACTGGATAAAAATGGAGAACTTGGGATAAACTAACAAATTCTCCCTCATTGCCTAATCCTTTACAGATTAGTCGGGATGTGTATTGAAGAAACTGAAAAGTTCAATCTACTGCTACAACAAAAATAAAACGGAGCAAGTATGTAAAATATTTGCCAGAACATCGCTCGAAAATAGCAAAATGTGCTATTGAATATAAAAACCGCCATTTTACTATTTTTTAAAAGTTGTGGAGAAATGTTAAGGAAAGTACAATAAGAAGTATTCGAAAACTATGCCTAAGCTCTGTAATTTTGAAAAACTTGTGTATAGAAATCAACGGAAAATAATTTTAAAACATCCCCCTCTCCTTTTTACAGCAATTTTGAATTATTATTTAGCAAATTCATACCAAAACTCTTGTTGTTCCTGGGGGTGGGGGGTATGTTTACAGATAATTACATGAGTTAAACATATGGAAAAAATGAAGGATCATTTATCCATGTCTATGAGTACTATTTTAAAATCTCTTGGTGTTTTAAAGCCTGATTTCAATGGATATACATCTTCTATACCCCTTATAAAAGAAGTTGATTAAGAGCAATGGACAATTTGACACTGGTATTAATAATGTTATACTGCAATTCTTTAATTTACCGGGTGGTAGTAAATACAACAAGAGGCTGGGCCACATCGCTCACCTGAGCTCATTGGCTAGGAAGAAGCAGTAATCAGTTCAGTATTGAAGGGGGAGGGGGGCAAACTTTAATTTAAACTACCTCAGGATTCTTCCATATCAATATCACTAATCATGGCTTTGCTGTTCTTAAACAGAAGAATTTTAAAGATTTCCACCGTCATGGTAGCTGATTCTGTAGAGCGCTCGCTCCGTGATCGGAAGGTAAGGGGTTCGAGCCCCGGCCGCGACTGACCTAATTCGATGAAAAATAGGTAGTAACTGTTCCCCCGCAAAGCGCTCAGCACTTTGAAGTAAAAGTTGCGGGCCCTTCAGATGAGACTTTAATGACCGAGGCCCATGTCATGGCAGGCGTAAGCAAAGATCCCCCAATGCTCAATGGCCCTGAGTGCCGAATAAAGGTCTAAATTTGAAGCCCTTCACTGGTATAAGGTGAAGTCTCTATATGAGTGAAAAATCCTTGTATGGAACGTAAAACAACATACAATCAATCAATCCTATGTTTTCCTATGTAAAACTCTGATCTCTCATTGTGGCCCCACACTACCCACTCTAAATTTGAACAAATTTGAATCTCCACTACCAAAGGATGCTTCTATAATCATATGACTAATCATGGCTTTGATGTTCTTGAGCAGATTTTTTCAAGATGATTCAAGAAGATTTTTCTTATGCAAAACTTAATTTACCCTCTGTTGTACCCCCATGATTTGAACATACTTGATTCTACAATACCTAAGGTTGCTTCTATATAAATATGACTAATAATGGCTTAGTGGTTCTTGAGAAGAAGATTTTAAAGATATTTCCTACGTAAAAGCATTTTATAGTAGAAAAGAATTTATCAAGAGAAAGTTTCAAAAATGCAATTATTAAATAACTAAGCAGTAATTAATTAACAAAGATTGCATTGTTGTCTAAGGGGACAAGCGATTTTTCTTTTAAAAATAAATATTCAAATAAAAAGAATATTAATAAATACTGTGGTGGAAACATGCATAAAACATTAGAAATAAAATGACAATTGAAAACGATTTTTTTTTTACCAGATAAGTTTTTATAACTGAATTTTTCAAATAAAAACAGATGTAGATAACCCGTGCCAAAATTCAAGGTCATAAATTACGACACATCCCATCCTTACATGCTAATAGTAATAAATGGGAATTATGTCTAAATATACTGAGTATTAAACACCTACATATCTGTCGTGTATTCAATTTTAATGAATCTGTTGATATTAGGGATGGAATACCTTAACTTCTCTATTGCTGATTCAGCATCCAACTTCTGTTAGCTTCTGAATGCCTGACTTTCCCAAAGCTTTGGCTTATATACCCTTTGGTTTGGCTAGTCCATTCCAAGGGTTGCTATTATTCCATTATTTCAGGTCTTCAATGCATTTTACTCGAATGCCCCTTAACCATTACATCTATATATTCCTATGAAAAACTCTGACCCACTGTTGTGGCCCTGTCCTATCCGTGGGGGTCTTGATTTGAACAAACTTGAATCTACACTACTTGAGGATACTTCTTTATTAATATGACTAATAATGGCTTAGCTGTTCTTGAGAAGAAGATTTTTAAAGATATTTCCAATATATTCCTATGGTGAACTTTGACCCCCTGTTGTGGCCCTGTCCTACTCCCAGGGGTCATGATTAGAACAAACTTGAATCTACACTACCTGAGGATACTTCTATTATAATATGACTAATCATGGCTTTGCTGTTCTACAGAAGAAGATTTTTAAATACATTTCCTATTTATTCCTATGTAAAACTTCGACCCCCTCTTGCAGCCCCGCCCTACCCCCAGGGTTCATATCATGAAGTATGTCATGAAGCTTTCAAATAAGTTTCATCTTTTCTTGCCCAGTTGTTCTTGAGAAGAAGATATTTAAAAGAAGCCACCAAATTTTACCGAATTCTTGATTATCTCCCATTGAAAGAGGGCATGGCGCTTCCTGTGAACAAACTTATATATTAAACCAAGGATGCTTTGTGGCAAGTTTGGCTGAAAATGGCCAAGTGGTTCTTGAGAAGAAGTCGAAAATGTGAAAAGTTTACGGACTACAAACGGACGCTGGACACTTTTTGATCAGAAAAGCTCACTTGAGCCTTCGGCTCAGGTGAGCTGAAAATTACAAAATGATAAGTTGTAATATTGTAATTTTATATTTACTTCCATCCGGTAAATTCAAAAATTACAATATGACAGTAATATAATTTAATCACTAGTGAACTCTTGTTTGCAATATAAAAAAAAAGATAATGGCAAAATTGTCATTTTTATTGAATAATGGGGTGTAAAATATAGGCTGGAATCGAGAGTTAGTGTGCGTAGTTCTTTGCCATATTCTCCCCATGGCCTTCTTTAAAACTAACTGATGAACTAGTGATATTTTATGTTTGAGCACGTATTAGGGTGTTGTGAATTCTCAGATGCAGGTCTCTGGAACTAGGAAAGTAATTTTATTCAGTGATAAAACTCTACTGAAAGTAAATGGGGGACCATTTATGGTCAAAAACGACTGGCATTAATATTATTTCTTCTAGAACACACGGGTTTTCCAAAAAGAAAAAAAAATTGAGTATTTAAGGCGAGATATTAACTCGCATGATTTCGCAGACATCAAATCAACATTTTGATAAACGAATTAGAGACAATGTTCAGCAATATCTCTCCCCCTCTCCCTTCGACCAACGTTTAATATATGTCAATTTTTGTAACGTTGATATTTGTAATTTTAATGTGTACCATGGCGTTGAATATAGTATACCCATGTTTTGTTAGAAAGTTCCCTTCTCAAAATTGCTATTTTTGTAACCATGGCAACAAGGTTCATTGAAATAAAAATACTGAATTTTGTATCTTAGTGTGCTTAACATGTGTACCAAATTTTATTGAAGTCAGGCAAAAACTGTAGGAGGGAAAGTGATTTGAAAATTGCCGAATATAGTATACCCGTGTTTTGTAAGAAAGTCCCGTTCTCAAAATTGCTATTTTGTAACCATGGCAACACTGTTCATTGAAATAAAAAAACTAAAATAAAGAATTGTGTATCTTAGTAAACTCTAAAAGTGTACCAAATTTTATTGAAGTCAGGTAAGAACTGTAGGAGGGAAAGCGATTTGTAAATTGCTTATAATTACGACAATAAGACAGCTGTAAAGCCAAAGTCTAAAAACGGACATTGTGTAATTGTATAAACTCTTTCTACCAAATAAATTGACCAGTATAACTAAAAACTAATTGTTTGTATGCTTTGTTTTAATTGTATCACTAAATCCTCTGTTATGGAAACATTATTTGTAAATTTGTTTGTATTTCTGTGATGTAAAGGGGTAGAAAACATATATTTGGGCAATTATGGGTCTCATTCGTTGCCATGGCAACCACGACGTCATTTTACTCTGCATAATTAAATACTTTAAGATTTTACCTTTCAGAAAATTTTATAGGTTGCTTTATGTAAAAGTGACTAGAAATTGTTAAAATTTCAATTTGAAATTTGTAGGCAGTTTTGCAGAAAAAATGCAAAATCTCTGGTAGTTAAAGGGTTAAGAAGACCTAAAAACAACAAATTTTGCCTAACATATATTTTTTTTTTTTATTTTTCATTTTTAGCACTCTAAATTTATATTTCCATTTAGGAAATTATATTCCAAATAGATTATTAGTTCCCATTCGATCGATTGGTCCCAATCTGTTTAAACTTGAACTGAATTAAATTAGGCTAGATATCAATTATAAACCAGGTTTCTAATGGATGTATCTATAATTTAATTAATACACGAATTTCACATTTATAAGAGTTATCTTCCGTTGTCAACGTAACGCTCCTTTTTTCTCACTATAACCTTTGTAACTTACCTGTAAATATTTTCAACTTTTAAACGCTATAGAACAATTTTGATCCGTGCCTGTATTGCCATAGTATGGGGCATCATAAAAAACATAACAAACATATTCATACAGATTTCATTTGTAAGACATTGTCCCATGAAGTTGGTAAAGGTATAGAGGGAAAACAGTGTCTTACGCCGGTTGACCCCAGATTGACCCCGCAAAGGGAAATAACTTTTGTAAATTTGAAAGTCATCTATATATTAAACAGGTTCAGTCCAAAGACTATTTCTACCTATGTAGCTATTAATAGCTACGTAGGTATTTAAACCTACCCAAAGTAGCTATTTTTACCTACTTTATGCATTACTTGCATTTTGTGGCCAAACAGCCGAAAGGCACAACATGGTGAGTACCAAATTTCTTGCTACAGTCACACTAATGATGAATACAACAAATTACGACCAAAAAATGATTACTTCATAAATTAACAATTTTGCATAGTAATCAATGAAAAATTGTTAATTTACGACATAATCATTTTTTGTCCAAAATTTTGTTGTATTCATCATCAGTTAATTTGACTGTATTAAGAAATTTGGTACTCACCATGTTGCTCCGTTCAGAAGTTTGGCCACAAAATGCAAGTAATGCAAAAAGTAGGTAAAAATAGCTACTTTGGGTAGGTTTATATATCTACGTAGCTAATAGCTACGTAGGTAGAAATAGTCTTTATATTGGACCTGTTAAACTGCCATTGTCCAAACAGCCACACACAAGCAAATCAGTCTGAAAATACTTTATATGCCCTTCCCAAAATGATTTTGTTTTGATAAAATTAGCCCTTAAATTCAGTTTAATACAGTTCAATAAGGATAAATCAATATATTTATCATTCTGAATCTCCCGAGACAGTTTAGTTTTATGCAGTTTGCCTCCGATAAAATTTTAAAAATAGAAGATTACTAACCGGCATGCTTGTATGTCTTTTTCTTCTGATCCTTGGAAGCGCTTCCCCTAAAGCTAATACGGTTTATAAAGTTACTTTTTGTCTATAATTTATCTCGTTTTCATTCTGTTTGCCGCCATATTGTATACAGTTGTCTAGCAACTTTAGCGACACCTAACGGATAACTCTAAAATTAAAAATCTCTATCTCTAAAACGTTTAATAATAATGAATGTGAAAAGAATCTTGGTGTGAACAAAACTGACGTTGACCAATTTTTATAACAGGTGTCCGGATTTCTCCAGGTTTTCATTTTCATTTGTTATGTAGTTTTTATTGATGTTATGATAGCATTCTTCATTATTTTCATGGTGCATACATGTCTAGCTATTACTCAATAATCTGCACAGTCATATACCGAAACCTTCTATAATGGAAAATTGTAGTCATATGCCTAATCTCAATAACTTAAATTGACAGCATGGGACATCCCCACATCCTGATCCTGGTGGTTATGTATGCATCGTAATGTTATACAGTTAACGCTAGAGTAGAGGAACTTCTTCTTACTATGCTTTTAATATAGACATTATATTGGATGAATTAGATCATGAGATTTGGGAGGGCAAAGCACACAGACCATATGATATTGTGATATAATCAAAGTAATTATAGTAACTTCATACCATAAGCATTCATCTTTATCAGTGTCTCAGGAATGCTTTGATACTCAACTAGTTACTTAAAAAACATGGTGCTTAGAATCCCTTATCAAATCTTTGCATCAATACACCAGTGCAGTAATTTAATTTCTTGCTTGATTTTTCAAATCTTTGGGAAACCCATCATTGATGAGAATATACTTACTTTAGTTTTACAATCAGCAGGTATAACATTGGTCTAAAAGAGTAGCCTTTAAAGTGTTCTAATCAAATTAACAGAAATATATGAAGTAATCTTGATGAATGAAGCTTACAATAACAAACTTTACATGTAAGCAACAAGTAACAGTTTTAATTAATATTTGCTTACAGGATATCAGTATGCTGAAAGTTATCTGGAATGTTTTAAAGAAGATTTTTAGTATTCTTCTTTTAATACTCTCCCCAATAAAACGACTGATATGTGGAAGAAAGAGACGGACATCTGACACTATTTTACCTTTGTCAAATCATTACTCAATCCCACAAGATTTCAACCAAATGCCTACAAATACTGAAGTAAGTTGTTTCAATTTTAATGTTATCAAATAATGCAGTTATCATAACTACACTGGTAGCATAATTTTAAAATCAAACTTACTAAATGATTCATTTTGCAATAATTTCTTTAAACTTTCCTATTCATTGTTTATAAATTGGGAAATGTTTTCAATGTTATTATAACTAAGAACTGAAGGGAGAAAAAAAAACTGCAGTATACTACAAGTTGTCATTGTCATTTTCTTGCAGGAGGAGTTTCAGTCATGGGATGATTGGAACACAGAGTCAAAGAAACAGACAACCAATGGACAACTGGGTAATCCCAGGCTGATGAGGGGCTCCCAAGGAGACGAAGAAGAGGAGGAGATTGATTATTTCTCAGATATGACACCAAATATAAAAAAGCAGAAAAAGGTCTTAATTGATCCATTATTTTCTATGCATGTACTCCCATTATACTGTGGAATCATTAGATTTCATGGTGGCTCAATTTTCGTGGAATTTGTGGGTACCTCTCGTCCTCAAATTGACATTCTCCATGAATTATTAATTAGGGTTTCAAAGTCATATTTTCTTTCGTAAATATAGGAGAATACACAAAATTAAGTCCCTACGAACCTGTTAAATTAAAGCAATCCATGAAAATTGGCCCCCACAAATTTTAATGATTCCACAGTACAGCTGTACTTGATAAGTTTGAGAATTTTATCTTCAGGCCTCTAATATGTTGACGGTGCAACCGTTAGGGCGAGCGCAGATACCTTTCAGTTTTAATTTAGATCAGGCTCGTCAAACAGCACGTGACATTTGCTTTACATCTGGACTCTGACGTCATATGACGTCGTATGTATGTTGCATTACCAAAACGAAGTCTGAACAGTGCTAATTTTAATCAAGAACGTTTGATCTACTATTTATCTGCTTTATATCCATTATATCAAGGTGATTTTATTTTTTGTCGAATTTTTGTTGCTACCGCGAGAATGTTGTTTGCGGCGAGATGCAATTCGCTAAGCATTATGGGACCACAGGTAACTGCGGAAAAAAAATCATTTAGATCAATGTGTAAAGTCCGAATTTTCTCTTCGCCCAGGCGTTGCTTTAAGAGCTCGCAGTGACGAGCGGCGCTTTGTGCCGCTCGCTGCGCTCGCTATAATTGTGAGTTATTTTGTATTTGAGGGGTAAAAATAATGACAAATTTGATCTTTTATTCAGGTTTATATTGGAAGAGACTCAACAACATCCCAGTCCAGTACCAATAAATTTGCTTTTGCTGGAGATGCTCCCATAAATCAGGTGAAATACATGTAGCTGCATAAAATATCAAACTTTTGTTTCAAGATCATCCACTGGACTTAATAATTTAGGCTCTTTCAGAATTCTATTTTATTTAACACTATTTAACTCTTGCTGTTATGGAATATTTATATTGTATCAAAATTGACAAAATCAAAAAATTATAAAATATTCAAATTTTCTTTCTATATTATCAGCTAATTTAGAAATATTAACTGCAAAAAAAAAAAAAAAAATATTCAAATTTTCTATCTATATTTTCAGCTAATTTAAAAATATTAACTGCCAAAAATTTAAAGAAAAAAAATCAGAAGGTTGAATCATAAACATTAAAAATAATTATATTTTATCTAAGCTTTACATTTATCAATTTTCTGTTGTGTGTAACATAATATGATATTTACAGACAAAAGTTATTGTATAATCTCTGTAAAAACAGTTAATACATGTACCATATATTGGTAATGCTTGGGAAAGGCATATAATTTCAGCTTTAAAATTTCTCACCAAGGTTCCCTTTATAGAAATAAAGCTGTAATTTACATTTATGAAAACATGAGGATTTTGTAGTTTTATGAATATTTGAAACCCAGCTTGTTTTCTCAATTTAGGGTTCAGAACTTGGTTCCTGGGAGGACACAGAGAATGCATGGGGAGAGGAGTCTATGGAGGATTTATCTTGGCAGGCTGATGCAGCCATTAAACAGAGCAGGAAGTCTGAACAGCAGCGACGGCTACAGGAGCATGCCCGACGGAAAATGGAGAAAGAACAGGCCCGCAACAAAAAAGACAGTACATTCACAGCAGTCAGACTGACATCATGATACAATATACATTGAATTCATCTTCAAATTATTGTGTCAAATATTCTCATGTGCAATGTTTACTAAGATTGAGAGGGGTGTGTGTAAGTGGTGCATTTTAGGTTTATAATATGTACCCATGCAATGGCAACATTGTTTAGGATGTGATTGTTAAATTATCTATTGGGTTATTGTTAATCTGCCAATAGTGAAAGGCTTGACCTGGAAAAAAAGTAGTCTTCAATAATCAAATGTCTCCAAAAATTTAAATTTATTTCTACAATTATATTTGACAAATAAGTTTAATATCATTCAGATTTTGTTCATATTCATACTAAGATAAATGTTTTTTTAAATGTTTACAAGAGTTATTTCCCTTTACAAGATTAATCTGAGGTAAATGGCATAAATAATAATGCTGTTTTCCCTCTATAATATTACCAACTCTGTGGGACAATGTCTTACTAATGAAATCTATATGTAGAGTGAAGCCTGATTAATCTGGACACCAATAATCTGGATACTTCAACTTTCAAACCTGTGGGCAACAATTTATATAAAACAATTATATAATAAATATCCCATTTGCTTGGAAGCATGTCTTGATGAACAAGGCTTGTCTGTATACCTATGTTCATTATGTTTTCCATGTTGCCCCATACTGGGCCAATCAAGGAATGGTACAAAATTATCCAAGAGCATTTGTAGATTTAAAATATTTACAGACAAGTACAGGAGTTAATCTGACAATGGGAGATAACTATAAGGAATGTCGACATCATCTACTGTTTCAATCAAAACTTCTGGGGCCTTTCCAACAAGCAGAAAAACAACCTCGAATGTGTTACATAGGCGTCCATGACAATCCACCTTTTCATAAACTTTAAAATAAATGTAGGGAGACCTCTTATCTGTAGAGTTTGGAGCTTAACTTTATTGAATGTAAAGATATTACCTAAAATATACTACAGGAGTGACTTTTAACTCTGTCTTCCCAATACTTGAATAAATAGGAAGCGACTCCATCTTGTATAAATTTTTAACATCCGGTGATGTGAATACATTCGAGGTTGTTTTTCCGACCTCTGAAGGAAAGGCCAGAGATGATGGGATTGCTACTGTTTCTGATTACATACAGGTATATACAAGTTCCAATAATAGTGAATACAAGTACATGAAGCATATCTGTACATAAATTTGTATTCTCATCTTGTTTCTTTGATGGAGAAAACCCTTTTGATATACTGTTCATAATCAGAGAATTGATGTTGGATTAAGTGTACATATATATGTGGATTTTTTCCAGCTCATCAGAACTTACAATCATTTAAATTAAAAGAGATGAATTTTTTTTTAAACTGGGTTAAAGTGTTCTTTGTGTATAGAAACGTCTTGCAGTCTAGTCTGTTTATAATGGATATTTACCATAAGAGGATGTAAAATAAGAAGTTGACAAATATTTGTATATATTTTTGTCTTTTACATTTTTAATTTGCTCTTTTCAACATACAAAACGTTTAAAACAGGTTAAAATCTATTGCAGCAATTCTAGCTCTAAAAAAAATACCATTGCTTTAGTTTATTAGATTATTTCCAGATACAGTTTAAAATAAAACTACTAGTACAGAGCAGTGTTTTCCCTAAAAACCAGCTACTGGCCAAATTGACCGCTTCAATTGATCAAAATGCCACTTAGAAATCAAAAATTTAAAAAATAATTGTCATAAGATCAACAGAGATTTTGTTCATAAACATCTACTCTCAGCCTGTTACAATTGATCTCTAACCCTTTACTTTGAAATAATAGGAAAACACTGCAAAGACAAAAATTAAACCTGAATAGTAGGGAGATAACTCACTGAATAATTGTTATTATATATACTTCTGAATATTCTTGGCAGAAAAAAAGGGTTATTACATGTAAATCGTTTATGACTTTAAAAATGGGGCATGCCATAAATACACTGTATGTTTTGAAGAATCTCTTTCATCTACTGTGTGCTATGTTTGTGACATTTGGATTTTTTTTTTTGCAAGAATCTGGTGGTATAAAGTTCATTTATGAAATTCTTGTTGCATATAAATTTTGAATTTAATAAATTTTTATAAAACAGCACTTATTTTGCTTCATTTCTTTTATCCCCTCGCAAAAAGTTGGATGGGATATAGCAATACACTGTGGTGTGAGTAATGGAACGCAAGTAATAATTTATGGATGTGCTCTTTTGTGAAGGGATCCTTCACTTTTCTGTGCCCTTGATTTAGTTGTTTTTTTTTTGTTTCAATATACAGAAAGTTACTCTGTAGACTAGGATTTTAGGATTGACTTGAATTTCACTGCAAACCACAGGCACTGGAAGTTATGTAGATACATGTATCTGCATGTATAAAAATATACATGCACATTCTCTTGATTTTCATCAACTTTCAGTGCCTGCATATGTTACACACTGCTCTTGATGCACTTACCAAACTTTTGAAGCTGACTGTTATCACATACCGTACTGTTTTCTGTATAAAGTAACCTGTGCTATAGGGATTTAGCTATCAATACCAATATTATGAAAGATGTGTAAGGTACAAGAATGAACTTTTAAATGTTTGTCATTAAGCTTAGGATATGAAATTATAATCTATTATTTAGAGAGGCTTGATACATTTTGAACATAATGTAATGGTTGGGTCTTTGATATTGGTCTGAATAGCTAAGTTGGTAGAGCACCGGTCATTCAGGGATCCTGGCATTGATTTCCTGCCATACATTTCTTCTTTCCTGTTACAATATTAATGCCCCTGAGTGTGACCAACTTGTAATAGGGACATACCTCAACCAAGTTAATATACATGTAACTGTTAACAGGGTCATGATGATGCAATTATACTTTCATCACAATCTGTCCTTAAGCCACTACATATGTAGCATTTCCCTATAAAAAGTATAATTTTTTCTTAATATCTTTATTTCATTACAAATGTTACTGATACATGAGTATATGAATGAAGTGGATGTCATCTACACAAAACAATATTTTGTTATGTAAATGATTCAGGTCACATGATCACTGGTCAGTCTGTCCTCTACAGCTTTGGACACTGCCTGCTGTAACACTGGATACAGTTTTTGGCACACCTCAATGCACTGCTTGGTGGCCTGAAAAGGACAAAAATCCATTTTCTTTTATTAAATAAAGTCTATGTGATATAAAGGTGATCCCTTATCACCAAACTAAATTTTACATTTGAAATATGCAAAGTTGGGGGTTCCTATTTTTCAAATTTTTCTTTTCCAAAGCACACTAGTTAACATATATCAAATTAGCGTAACATTGAATGAAAACGAGGCCAATGGATGTTAAAAAACCTTTGACCCCTCTATTGTACCCCCTATCCCCCCCCTTTCTCCTAGGGGCCATGATTAAACAAACTTGAATCTACACTATGTCAGGAGCTTTCACTCAAGTTTCATTTTTCCTGGCCCATCAATTGCTGAGATTTTTTTAAGACATCTAACTTATTTTGACATTTTATTGATTTTCTCCCCAAACAAGAGGGTGAGGCCCTTCATTTGAACAAACTTGAATCCCCTTCACCCAAGGATGCTTTGTGTCAAGTTGGGTTGACATTGGCCCAGTGGTTCTGCAGAAGAAGGAAAAAATATGTAAAGTTAACAGTCAGATGGAAGATGGACAAGCTTTGATTGGAAATGCTGAAATCAGACAGATATATGGACAAATGACAACATTTACTTTAGATCAGTCTTACCAATCCACACAGTCTCTTGATCAAGGGCATAACATTACTGAGAGTTACATTAATACAGGTTAATATGGCTAAGAAATATCTATTGCTCTAAAGTTATCACTGTTTCAGACACCCTCTCTCCCCTCAACAAAACACAAAGAATTTAATGTATACACATGCTTACCTTACTGAGTAATTCGAATTCAACTTCTCCTTTAGAGGTGACAGCAGAAACTTGGTTCAGGGATGGCAGCAGTCCAACAGTGACACTTCCATTACCTGTCTGGTTGTCACTCTAAAAGTTGATAATTACTAAATTTATTTTTCAAATTGTAGTACTACACATTACTGTGTTAAATTTATCTCCCCTTTAAAAACAACTGCCTCCTACATAGAATCTCTATATGAAAGTCATTTAATTTTTAGCTCATCTGCACTGAAGGCTCAAGCTCAAAATTTATCAGTTGTCTGTCAGTGTCCTGAATGTCGTAAACTTTTCACATTTTCATTTTCTTCTCCAGAACCAATAATCCAATATCAACCAACTTGGCACAAAGTATCCTTGTGAAAAGGGGATTCAAGTTTGTTCAAATAAAGGGCCTTGCCCTTTTCTTAGGGAAGATAATTAAGAAATGGCAAATATAGGTTTGGGTTATATAAAAATCTTCCTCTCAAGGACCACTGGGCCAGAAAAGGTGAAAACTTATGTGAGAGCTTCCTGATATAGTGAAGAAACCATGGTCCCTTGGGATAGGGTGTAGCCAAAATAGGGGATCAAAGTTTTACATAGGAATATATAGCGAAAAAACTTTAAAAAAATTCTTTTCAAAAACAGTAAAAGCATGATTAGCCATATTGATTTGAAAGCATCCTCAGATAGTGTAGATTCAAGTTTGTTCTAATCATGACCCCCCAGGGATAGGGCAGCGAATCAATGGGCTATCAAATTTTAATTTTAATAGGAATAATTGGAAAAAAAATTTCTTCTCAAGAACAGCATAGGCATGGTAAGTCATATTGATATTAACAGAGATTCAATTTTGTTCAAATCATGACCGCTTGAAAGTTTCACAAAGGAATGTATAGGAAAAAATCTTTTCAATAACAGTACAGGAATGATTAGTTCTTTCAAATAAGGAATCACTGTCTAGTTAGTAGAGTATGCCAGGGCATCAACGATAGTTGGAAACGTGGGATAATTTGCATACCGGGCAAAGCCCATTATGCATAAATTATCCCACGTTTCCAACTATCGTTGATGTCCCTGGCATACTCTACTAACTAGACAGTGATTCCTTATATTTCCATTTCATTGTGAAATAAAATTGTAAAGAAGATGGGTGAACATGACGAGCGAAAAGCCTATAGTGTGACAAACATGAAGGTGAAAAATTAAATCTCAATTATATCAAAATTTTCCTTGATATTTCATCTAACATTAAAATATACTTTATGTAAAATCTGTACAATTTGCAAAAATCTCACAAAGATTGAAATTATTTGCTTATGAAATATTGTACACACACTAAAGAGGGCAGAAAGAGTCATTTTCTCATACTATAACACTATTTTTCGATATGAGTGGGCTCTTCGCTCCATTTTTTTGAAAGTTAATCCTCGAAGTTTGCATAAAAATATACATTTTTGGGTTTCCTTAAATATGGAGCAAAGACCCACTATACCTTAAAAATATACTTTTATGACATATCATTCGCATCTTTTCGAGAAATACTTGAAGTCTATTAAGTCAAGGGTCATATCACAAACATGATTTAAATGCCACTATTCATCAGATCATAGTCTAGTGGTTAGCACGCTAGTCTTGAAAGAAAATGATACTCAGGATTTTTATTGCTAGGGTTCGAACCCCCATGAATATCACTTTTTTTTTTTAATAAAAGAATAAATTTTCCAAGAAAATTTTCCTCAGAAAAGTTGTGTTTATCATAATTTCATACATTTTAATAATGAGAACTTTACTCTAAATACTGAATTCACAAACTGAACATGATTTTTATATACATGTATTTGAAGCTATAGGCTTTCTGCACGCTATGTTCGCCCATCTCCTTTAGATTTTAAAAATGTAGACTAATAGATTTAAATTACACGAGTCCTCACATGTCAATTTCAATAGTCCCCGCCCACTGACGTCAAACACAAAGACAGCCGCACGAGAATTACAAGCATATTAGGCCTCCTTAGAGTCAGACCAAAGACAGTCACACGAGAATTACATGCATATTAGGCCTTCTTAGCTCCTGACCTTTTGCTTGGCGAAATTTGCATTCCGGTAGAATGATCAAGAAATCAACTCTCCTAACTTTCAAAGAGTTATCACAGAGAAAACAAATAGAAATGGAAATATTATGGAATCATCCTCAGGTAGTGAAGATTAAAGTTTGTTTAAAGCATGACCCCTCAAAGTATTGTGGGGCTACAATGAGCGATGAAAGTTATAATTTACATAGTGATATATAGGAAAAATCTTTTTAAAAATCTTCTTAAGAATAACAAAGGCATGATTTATAGTTATATTGATATGGAAACATCCTGAAGGTCGTGTAGATTGAAGTTTGTTCAACTCATGACCCCTGGTGGTAGACTGGAGTCACAATAAGTGAACCTATGAATATATAGCTAGAACTCTGGGTGCTGTGGCCCATGGGCCTTGTGTTAGTGAATAATTGTATCCAATAATTCTGAAAAGAATCTTCCAGTAATGCTTACCTCAGGTTTATATTCCTCCATTTCTGTGGGGTCTATAAACACTTGTGAGGGGGTTATCCTCTGAAAATTTTGAATACCATTTTGCTTGAGTTAGTTAATTTTCATATAGACATAAAATACAGTTCATATACAAGCACTTAAATCTACAAAAGTTTTAGATCTATAAATACTATTTTTTGATGCACCAGAAGCTGTTAAATGGATTTTAATGAACTAATGTTGGCAATGACTTCTTACTGCAGAACATCCTACTACCAGATCATACATCTCTATCCCAGCATTGGCCAGTGCTACAGAACAACAGGTCAGAGACGTGGCCAGGGCTACAATATTGAATGGACTTCAGTACATTACAAAAGAATGAAGCTATACTACTCATATATTTACTACCAAACAATGTTTGTCAATCAAAAACAATAAAAATCATGAAGAGTGGTATCATACCAGGAGCTCAAGAAAAAAAATGAGAACACCAAGATTTTACAAAACATTATTTGAAATATTGTATTCAACAACTGCAAAGAGTCCTCACAAAAATTTCATCACAGGAATAATATGTGTACTTACGACATCCATCATTCTGTAATACAGTTACATATACATTAACTTGGGCCTTTGGAAATTTATGCTGAAAAACAAACAAATGAAACCTGGATATGATTACTATAAAATTAATCTATTAACAAGATAACTGTCTCAAGCTTAAACAGTAAAATATTTCATTTCCAATTACAATGCTAATAATAACTATTATCCAGGTTTTATAGAATTTCATCAAATCATTTTCATACTTTAGACAATAATGACAAAAATTTTTGCACTTACAAATTCATAATATATAAACATCTTGATTAACATTGAGCCCACATACATCATCTTTTGTTTTTGAAAAAAAAAAACTCAAACTGATTATTTGACTGGTTCTCCTACCAGACAAACTGCTGGCTCCAGTGCGTCCTGTAACTGACTGCTGTAGTCTCGTTCCTCATTATCTTGTTGATGTTGACGTCGGACTCGACACGAGAATGTGGCAAACTTAAACTCACAGGTCAACTGGCCTTTCATACTGAATTCTTCCTTCTTCACAACCTCCCTTGGGCCATACCTGAAGGTCATTTGAATATCATTAAATGCGTATACACCTATCTACCACATAAGAAATCTTTTGGTATAAGTTCTTCTGTGTAAAAGTGTTACAATGTACATGTACTTAAAAAGTTGTATTCTACAGGTATTCAAACAACAATGAATTACTGTAAGTCAAAACTTCACAATTTCTCAAAAAGTACCAATCGTGATGGTTTTAATTTCACTCTGCAAGAAATTAATTTAAATTTTGAATAAGCATTTAAATGTTTTTAAAAACTAATGATAGCATTCACAATGGGTTTAATTTCACAGAAAAATGATGAATGGTGAACATAGTGAAATTAAAACCATCGTGATTATTTGCCAATGTACAGTATGTTTCAGAGAATCCTAATTAAGAACTTACACAGCACACATGACTTTGGTTTCATTCTGTTCAATGTAGGCTGAGCCTCTTGCTTGACTAATTACACCAGCCTTTAAGACTGCAAAAAAGATGACAAGTATATTAATTTAAATACAGAGTGTCCTATATAACAGCCAAATGGCAATCATGAAATATGAAAGGGACTGAAATATAATTTTTCTCTCTTACAAAATCTCTGTCAGACATTAGATCTGACAAAGTCAAATGTTCAATCGGACTGGACAGAATTTTGTAAGACCAGATACATGTACCTTATTTTGTATGCTGAGAAAGGAAATAACTACACCAAAATGTCTTTTATTATTTGCAACAGCCTTCAATCTCAGTTTCCTTAAATAGTCTTTAATTAGAGACATAAATGACATGGATTTATGTCTCTGCTTTATTGATCTAATCAACCATTGCAGTAAACTCTTTACCCACAATGCAACACAAATAGACTCTTTTTTCATAACTATTCCTTGGTTCTTTGTTCTCACAATAACCAAGAAATATTGAAAGTTGAAAAGTTTAATAAGTAACTAATTTGCTGTAATAGAAACATTAAAGAGATTGTAGATTAGATACTTTTTACATGCCTTTTGAGACTTTGTAATGGAAATGCAAAGTTCTTGCATATGTCATGTGATGACATGTACTGTCTAAACCTTCCAAATGTCTTGTGCAGTTGGAAGAGGCGGATCTAAGAACAGGTATCTAGTAATACATTATACACTTTTACACGATTGTGCTTGCCGAAATGGTCATACCCTCAACTTATCATTGCCCACATAAATCATCTTTCTAATGGCTATACTTACACACTGGCCGAACCTGCTCCGCTTTTCTGCCATCCTGTCTTTTTTTACTTTTTAAAATCTATGAACAAATTAAATAGTAACTTTTAAATAATTTTTTTTCTGAATAAGTGTAAGATGAAAAAGATATCAAATAATTATTATATGAAGTTTCAGTACAATGGAAATGGACTGCATGGTAAATCCACCTTTTCACTGCAAATTCAAATGACAGTCATGGAAATACACTCGTTTTTTTCCCCCAAAATACCTCCAATGCATTGAAGCAGAACTTTGCCATCTAAACTTCTGTGTACTTTTCATGCAGATTATTCAAACCTAATGTGACTACATTATTTCATGCTGAAAGTATGTTAGCTAAATCTTGAACAGAACAGCTAGGTCCCACACAATCTCTTGATTTAGCTATAAAGCTAATGATTTAGCATATACCTTTATCAAGCTATTCAGAATAGCTTGATTTAGCTATTTTATCACACCTTTTTCTTAAATTTGTTATTTTTTCAGCATGTACAAAAAGTTGCACCTTGGTGCAGTGATGATATTCAACCTTGAACTCTTCTGAAAAAATGCATGTAAAATCACTCACCAAATTGCGTCTTCTTGAGAGACTTTGTACTCAAAGTTCTAAAAGTTTTGGGGCGCGCTATATAAAGCAATTGATTGTGACCACACAGTTACTTCTTGAATGAAATTATAAAGGAGGTAAATTATGGTCAACAAGATAACTGATTGGGAATAATTCAGCACAATGAGAAGCAATCATGCTTATCCACACCTCAACGCACACAAGGTAGTGTACAGTTACTCAAACAATGGAAATTCATCTTTTCCTTAAAAGTATTCAAAAACTGCAATATTAGAACTACGTGTATCTTTGGTATGGTTTTTTTTTTTTGGATAGCACATAGTAAATATACGGATAGTCAAATACTTGCAACTTTTTATCTATTTCTTAAAAAAAAAACATTTTTGTGAAAAACTGCATATAAATAGCTTTATCAAGCTATTCTGATTTCTGAATATCTAAATCAAACTATATAGGTAAATCAAAAGATTGTGCGGGCCTGCAGAACTAGGTGCATATATTTTTTTCAACAATCCGCCAGACATCCAGTCGTATTTATTCTATTATAAAATATGCACTGTAAAGTAAATTAAAACAAACTTTAAAAAAAAAGAAAAGAGGAAAAAAAAACAAGAATGGAGAAAATGTGCGGAAATCTGAATTATGAAAAAGTACCTCTTTCGTTTTCTTTACATTTACAAAAAACACGGATGGGTCAAATGATTCCTCTGGACCATTGATTCGTTTCGTGTCGGTTGGCATATCTGGTACACAATTATCAAAAGTGAACTCTATGACATGTAAATGTTTGAGAAAATAATACCACTTTTCATCATCACCGTCACTCACGTCTTCCCAATGGGCGCAGCCATTTTGAAAAAAAAAATATAAACAAGTGAGTCTGTAAGAGGGGAAGTACAAAGTCCGGTCGATGATCTATATTGTCACCATTGAACAAAAACTGACTACTTTTAACAGATGAATAATTGGTATTTTTCTGTGTAGGCAAATTTTATATGTGCAAAATGCATAGATGTACCAATTTTAGATTGTATGCAAAACAAATACAGGTGCTTGTGGACAGGACCCTGCTTATACGATGCAATCCCCAACCCCCCTTAATCTGTTAATATTTTTTTGTTCATAATTATTTTTTTATAATCATTTTTAATCTCTTACTCTTTCATTTACATATTCCTGATCGAAATTCCGACGCAGATGCAAATTCTAATAACATTCGTTACATGTATAGACGAAGTAGTAAGAGATAAAAAAAAAGAAATAAAGAAAAATTATATATACATATATAATTATAAGCTAGAAATATGTCCATAGGATATGAATGCCCCACCGAGGTTATATTATCAATGCAACATGAAAATTGTATTAGTGTATGAAGTTTGATAAGAATATTTCGAATAGTTTCTTTAAAATTGAAATTGAAATTAAAAAATGGATATAGATGATAAATTCTCACCAAATAATCACAGGAGTTCGCGTATCTATCAATTTTACCGAATTTTTCAGTAAGTATAAAAAATACGTAATACCTATAATAATAACACTATAGGCATTACGTATTTTTTATATTTATACTGAAAAATTCGGTAAAATTGATAGGTACGCGAACTCCTGTGAAGTAATGTATAAGTGCACAAGCTTACATAAAAATATCTTAAAATTTCTTTAAAACTAAGCAAAATGCAAATTTAAAAAAGAAGTGAGGTCAAGGTCATAGGAAAGTTCAAGGTCAAAAGTTTTTGATGCAGTTGAATAGCTTTCACTAATACACATCTGGAGCCTGTTTTACCAAAGAACTTACCACTAAGACCAAAAAATTCAATTGATTAAAAAAATTTGCAAAATTAATGATTCTGTTTAAAACTGACAGCTTTAAAAATATTTTTTTTTATTCCTTTTAAAAAGATCAAAATCATTTTTAATTTACTGAAAATTAAAAAGCTATCAGCAAAATTAAATTTTGGTCTTAGTCGTAAAGGATGACTGCACTTAAGGACATACGAAATTTGCGACAAAATAAACTTTTAAAACAAGCATTTTTCTTTTCATTGCAAGAATGGTCAACATCCAATCTACAACTTTATGTAATTACGTTTAATAAAAGTGTGTATTTACGAAGTTCGAGTCTGTTTTCAAAGGCAGGGGTCATCACAATTTCTTGAATCTCCGTTCGATAATGAGGACGCCCACTTTTTTTACTGACTTTATACATAGTCAGCGCATGTTTGTCTATTGTTCTACGTTTAACAGTAGTTGTATATTTGCATAAATAATAATGTGTCAAAAGGAGATTAATAGACAAACATGCGCTCATGGTCAAAAAGAGAAAAAACTGCTTCTTCTTACATTCGCTCTCTGTGTTGTAACCAAGGATTGTGACATGCTGAATAACTTTGTGAATACTAAATTCCGTCAAGTGACTTGTAAGGTAGCACGTTTGTGCTAACTAGGACATTGTGTTCGAACACGTTAAGTCATCTGGCATTGATATAAAATCTGCTTTAATTACATTGACGTGCTCATATTGTTAATTTCGTTTTGAAACCTTTATCAGAAGTGTATTTGTGCCATACAGAATGGAGAGGGAGATTGGAAAGAGTGATCACGTTCTTTTTTCCAAACGTCATTGTTATTTATCAAGTCTAATTTTAGACCCATTCTTACAATGTTAGCTCCACCTCTCATGCATACCTAATGTTCAATCAAGGGCAGATAAGTGTAAATTCACTATATTTGGAAAGCAGTAAGGACAAAAAACATTGAATCATTTTATTGTATCACAGTCTAAAATCATTTTAAGATTTAAATTTGGTTCCAAATTTACAGGATTCTCTCAAAAACATACAAAAGTGAAATAAGGTTTAGATATAAAAGCAACCGAAAAAGACCCAAAAACAGGCGTTAGGTACAGTCATCCTTCTTTTGTAAAACGGGCCCCAGAATATTAAGTTTGATAAAAATATCTTGAATGATTAATTTAAAACTGAGGTAAACACTAATTTAAGAAAAGTGAAGTCAAGTTTAAATGAAAAGTCAAGGTCAAAAAATGTTGATGCATTTGAAAAGCTTACATCAGTATGTTTTAGCATATGAAGTTTGATAAAAATATCCACTCTCTGCCATCGGTTCATACATTCACCTTTGTCGTATGTCACAGAAGTGGTGCGTTTGTTTTAATTCATTATAATTAAATGCCTGCACTATTGTTTATCTTTTATGGTAGACATTTACTAAGTAGATCTAGAACTAGAATATTTTTCTAAAACAAATTTACAAAGTAATACAAAAATATAACTAAAAACCAACAAAAACACTCACTGTTCTCTTTTAGTATGTTATAGGTTATGTTTTGGATTTCTCAATTGTATAACACCGGCTTTTTAAATGTGTCATAGAGAAATATTCTAACCCCTCCCCCCCTCCCCGCGGAATCTGTAATCTAGAGTAAGGATTGAAATCTTATACTCAAGAGCCAAATTTTTCCATCTCTCTTTCTTTCTCAGAGTATCAATGCTAAAATCATATCGACAATAATTTGGCTAAAATTTTATATGAACGTTCACTGTCAGCTGTCAGGTTTTTAATGGAAATTGAGTGTTTTCGACCCAAAAATAGTTCAATTTAAGTTTCATCAATGAAAACTTTATATATATATATATATATATATATATATATATATATATATATATATATATATATATATATATATATATAAGTCATTGAGTCTCGTTCCAAAATCCACCTTTAGAGATTTGACATGCTTGCTCTCTACCGCCCCAGTATTTTATCTAGTATGGATGATTACTTTTTAAAAAGAGTGCGTGAGAAAAATTTGAAATTTGTATTCGTAACATTTTGTGAGGTACAGTGTATTTGAATATGAGATTGTATGTTTTATCTATATAAAATGGTATAAAAACAAACCAGATGGGGTTATGTTGTAGCTGAGAAAAACGCCTTTTCTCTCTCTCTTGCACACATCCCCTTTTCACTTTGGCGACATTGGAAAACACCAATGGAATTAATGTGGTCGAAATCTTTTTCCGTATCATAATTTTAACAGTTCTTTGCTTGGTAATCTTATTCGTTAACAAATGATCTTTAGTAAAGTTCATAACCTTAGGGTCGGAGACAACCATTGTAAATTTGAACCCATTCCAATCAAGGTTTCGACTGCTATGGTTTTAGGACGACAATCCACGCCAAGACCAATAAGTCTTCTCACAATGGGAAGAAAACAATGCCACACCGCCAATTTTAGTGCGTATTGAAATAAAGACAAAATGTTCCTTTAATCAGTTATTTAAATTTCATTGATTTTAAAAATCAAATTTTTATTAATTCAACCCCAGTCTTCCGTGATTGCAAATGGAAACGTAATTTAAATGCACACGGAAACACGTGTTGGATGTTCAAAATAAAATAATGAATGATTATGCGCGATAGAAACAAATCCAAATGAGGACCTTTGGTGTACCTTGCTCTTTATATACTTTAAATAAATGATATGTAACATGGATGAATTCCTTTTCATCTAGCAAAAACAATATTTAAGGCACTTAAAATATAATTTTTATTGAGAAAAGACTATGCTATTTTTTTTAAAGAAAAAGTTGCAGCTCACTAGAAACGCTCAGTTATGTAAACTTTTCATATGGAATTTCGTGTTCTAACTGTAAGGTTTCAACCATTTAGGCCAAAAACTGAAGACCTCCCTACTACAAGCGGACTCTGGACCGTGGCTTGAGACGATGCCAATGGTAGTGCAACTGTTGGCTCATGGACAGCATTAACCAAAAAGAACACTCTTAGAAAGTGTTACTATTTTAATAACAAAGGACAAGATGGGCTAAGACCCCTTTTTGGCCCCCGGTTCGGGGTGTCTTTTAGAGTGATGCAACAGTTTATCAGTTAAAAACCTGTTGTCACCCCTGCCACAAAATGAGTATTGGTTCTAAGTTATGGGATACACAGAGGTCACAGGAAGGTCGCAAAATATGTCAATTTCCGAATTTTCTCATTTTTATGCAAATTTTCATCTATTTTACAGCACATTTTGGTTCAGAAAACATAGAGCACAAGCTTGCCTATCTATCAAATTTATATATTTCATACACTAGTATCAGATGCATCTATGTATAAAAATCTCAGATAGGCAAGCTTGTGCTCTATGTTTCCCGAAGTGAAAAGTATCTCAAATTTCACTAAATTCGATCAGAATTGAGGAAATTCGGGATAATGTCCTACTTTTGCATCCTCTTGTGGCCTCCGTGTAAGCCTTGAATCAAAATTAGTGTCGGTTTTAAAACAAGCATCATTTTAAGTTCTTATCTACAAACTATCACAATTTTAACTGTGTTCTGATTTTTACATCAAATAAGGGGCCAGATTCGGCCGTTACCATACCTTGTCCTTTGATTTTCTCTGACACTGAAGTTCTTTATCAATTTCTAATTAGGAGGAATCAAAATTTGCTTTTACAGTAAACGTTTAAACAAGTTGTTTTTTTTATTTCCATAAAGCGAACCTAATTGGCACTGCGCCAAAATTTCCATGTTTGAAGAAAGAAACAAGCAGTGAATATCTGTGCCAGAAAGTTAATTCACTAATCACAGTCATTATTTGAATAAACGTCTCAGAAAAGAACAAACACTTTTATACTTATTTGTAGATTTTATACTTTAATAATTTTTGTCGTGCAAAACAAAAGCAGTCGTCTAGCAATTAGATATTGACTAGATCGAACCTACAATCCTGGTGTTCACATACACAACATCGACAAAGTCTGAAAATAGAGCTACAACTAAGAAATGTGTTAATTTACATTACATATAAAAATGAATAAATATAAATTCCAAATGTACAAAAAAGTAAAATTTACAAAAATGCGCATTTGATGCGATGTATAACAAAACTAATGTATACCCGATTTTTATACTTCTAAATGACAAAAAGGTGTTTTAAAATTAATCGATATGTGCAACACATTGTAGCATACTCATGTACAGTATAGCATGAATTCAAAATAAATATATAGTGCGAATTATTCCAACTTCTTTGAATTATTATTTTTCATCGTGAATAAAGCTAAAAAAGGACAAGCTAGGAATCGAAACCTTTGATTACAAAGGATATCAGGGGTAGTTTTAGTATTCTGGGCGTCTTTCAAAGAAAGATAGATATCGGAACCGACGCGTATATTTTTCAGTTAGAGCTCATCTACGGAAACAAATTACATAGACTTAGAATTGTCTAAAAGTACCTTTGAGCACGTGTTTCTTTTTAATACAGCACAATTGTCAAGTGATAACATCTTAATAGCACCAACATTTGTTAGATACAACTTACATATCACAGACGTACAAATTATGTCTTACAAAACTACCGAGATTCAAATAAAAAAACTTGAAAAACCAATATTTGTTTTGTTCACTCAATGTCGAAAATTTCCTGTTCCTTTTTTATTTGCCGAAAAGTTGATAACAAATCAATTTTGATATGAATGGATAGCTTCAATGCATTTGAAAGGACAAGATATACTGGTGGTTCTATAACTTTAAACGAAATTAAGACGCACACCAATGTCGAAATTTCATTAATTTCAAAGCCTTGAAATAACCGAAACGAATATGTTCCTTCCTAATCGTTACATTTTGGAGTTTGGAATCAGAGTATGACAATCAAAAGCACGATTTTTATTCGAACACTCCAAATCTCCCTCTTTGAAAACAATAACATCTTCAAACATCAGTGAATGTACTTTATATTGTAAAATCACATTAAAGTACTTTGGTGGATATATACAATTCCGGATTACCCACAAATAATGGCCATATGTGCAGCAATAAATGGACTAATCCGTGCATGGACGGATCTTATCACAGATATTAACAGTCAACAAACCATAACAAAACAACAAATATTAACAAAAATAAATAAGCACCATCAATAATTTAAAATGTCCCTCTTTGATTAATATCGAAACTTCCGAGAAAGTTGCGGACTGGCCTTTGGGTTAAATTTCGCAGAGTTTCTACTAGCTCCATTTTGATTGCCAGGAACCCTCGGTTCCAATCGAGGATCGCGACGTGAAGTAAAATTAGAGTTTCTGATTGGTGGAAACAGCTCTTTCCTTGGTCTCTTTTTCTGGCTCTCCTCCACCCACTGTTGACCACCGATGTAAATGCAAATTCCAGCGGCAATGTCTATGATAAGGCCAACAATCACAAAACCACATGACCAATTCAGTTCGTACTGTAATGAGGACATAGCAGAACCAAACATGATGACCCCGATAAATCCGCATAAAGCTGAAAAATATGAAATATTCAAATTATTGTTGAAATATAAACAAAGTGAATTTACAGGTAAATTAAAGACAATTATCAAATATCAACCATGCAATTAATCAAAAAATTACTAATATACTGTTGTTCGATTCCCAGACTTTTATAGTTTTTTAAATATTTAATTTCATTTGCAAGATTTTTAAAATGTTTTTTAAGGAAAAATCGATAGAATGTTGTTATTACATCACTAGTACTGAAAGGACCCCCCTTTGAAATCATTTAACAGAGCTTATCGATATTTATACCTCTCTAAATGAGTATATTTTAGCAAGGAGAAATGGCAATACTATTGAAGATGTGCATTTTTATTGAATCGAAAGTTTCTCTTATGTCCTTGTTCGCTTCATAGAACTTCTAATTACATGCCCTGCTTAATTTAATACCACGCGTACGAAAAAGGATTTAATAAATGTTTTCTTTCTTACTAAGAAGTTGAAATACATATTCGAGTTCAATTGTGTTATTAATCGACTTTGATAAACCTACTAAATTTTATTCCAGTTCTCTGAACACATACAATAGGGAATCAGCCATTCCAATATAAAAAGAGACTAAGTGTAATCGTCTTATGTGAGTTTTGGATAATTATTTTCTGGGTATGAAAACAGAGGGTTATCAAGCGTCTTTTTTCTGAGCCCCGGTTTGTTAATGTCCCTGAAATCATCCATGTAATACACGTAATTGGGTCTACATTTCAATTCCGAATGCTTCTATCTGAGTTTGTATGCTTTAAGATTAATTTTCACAAGATATCGTTAGAATACGTTATGTGTATTACACGATATGAATGCGTTCAGGATTGAAGCATTAATGTTAAGGTTTGCTTCGTGCATCTAAATCTTTGATTGTCTAATGTTGTTTGTCGAACCTTAGCCCGAAATATCAGAGACAAAAATCGACTCCAAAACTTAAAATGTAGCGCAGTGCCACGCTGTATACTGGGGCTAGATTGTTATTTCTTTTGCTGATTAACGCATTCTTCGTGATTTTTGACACGGGTTGGTTTATCATAAGGCGACAATCTTGATACATATTTCTACAATTTATAAAGCTGAATGAAAGATTGTCTCGATCCGACCTGTTAACTGAATTGCCATCTTATTTAAGATCTAAAGTATTAAAGTTCGACTAGTTCATGCCGGTGACTCTTAAGCTTAAAATGTAGTCCACGTTGTATCTTGCGATTGTTATGTAATTAACTAATTAAAATAAATATTAATTATATATTCTAAACTTTATTTGTTTAAAACGTCATCGTCATGATTCATTCCGATCAATTAGATATTTTTATTTAATTACAACACCACAAGGACACAAGATATAAACAAAACGTATGTTAAAAAGATCCTGAAGCATTGATCCAAGAATGCCATGGGAAGCGAAAAAAGTCCTTTATGTATGTGTAGAAGTCTATCTTGTTTATATAACAATATATATACTCTGATAGTTTTTGCATTTAATAAACTTGGTTATTAATTGTAAAATATACATATGCAGATTGCAGAGAATATGGTATATTCATTTCTTCGCTTATACTATACGGTAAATTCAGACTGCTGTATATTTAAAAGTTTTTAATAGATGTTAATATTTTTGTTGCATACAAAATTATAAGCTCGTTTCTACACTACATGTACAATTAATTTTCAGTATCTTTATTTTAGAGTATAGTTAATCATAATTTCACACCAGAAAACATTATACAATTATAAATGTTAGACAGTATTTTACATCGAGTTTTTGATTTCAAATTATAGTTGTAGCAGCACTTTTGATTGATAAACTATACTAATCTTTCGTTTACGGAGATAAAACACAGTTTACACTTGTTAATTAAAGTTAAACTTCGTATACTACATTTCATCACTCAAAAACTACAGTTCGGAGCTGATATACGGTAAATGGATCTAAAACAAACTGTTATCTATAATTTTTATACTAATAATATTACGCAGTAATTTTCTAATTATGAGTGAAAAATAATTTTGTATTTCATGAAATAGGTTTAAATGTAGTTTATGTAGCAAATCTATAGGACTTGCCGTAAAAAGAAATTTAGCTGTAGTTTTGCGAAGCATTGAATCATAGTCTAAATTCGTGAAATAAGTTTCAGATAAAAATGAACAATTCAAACAACAAAATGAAAAAAAAAAATTCTTGTGAAACTTCTCAAGCGTAAAACAATGTTTTTCTGTGTGAATTCGGAACCAAATCCGTTAAAACAGATGTTTTAAGCGTTGTAAACCATAATTAGTATACCAGGGTATACTTTAAAATAGTCTAGAGTTGCTAACCATCGTTCACAAATTGTGAAACTATATTAAAAAGATTAAAAAAAAATGGTTTGAACTAGTAATTATAGGTAAAGAGTTAAGGCGTTAACATTTGGTTAGGGGTGCTAAATATGAAGTAATCATCGTTAACTAGTGTGTGTCATGTAAAATATTCTGAACAATTTTATAAACCTTGTTCTTAAAATGCAAAATTATATTTCGTTCATTTTTGATAATTTTGGCGCTATTTGTTAATTATTGGCATTAATACCTCGATGGCATAATACCACAAGAATGACATAAAATGTTTTAAAAATTATCAGATTAAATGTGGAAAATATTGAACAAATGTAAATTGAAAATTTACATGTATTTGTATAAATAAGCACAGGATAGACTAAATTGACATGCATATATATAATACAATTGTATTAATATTATAGGATATAAAAATTTCATCTATTTAAGATAAGAATTTCCAATTAGTTTCACGATATTATCTTCTTCTTCTTTTTTTTTTTTTTTTTTGGAGACTGGGGAATAAAATGTAATTTCAGTTTTTTGTTTAACATATCCTATAATGGTCATAACAAAGTTCTATGAAACAAATTAAATTTTTTCTTTGTCACCAAAAAAAAAAAAAAAAAAAAAAACACTAGAAATTTTGATTAAGATTAACTTTCAGGACGTAAAGAAATCAGATAAAAAGATGTCAGCTACAAAGTCTCTATCGTTATTTCGCAGAATAAATAAGAAACTAACTTGTTCGTTATTTTGTACCTTAGCAGACAATGTAATGTTAATAATATTTTTTAATGAAAAGTATACATCAAATTAGACATACTAAAAGAAAATTTCAAATTATGTTTTAAAATGAGCCAATCTTCGCAAAAATAAAATTCTAATGACTGAAGGCTAGTGCTACAGATTTCTGCACAAACCTGTTGCAAAGGCAGTTATGGCTGCTCCCCGAGAGAGGGATCGTTCATTAAATAAACCACACATATACAGCAACATTAATAGAATCACAAAGTAGACACCACACAGAGTGAAAATCTCCATCACCGCTGCACCCATGATCGCTGCTTTCTCTGAAAGTAAACATAATTAATGTGCAATTAATGCGAAAAAAGATGTAGAAAATCAAAAATACTATTTCCACGTGAAATGTTGAAAGATTTGTCTATGTAATACAAAATTTATGTGCCTTCTTCTCGAAATATACCACAATTTTCTGTCGAAAAGAGAATAAAATGATAGGTGCCTTTTCCTGCTAAAAATGTAACTATGCCAATTAACTTACCCGTCTTTCCATGATAGAAGACGTGAGTGTCATAGCAATAATATCCCTTACACGTAGTGAAGAGTCCTGAATTCACAGAGTCCTCAGCAGTGGCCCAGTATTTTGTGGAGAATCCAATCGTAAAGAACAGGGTGGCCACCACCTGTACAATACAGGCGATCCAATCTAGCCCCACCCGGCACTTCATTTTGTGTCCCTATGACCACAAAATTTCGAAAACAGAATGTGTGGTCCCGACTATTTACGAGACCATAATTAATGTGTTAAAAATCACTGTACTTAAGCTAAAATTGTTTTTGAATAACGATCGGATATTTTTTCCCCCTTTTTTTCCAATGTGAAAATTTCTTCTTCAAGAATTTATAGAATTTCTAGTTATGCACAAATCCTCAACGAAGACTAAAAAATCCAACTTTGCGCAGACCTTGAAGAAAATGTCAGGCACAAGTCTTGGAGGGAACAAATGGCTTTTCTTTCGAATCCTCCCGATTTGCCAGTTAACGACTGCTTTTTGTGGTCATGATAAAGCCTGAATCCAAACACATTTTATCTAAGTCAAACATTGTCGTTCCGAGTTGGAAATCATAACCAGCGATATTTGGCCCGATATATGAGACACACACCTTTCCCAAATCTTTCAATACATACTTTGTAGATATTTAAAACACCAAACTTTGAAGGCCCAACGAAGGGGTTCACAATTGTTTAAAAGGATTTATTTGTATGGATATTAAATTTCCTGCACTTGTTCAATGTAATCCTCATGGCGTTAAAAGATTAATTTTCCATTATTTCATCCATTGCAAGTTCAACATAACCTGGATTAGAGGTATGACGCATGACGAGAACCTTGGTACTAACATTACGTGATCGAACAAAGCAGTCATTAAAAGTAAAGGAAAAAAAGAGAAGAGATTTATAAACATTGAACAGTTGAGTAAATCATTCCGAAAGGGATAATTATCACGATGCATATTTCATGTTCCATCCGCGTTGGTAGGTTTCCTCATGGAAAAATTGAGACCACAGCAAAGCTTCCATATAAAATTGTGGTGATTGCAGCAAAATGTTTGTACAATTAGGTGTTCAAAGTCGTACTTGCACACTTCTATCACTTCTAGGAAGTCAATGGCATCAGAGTAGACACTGATCAAACTCTGTAGTATTTGAATAAGCAGCCAAGTACACTGTATCAAACAAATCTTAAAGAAATATGAAGCTTATCTTTTTACTAAATAATTTTTAGACCATGCAAAAACCAATATAAATTTGTGATGCATATACATTGAAATTAAAAAAAAAGATACGGTTTGTAAATGAAAATTTAAGGATTCCCTTCTCTCTTCATTGTGTGTTTAGATCAGGAAAAGAGAAGGGGGGGGGGGGGTGAAGGATATCAAGAAATGAACAGACTCACTTTAAATTCCCTGCTGTGCCTCACGTAATTTCGACTCGTACCTTGATCCCCACTCAACAGGTAAATATTCAGGTAGGTATTTGGTATACCTTTTCGCAAGTGTCTTTAATTTCTAAAGATTCGCGTCACTCAGATCCAAGAGATCGATTGGACTGTTTGAATAGAATTCTAATCACAGAATTGTCAATTGCGTTACTGGGCCTATATAATTTATAGAATTGATGAATTCTCAAATCTGTGTGGGGAGGGGGATGGATGGTCAGACCTTTTTAAATTTTGAAATGTATACACGCGCAAATTAATTGTTGAATGGAAGGACTGTCCCGTGTACGGGGTATGTCCCTTTTTGAATGAGAAGAGGGGCTAATATTGTAATGTTCGGGGGGGGGGGGATCTCAATTTCGAAAAAGAAGCCGTATTTTAATCAGTTTGTTTTTATCTGTGTAAATAAAAAATACAGTCATAACGCATGAGTTATGAGTTTTAATATTTATTTTCCAACAGTGTGCTTTGAGTGTTCAGTTTTTTGAAACAATTAGGACACCTCTTGGCACTGATACTTGCAGGGGGGGGGGGGATCATCGAAACACCTTCATTTAATCTGTCTATTAAATACACAGGAACAGAGAGAAAATTTTCATATACTTAAAAAATTTCACTATATGACCAATAGAGCCCCACCCTAACATCAAACCCCTGAACTTGGCCGGGTCCATGAATTTCACATTTAAGATAGAGGCACCTTTGCTCATCTTAACTAAGCACTTAGTTTGTACTCTTAATACCCAGTTGTAGAGAAGATTTTCAAGGAATTAATGCATTTTCACTGCTACATGTATGTACTTTATGATTTATGAGCCCCTCACCCTAAGCACCAATATCCCTGACTCTGGGGTCATGAATTTCACAATTTTGGAAAGGGCAATCCTGCTATTCATAACCATGCAATTAGCATGCTTAGTGTGTCTGGAAAATCTTAAAGGTGCTTGGACACACATTTGAAGTTAATATTTTCTCAAAATTTCTGTTTTCATGACTAAATATGTTGCTATAGCATTTCATACTAAAATATAATAAAAATCTTATTTCATCTCGAAGTTATTAAAACTTCGAATTTCTGGACGCGTTGGATTGACACATCCTTGCGCTTTCACATATTTTAATTTTATTCTTAATACTTAAGAAAAGTGCAATTTTGTTGTGTATTAATGAAAAATATTAAAACTATAACCCAGAAAATTCAGAGTAGAAATGTTCGAAAGCAAAACCCACTCACAGTATTGTAAGTCCGTGCTCAGTGGTGTGTGCAGAGTTTAACAACTGAACACACCTGGTGAATCTTAAACATTAACAATAAAAGAGCTCGTGCCCTGTTTACAAAAACAGTTTACGTTTCACGGGTGTGTTCAATTTGTTAAACTCTGTACACATCACAGAGCACGGACTGACAATATTTAAGAGTTGGTTTTGCTTTCGAACATTTCTACTATGAATTTTCTGGATTATAGATGTAATATTTTTCATTAATGCATAACAAAATCGATTCTTTTCTTAAATATTAAGGATAAAGTTAAAATTTGCGTAAGTGCAAAGATGTGTTAATCAAACGCGTCCCGGAATTTGTAGTTCCAATAATTTCCAGATAAAAAGTTTTTAATTATATTTTCGTGTGAAATGCTATTGCAATACATGTATATAAGTCGTGATATTATACAGAAAATTTGATAAAATATTAAGTTCAAATCTGTGTCTAAGCACCTTTAAATGGGAGAGACGATTTTTGAAGAATAAATGCATTTTTACTATATCATCAATTGAACCTCATCCTTACACCAGAACCCCTGACCCTGGGGCCATGGATTTCACACTTTGGAAGAAGCACCCTTGCTCATCATAACCATGCACTTATTTTGACTGCTAATTTTACATGGTGAGAGATGATAATTTTTAAATAATTTATGCATTTTCAACATACGATCTATTGATCCCTGCCCTCAAACCAGAACCCATACAGTGAGGAAGATTTTTGAAGATTGCATTTTATGATGGTTTTGGCCCCATCCCTCAGGCCCCACACAATTTTTGTTTCCCTTAACCTACAGATGTTTCACACCAAAATTGGTTATACATGTAATTGGTTCAGCTGTTCAAGCATTTAAAGAAGTAGGACTTTTTCCAAGGATACACTTGATTTTCCATAATGTGCACACAAAACAATGACAATAAATCATAAATACATGTAATAAATCTACCTGTATATCAGTTGGGGGGGGGTGTGTCAATTTTTGCATGTTTTGCATAAATAAATATTTTTGGGAGAATGCAAGAAAATGGATGGCTATAAAGGAAAAATCCATGATAAATAAATGAATGGGTTTTTAGTAATAATAAAGCCTTTATAAACTGTTTTACAAATTTTTATAACATTTTCTGAGCATCCTATGTCCTTAAGAGACTGCAAACCACAGCTGGGAGTTACGTCCATAATGCAAAGAGATTATATACTCTCTATCCAGTGGTTAAATTTGCATATCATCAAACAGAATTAATATATCAAACAGATGCTAGAACCTTGCCCTTTTTAAACCAATCTTTCAAAAGCTGCCATTTAACTGTTTAATACCCAGCAATAAGAAAACAAAACTTCAGTGTAGATGGGTCAAAGAATTCTATTAGACAAAGTAAGAAAATTTACAACAGTTAAACTGGGCTAATGCATGATCAGATATTTGCTCTATGGATAAGGAAAATACCCTGTACCAAAGTTCCCTCTCTAATGAGAAATTCTTGCTTTAAGGAAGAGAAATCAATTCAGTATTTACTTTTATTCCCTTCAAAATAGAAACTTTTAGCCATTTCCATTACATGTATAAGACTTAGTACTAGTTAATATCTGTAGTTACAAGACAAACATTAATGTATAACTAATATGAATACTAGTATACTACATGATTTCACTCATAATACCGGTAATCAATAGAAATAATAATCATTCTTCAAGATCACATATACTTGATCCAATCATATCACACAAATTCATTTATTCCAATGCCTTATTATTTATGACTTTCAAAAATCACAGATATAAAGAACACATCAAATGCACTATCCTCAATTCAAGTACAAAATGGTATTTCTACAAATATTGATGACTAGCATTAATAGTTCAGGAACATAAATATTCAGATAAATTTTCCTTAAAGATGTCCTGCTTGTACAATTTTTCTCTTCATTTCATGTGATGTCAAATTATATAAACTGTATGACAAAGACATCACACTGTGTTTTTCATTCCTATTGATTACATGTTTATTACTCATCAATCAATTTATCACATGTTATATTGGTATTGTCTTTAAAATCACAAAATCAAACAAACAAATGTGATGATAACATTGGATTTAGTCCAGTTTTCTGGCAGCTCGCCCTTTGAATTCATCCATAGAGTTAGAGGCTCCAAAATATTCAGAAAGAAGTGCAGAAACTTTTGTTGGGAAAACTCTGAAAAGATATTTTAGCTTGGTTGTTCTTCATTTTTTTTTTTTGCTTTTTGTCTATAAACTTAAAACATTCATATGATCATAAATGTTGTTTACAATACGAGGCTCCTTTGTCATGTTTTATTATAAATTGTAGAACATGCTTTACACTTGATATATATACAGTCAGTCATTCCTTCACCAAAAGGGGCAAGTTTCCAACAAGACTTGTGCACTTGATGATATGTGTTTGTGAGGCCATGCAAAAATACATTTATCTCTGTACAAGATCTTTAACATCAAAGTGACTTATATTCCTTCTTCTTTACAACATACATTTATAGTCCTACTTTCAGAGGCCCCTTTAATATATTTGACTCAATGTGTAGACTAGATTTACTCAGGCATATTTTTATGATTTGGGTCACTTCGTTGGAATCTTTTTTGTCCATTATTTTACACTCTCCTCTCTAACTTACATCATTTTATTAGTAATTTAGTACTACATGTCAATTGAAAAAGCTTAACACTGCTAGCAGTTTATGTTTTTGCCATGAAATAATTCATTTAATACAGTTGAATTTTGGTATCTTGAACACTGATATCTTGAATACCATGTATATATCAAAGTGATTTGGAAGTCCCAGCCACTTATTCTTTAACTGTTTTACCCCTAATATCTTGATCCTTGAATAACTCTAATTTTTTTCTCAGTCCCATCAAGTTTGATATAATGAGGGTTGACTGTATTTTAATTCCATATAACTTGTATTTGATTCAAACCAAAATTCATGCAGGAAATGGAATTCAAAGTACTGATAAATGTTTCTTCAACAGAAATCTCTTTTCACCAAATAATCGTTAATTATCCATGGAAAAATTAATAATCCTTGATGGATTTTCCTTAGTATGTATATTTGTTTGTAGAAAACTACCAGAACAAGGAGGATTTGACCAACTGACCTCTAATCACACAAAATCTAACTCAGGTTTCTTCCTCTAAAAGTGTCCATGAAATTAGAACCACCAAAATACGTTAATCCAACTTCACAGCATTTAGCAGGTAGAATCCTGCAAATCATTAATGTTTTGAGTTGAAACAGCATCAATTTTAAAGAACTATGCTCAGTTTTAGGCCATGACACATAATAACATTAATAATCATGATATTCTTGTAGTGTAGTAAATGATAAATAATAACCTTAACACAATAGTTTGTAGTGAAAGAACTGTGCACTGCATGCTAACTCTTGATTCCTGCTTTCATATTAACAACACATTCTTCAAAATGTTTAAATATTTAGTAGTTTTGATACTGAAGTATTTGTTTTGAATGCAAGAAAGTTTTGTCAAGGAAGGGGGGTGGGGTTTAGATGTTTTAATAAATTTTGTTCACAATTGACTTCTTAAATAAAATACATGTACAGTGTATGTGAGTTTTACCAATTTGAAAATTTTAATTTAGACTTTAGATTTGTTTTGCCAAACTTGATGAAAGTTCATTTATTTAAATATTTACATAAATTCAAAATTATTTTAACATACTCTTGAAAACAAACCTAATTTTATGGTAGGCAGTGAAATAAACATAGGTAATCAGAGATTACAGAGCTCTCCTCACCTAAAAACTTTAAACTAGTCACTCATCCAGAAAATGTAAGTCATATCCAGCATCTGAAGCAAGTTTGAGAGTGTTCATCCTGTGATGCATCATCCATGCAAAGGACAAGTGCACTTAAGCAATGCTTAATGAGCCCTTTTTCAGTGTCGTATTACTTTAGAATATATTACCAAATTGTTCTCTTTTTGTAAAAGTTAAATACAAGTGTATATTTCTAATTAAAATCACATTAAAACATCACCTGAATCAGCATGGATTTGAAACAAATGAAGATTTTTATATGCCTATAGATACCCCAAATCCGGAAAAGTCGTACCGAACCAATTTGAGTATCGTTTATTTAAATCAAGGGGAGGAGACATTTAAATCGCACACTTGAACAATCTGATGGTGGATCACTGATGGGCGTGTTTGCCGAATGATACTTATTGCGCTATTTTACCTGAGAAAAAAATCGTATGCCTGTAGCCATAGTGATCAAACTAAGAAATTTGCATGCTTGCATTTGAAATAATACAATATGTATTAACATTAGTTCCTTTAAATTTTAAAATGAGAAAAAAGGTGTATTTAGGTAGCTTTCAATACCGTTACCATTGTCTTGCATGAATGTTAAAAATGTTTGACGCTTTTATGTATGATATGACATTTTAATGACACTAAACTCTCCTAACCCTCCCATGTTCCTAAAACCAAATACATACAAACTTCTCTATATGCAGCACGACTTCGATATAATGATACAAAATGTGGCTATCTTTTACAGTGAGCACCTTTGAGGAATGTTTACCTGGGTAGAACTCACGTGACTACCGGTATTTTAAATAATTTATTCCACGGGTGGGTTCAACATAGGTCATACAGGTAAATAGCTCTCGCTTGCTATAGGAAAAACATTGAACTTTTCATACATTTTTAATATCTTAAGTACAAGCCTAATCTTGTACAAATTTCCTACTTTCACACAAGTTTTATAAATGTATAATGCATTTTTTGTCATTCGCACAAGTTTGTACAATGTTAGGCTGACAGTAAACAAAAGCTTTGAAATGAATGACCGTCCTCAATTTACTATAGAAAATCACAAATATCGGCTGACCCATACCACATTGTATGGTTTTGTTCTTTGTATATTCATGAATACCAGCAATAAAATTTGTTGAGTCTTATGGTTTAGATATCAATTAATGACCTGAGATGAAAAATTATGTTTAATTTGATTCTTCATTTTTTCACATTTTACCTGGGCCCATAAGTGCACTCGTTCTTTGGTTCAGATAACCTTATAGTTTACTTTAACCTGGTCACTCATCTGGAAAATGTCGGTGAGATACAGCATCCGCAGCAAGTCCAGTAGTGTGCATCCTAAGATGTATCATCCATGCAAGTTTGGTCAATATAGGGCTTATAGTTACTTGGAAATGAGACCTGCTCCAAAAACTTTGACCTGGTCACTCATCCGGAAAATGTAGGTCAGATCCAACATCCGCAGCAAGTCCAGTAGTGTTCATCCTAAGATGTATAATCCATGCAAGTTTGGTCAATATAGGGCCTATAGTTACTTGGAAATAAGATCTGCTCTAAAAACTTTCACCTGGTCACTCATCCGGAAAATGTTGGTGAGATCCAGCATCCAAAGAAAGCGTGGTAGTGTGCATCCTTAGATTATCAGCCATTTAAGTTTGGTCAATATAGGGCTTATATAGTTACTTGGAAATGAGACCTGCTCCAAAAACTTTAACCTCTAAAAACTTTAACCTACTCCAAAAACATTAACCTGGTCATTCTTCAGCTGAAATTGCAGCGTCTGAAACCTTGACTGGTACAAAGAAACATACTAGAAGCATCCTCCATGCATCTTTGATTAATATAGGGCACAGAATTACTTGCAAAGAAAACTGCACCAAAAACTTTAACCTGGGATTCTGATGCCGACAATGACACCGATGCCGAGGGTATTACATAACCTCCCCCAACTTTGTTGAGGTGAGGTAAAAACTACTGTTAGCTTTCTCTACTGTGATTTGTTAATGAATATCTTATGAAAAGAGTGTATATCTAAACCATAGCCTCCTCATCTCTACATTCGATTCAAACATCCATTCTGACACAAAATAATTGTGATGGCGTGGACATCAGTAATTTCGTCAATCTTAAAAATTCATTCAGACTTAAAGCCCAAAATACCTTTTATTTATCAAGTATGATAAAGTTTTTTTTTCATAATTAATGTACAAGTCATTGGTAGGGTAAATCAACTAAAACTTTTTTATTACGACGTATTTATGAAAGTTTTATACACTCTGCTTATAAAAGGCAGTTAATAAGATAAGAAAAGAGCATTTTAACTGTTATTAAAAATATTGCAAAACATATCGCAATACAGTTCCAAATATCGCAATATATCGCAATACGAAGTTCCCAACCAATACCCAGCCCTACTGGTTAGTATGTTTCATATTCTGCTTCTCTCTGCCAGATACACAATATTCTGACCTTGTGTTGTCTTGCATTTGATTAAATTAGATGACTACATGTACATAACTTATCATAAATTGGTATGATACTACATGGATTTATGGCATCACCACAAAGGGAACTTCTAATAATAAATGCAGCTATAAATTTGATGATGAGAGCTTTCACTTACAACACGTTTAATATTCAAAATCTTAAAATTTAAAGGCCACTTCATACTTACCCTTTAAGTAAAACAAAAAGATAGATAATTCTAGGTATCATTATGATGTGTTGGTTGCATAAAACTGCATCAACAATACGGAGGGCAACTTCTTCTGGCTTTAGAATTGGCAAAATGGCAGGAAACCTTACAAAATTTCAAAAATATATGAAGAAGAATAAGCAACAGCAACTGTATTCTTAAAATTTCAAGATAATTATTAAATATCCAACAACCTGTAAATACTATCCTTGTATTTACATAAGGCAGTAAAAACATCACATCTTAAAATAACTCAATTAAATGTATATTTAAAGTTACAAAATGAATCAAAATCATGTGTTTCTTTTATGAAAGTTGTATCATAAAACAAAAGATTTACGTGAAATATGAATAAAGCGAAGTTTTGACTACTCAACTTCACTGTAAAGCAAGAAAAGAACTGCAAAATGTAAGTGCCGGAAAAACAAAGGTTGTATCTATCGCTTAGTTTTTATCGTCAATGTCAACAATGGGTGAATTCAAAAAAAATGACCAAACGCATATTTATCAACCCACACTAAAAATACAGGCAATGAAAATAGATATCTATGTCTCAGCATATGTCTTTAGATAGTGTCTAAATACCTGCCAAATATCATATCTCAATTAACAAAAAAGTTATGCCCAAAAGTGATGCTAAAATTGTCAGGAGTGCAACACCTTTTTGTGACATTTTGAAATTTCAATATTTTTTGGAGATCTGTGAAATAAAAAATAATGCTTCATGTTGAAAATAAAGACTTTCCTGATAATATTCAAAGTATTGAGCTTTAAATGTGGACTGTTGAAACTTTTGTTTAATCAAGTTGTGGTCATGGCTGATGTTTAAAAAAATGTTATACCATGTCAGGAGTGCAACAGAAAAAATGTAGTGTTGCCAAAAAACATCGATTGTAAAATTCTGATAGAAAATTAAGACAAAAAAGAATTTTGGAAGTGTAAAATAATAACTGATATACATTTTAAAACTTAAAAATGTTATATAAATCACAAGCAGCATTAATGAGAGTCAAGTATATGTGCATACCCAAAAATGTCAGGAGTGCAACATTTGATGTTTTGCTTCCAAGCATGAAAAAACTATTATTATTATATGATTTTCTGATTTTTATTTTGGAAAATAAAGACACAAACAACATTTTTACCAAATAGATTTATCAATTACAGGATCTGTCTGTGCTTCAGATCCATATTTCTATGGTCAGGAGTGCAACACATTTTTTTAAAGATTCAAGTTCTGTGACGAAAAGACTTTTATTCATGCTTAGAAGTATTCATTAATTAATAATGATCTTTTTGTATAATTTAATGCTATATTATTGAGAGTTTTATTATTAAAATCCTTCCTTTTTCAATTTTATCAATTCAGATGTGTTTTTATCTTTTTTGTGATTTTTTTAATGAACATTAAAAATAAACACACTAAAACATTGTCATAAAATTCAAGTAATTCCTCCTCAACTTCACTGAAACAACAGAACAAGTTCTTATGTAACTTTCACTTCACAATTCTACTTTAAAGGCCCCAATGCTTTTGGTCAGGAGTGCAACAAATATATTAGAATTATAAATCATCCAATAAGAATAAAAATAAAGAAAAAATAATGAGTAGAATTTTTCTGGTGGGTTACTGTGTTTCTCTTCAAAAGGAAAATAGGCTTTAAAATATATTTTATCTTCTAAATATACATTTAAGCTAGTTTTTTGGCATAAAATAGGGTATAATTCCAGATAAAATGCGAATTTTAAATACTTTCATCTGTTTTAATTATGAAGTATTGGGCTATAAGTATTGCACAATTTCATTACCACTTGATGTTGCCAACACTTTATGAATTTTTGTGTTCTATGGTTTTAAATTTAAACTTTACTGCAGTCAGAAGTGCAACAAAACTGCTTCATAATTACCAATGCTTTTTAACTATCTTTTCTAAAAAATAAGTTGAAAAAAAATGCTTGATACTATTTGATGTTCAAAACACTATGTCTATCAACAAATTACAGAAATTCTACAGTCAATTCAGGGAATAGTTTTCATCATATCACATATATTTTAAATACAATTTATATATAGTACACTTTGCAAATAATCATGTTTTAAGGTCTTCAAAATATGAAAAACCTGCTGTAAACAATGAAAAATATCAACACGACAAATTGATTTACAAAGTAAGAATGGGTTATTGTGTGTTATAATTTTTAAAACAATGTTAAATAAAATACATATCAGATGTCAGGAGTGCAACACAATAATGTAACATAGGGTGACTTCAAAATCTAGTATTTTTTGTAAGAGAACTCGTATATAACAATTCTTTTTTGGCTTAGATTTAAAGAACTGACTTGAACGGACAAAAAAGTGAATTTTGGGGAATTTTATTGCTTCATATTTTTTTCATATTAAAACATTTCAAACCAGAATTGAAAAAAAAATGTAAAATAACAATCAAAAAGCCACTTTTTTGTCACATGTACAAGAGAAGATACTCATTCAAGGTCTAGATTTAATCATTTATACCCCTTTTACCATTTTGAAGCATAAAAAACTATAATTTCTTGTGATTATGTATTTTAGAAAGTCTTTTAAGGTGTAATGATATTTTCTTTTTTCAAAAGAAATTTTACTAATAAAAATTCTGAAACTTTTTAATCCAATTGTCTATACTATTGCCACTTCAGGATTTTAAACTAGAATGCATTTGCAATATGATGATATAAGTGAAAAATATGTTATAAGTAGTTGAATTTTGCCAAAAAAATTCAGTTTGGTGGTCATTTTTTTTTAATTCACCCCAATGTCAAGGTCACATGACTTTTATTCTTAGTGTGAAACTTGTAAACAACATTGAACTGGGGCAAGCAAAAGTGAGGAATAAGTTCTGATAATCTTTATTGAAGATTGTATCAGAATCCTCAGTCATCCGACATTTATATCTATGGAATTGACACCATGGTAAAGTCTTCAACTTTTCTGCGCATGCGTACAAAATAGAGGAAGAAGTGAAGCAATATTTTTGTGTTGGGGCAAACAAAAATTATTTTTACTTTTTAAATTCTGAAACTTTTAATTTCTGAAAGCTAATAACTTCAAGAATTGAACAAAATTTGCATGTGTCATGCAAAAATTCTACTTTTGTCAATTCTCCCCTTTTTCCGTCACGGTGTCTCTTTAAATAAGAATGAAGCTTGTGCTTTATAAAATGCCAGTCTTCATTGAATGCTAATATCACCCAAGCTTGACCTTAACTTCAAAACAAACATCAGTTGCAGACAAAGGTGTTCGTTAATCTTAAAAATAAGATAAAGATAAGCCTACTAAATTTTCTGCAGCAAGCAAGATAATTAATTCCAGGGGATTAATTGTACATGTACTTCTCTCTCATCCTTTTCTTCTAAATTTACTATAAGAACTTTTTCAGCGATTATGATAGAATGAGGTTATTATTCATCAAAACTGAAAATTGATAATAGCAATTATGTATGCTACATTTGTGTCTGGTTTTGTTGAAATAAAAAAAAAATGCTGTTGAAAGAATGGCATTCTGGAACAGGTTCTAAAATATACTCAACAGAGTGATAGATGAACAATTTACAACATAACAATGCATGACTTCTAGTTTAATTAAGAACAGTGTGGGTTCAATACCTTGTTTTAGCTCCTTCAAACATTCCAGTTGAGATGAAGTAAGGGCAGACAACTGTGGTGTGAACTCCATTTTTACCCTGCATGCTGAGCTCCAAGCGTAGTGACTCATCAAATCCTACAGCTCCAAACTTACTGGCACAGTAGTCAGCGAGTCCGTTTACACCAATCAGACCTGCAGAGCTGGCGATGTTCACAATGTGTCCATGATTACGTTCCATCATTCCTGGGAGAAAGGCTTTACAAGTCTGTCAAAGAGTAGTTATTTTCAATGTTAGCAGAGGTGAACTGATGATTAACAATGTATACCTACATAATACATGTACTGATTTAAATAAGAGGCCTATGAGCCACAATGCTCACCCGAGGCTCAATTCTTCTACTGATTAATAATTAAGGATATGTTATTAAAGTCCATGATTTCAAAATTTTAATTTATAGTATATTTAGACTTGAAGTCAACTCGACAAATTCAGCTTTCATATTCTTTCAAACATCTATACATTTTCTGTATAAAATTTGTTCCCAAATTGTCCCAAAACCTAGTCCCCAAAGCTATCACATAGGTATGCTAACATACTAAACTGACTAATTATGGTCATATCCTTTAAGATGATTTCTGAAGATTTTCCCTATACATGTGCATACATTTTGTTTTCCCATGTAAATCATTGACCCTTAGTCATTTAAATTATATATCACTTTGCCTTCACCCCAGGGGTCATAATTTGAACAATTTTGTATCTTTACTATATGAAGATGCTTGATTTTTTTTAATGCCCTGTTTTACTTTATTTCAAAACTCTTGACTTCAACTTATTGTGGCCCACCTTAGCCCCCAGGAGCCATGATCTGAACGAACTTAAAGCACACTCAATAAGGAAGCTTTAACTAAGTTTTCCATTTTTTAGCCCAGTGGTTTTTGAGAGGAAATTCTTTAAAATATCCCTTCCAAATTTCTGTGCTGCACAGGAAAAATTGAAAATGTGAAGAGTTTACTGATGATTAATACAGACAACCATAGAAACGAATCCCAGATTACTTTTTGATTAGAAAAGCTTACTTGAACTTTTGGCTCTTGTAAGCTAAAATAATTAATCCTTTGTTAAAGGATAGAAAATTTATTGTTTTCTTAAAAGTTCTATTATTATTGAAATACAGAAATGAATCAAAATGTAATTTCCAATTACCCAGAAATGTGCAATTGTGTTGACTTCAAAGGTTTTTTGAATCATGTGATCAGGACAGTCCAAAAACTTTTTCCCTGTGACAATGCCTGCATTGTTAACGAGTATGTCAACCTCCCCAACATCCTTCTTCACCTGTAAATAAAACAGATAATTCAGTTATTGAAAATCTATGAAGTTCATATTTCATGTATAGTTTTCTAAAAAATGATTTCTGTACAGTATAATAATATAAAGTAATATTTCTAACAAGATGTGTTTGTGAAACACTGATGCCCCCGTATGGCAGCTTATGGCGAAGGTTAAAGTTTCTTCAAATGCAAGTCAAAATCCAGGCCAAAAGATAAAAAATGTTGATACCCAAAGAAAGGTCTTGTCTCGAGGAATACACCTGTGAAATTTGAAAGACCTAGATACAACTGTTCAAAAGTTATGGCGAAGGTTCAAGTTTTTTAAATAAAAGTCAAATGTCAAGGTCAAGGTCAAAGTGGTTGGTATCCAAAGGAAGATCTTGTCACAAGGATTACATATGTGAAGTATGAAAGCCCTAGCACCAACCATTCAAAAGTTATGGTCAAGGTTAAAGTTTTTCAAAAGTAGGTCAAACTCCTAGGTCAAGGTCAAAGGGTCAAAGTGGTTGGTATCCAAAGGAAGGTCTTGTCACAAGGATTACATATGTGAAGTATGAAAGCCCTAGCATCAACCATTCAAAAGTTATGGCCAAGGTTTAAGTTTTTCAAAAGTAGGTCAAACTCCTAGGTCAAGGTCAAAAGGTCAAAGTGGTGGTTGGTATCCAAAGGAAGGTCTTGTCGCAAGGATTACATATGTGAAGTATGAAAGCCCTAGCATCAACCATTCAAAAGTTATGGCCAAGGTTAAAGTTTTTCAAAAGTAGGTCAAACTCCTAGGTCAAGGTCAGAGGGTCAAAGTGGTTGATATCCAGAGGAAGGTCTTGTCACAAGGAATACACATGTGAAGTTTGAAACCCTAAGCACCAACTGTTCAAAAGTTATGACCAAGGTTCAAGTTTTTAAAAGTAGGTCAAACTCTAAGGTCAAGGTCAAAAGGTCAAAGTTGTTGGTATCCAAAGGAGGGCCTTGTCACAAAGAATACACATGTGAAGTTTGAAACCCCAAGCACCAACTGTTCGGAAGTTATGGCCAAGGTTAAAGTCTCATAAAATTTTGCAAAAGTGGGTCAAACTCCAAGGTCAAGGTCAAAAGGTCAAATATGATGGTACCCAAAGAAAGGTCTTGTCACAAGGAATACACATGTGAAATATGAAAGTCATAGCTCCAACCAATCAAAAGTTATGGGCAAGGTTAAAGTTGACAACAGACAGACAGACAAACAGACAAATGGAAATACAGACAAACAGATAAACAGACAAACAGACAGACAGGACAAAAACAATATACCCCCGGTATCTTTCGATCCGGGGGCATAACAAGAAGTCTGTGAGCCAATGCTCACTAATAATACCCCCGCTCTGATGTGAATACACAAGTTCGGTTATGGACAAACACAGTGATAATCAGGAAATTGACAACGGATTTGTAAAAACTGAATCCCAACATATGGCATGCCTAAAAAAGATTGTGCTAAAATTTCAAGCATCTGCGATGAGTAGTTGCTGAGAAAACTACAACTAAAATTTGCTACGTATGGTACGGACAGACACATGGATAAACAGGAAGTTGACATCGGATTTGTTCCAAAAATGAATCCCATTATATGGCAAGGCTTAACAAAGATTGTGCTAAAATTTCAAGCATCTGCAATGAGTAGTTGCTGAGAAAACCACGACCAAAATTTTTTATGTATAATACAGACAGACGCACGGATAAACAGGAAGTTAACATCGGATTTGTACAAAAATGAATCCCACCATATGGCATGCCTAAACAAAGAGTGTGTTAAAATTTCAAGCACCTGTGATGAGTAGTTGCTGAGAAAATTGCGACCAAAGTTTGTTATGTGTGGTACAGACAGACACATGGATAAACAGGAAGTTGACATCGGATTAGTACAAAAATGAATCCCACCATATGGCATGCCTAAACAAAGATTGTGCTAAAATTTCAAGCATCTGCAATGAGTAGTTGCTGAGAAAACCACGACCAAAGTTTGTTATGTATGGAACGGACAGACGCACGGATAAACAGGAAGTTGACATCGGATTCGTTCCAAAAATGAATCCCATTATATGGCATGCCTAAACAAAGATTGTGCTAAAATTTCAAGCATCTGCAATGAGTAGTTCCTGAGAGAACTGCGACCAAAATTTGTTACGGACAGACAGACAGACAGACAGACGGACAGACAGACAGACAGACAGACACACACACAAGGGTAAAACAGTATACCCCCCTCTCCTTCGGAGCGGGGGTATAAAAATGTTTGAATTGATATTTAGATACCTGCAAATACAAGTTTCATTATGAAGTTAAATGATCTTTACACAGGTTGCTAGTATTTCAATCATATACATTAGACATAATTATATGCTATGCACAAGATTTTAATTTTTCTCTGTGACATTTATGGGTCATACAAAATATTGGATAATATCATACTTGAGTCATTTTTTCCAAACACAAATATATATATTGTATAAAAATGGGGAACATGGTGAAAAAGAGAAATTTGACACTCAGTGGAACAGGTGGAACCAACTATTTTTGTAATTCTTTCTCTCTCTCTCTCTTGTAAGTCTGTATATGCACAATTCTGTCATAGAAAAGATAATGGACATTTTGTATGGAATGAATTGTGTTGAAAAAAAATAAATAATTAAAAAAAAGTAATGTTTTATGGCGAGAATTATTCGCGAGTAAAAAGAGATCATGTAACTTGTGGATATTTCTTGCACACAAATAATAGTTGGTTTACAGTATTAAAATTATGTTACGCCCTTGAAAAAAAAAATATATAAATATGCAGGGATAGACATTAACTTTTAGATTCACTTGCCCTTTGGGCAAGTGATCTGAAATGTTGACTTTTCCGAATACAAAACTTGGTTGCCCAAAATTAGGGAAGAAGAATATTATTTATACTGTAAATGTTATGATAAGAAAAAAATGTGACCAAATACACCAGGTTCTGTCAACTTGGCAAGGTGAGCTACATGAAAAAAAATCTATGCCGCATTTGTACATAAATGTGTGCCACTGACCTTATCAATTTAACCTGTTAACACACACTGCCATGCAGCAATAACCCTCTGTTTCCTTTTAATGAAATTCATATTTTTAAAAATTATTTTCAGTAGGATCCTTTTGTGAAAAATTATTTTCAGAGATAACTCTGAAGCAAGGCTAAAGGAAGATGGTTGCTACAACATACATATCTTGATCAGGATATAATGTGTTACTTACATTCTGTGAGTAAATAAATAATCTAATTTCCTAGTAAGAAGTTAACAAAGTTGTTAGACGTAGAGAGTATTTACCACGAAAGAAAACAGAATGACGAACCCGATTTTAAATGGACAGTATAATCTAGAAACCCTACCAAGGAATATTCCGAACGCAAATCAAATGTCAATCAGGTGCCTGGCAGAAATCAAATGTTCAATTTATTGTTTTATTTATAAAATAATGTACACTAAATAAATATGTACATTTCTGTAAGAAAAATTCACTTGACCGATCGGACAAGTACATCTAAAGTTTCACTTGCCAGATCTGAGAATTTACTTGTCCCGGACAATTGGACAACCGTAAATGTCGATCCCTGATATGGGATAATTCAAGGTTTGTGAACATGAACCCATGATGTCATCTAATTGATGTCTAAATGTAACTACAGTTGAACTTCAGTATCTCAAACACTGATACATGTATCTCGAATACCATGGATATGTCTAAGTGATTTGGTAGTCACAATCCCTTATTCTTTAAGTCTTTTACCCCAGATATCTTGAATCCTTGGATACCTCGAAGTTTTTTCTCAGTCCCATTGGGTTCAAGATAATGAGGTTTAACTGTATATTACATTTATATGCCAGGTTATTTTTAACCATTTTGTGAATATAGCACACAGCTACAGTCCCTGAAACGTTCTACTTTCCCATTTTTCCGTTCGCTCACCGTTCGTTCACCGTTCGTTCAGCGTGCGTTCACCGTTCGTTCACCGTGCGTTCACCGTTCGCTCTACGTTCACAGTTTTGCGTTCACCGTTCACCGTGCGCTCGCGTTCACCGTTCACAAAGCGTTCAGCGTTCGCTCTTCGTTCCGTTCACTTTGCGTTCAGCGTTCACCTATCGTTCAGTTGTCATTGCCATTCGGAACTCCCAAGTGAAAGGACTTGTCTTTTTGTAGGTAAGGAGTTACAGATTTTTTAATTTAATACTAACATATCGTGTTTGAAGAATCATTATTTCATGGGGGAAAAATCTAAGATATATATTTTTATTATTCTAACTTAGCTATTAGGTTATTTATTAAATTACTCTGGAAAAAAAATGTTGTTATAAGCACATCCTGAACCTATGTAGAACGATGCTGAAATATTAAATTTAACTAAGGCCAATGTGCAAATACTTCAAGCACTGCAACATTTTGATGTTTTATTAAAGACGACAAATCGGTAATGGAGATATAATTATCCAAGTCAAATAATTACGCAGCAAAATTACAAAAATATTTATTTCTAACGCGTTTTTTTTATTCAATTACTACAGAAAATATGATAGAACTGGTTCTGAGAGTTAGACATAGTACTGCGGATATCCTGTTAATTTATTATCTTTGGAGCGAATTAAATTGATAGTGTGTTTAAAGGAAATATTTATTTAAAATGTAATGCACTACAGAATATTCGCTACTATAATACATGTATGTAAAGTCTATAGTTATAGAGAAAAAAATCTTTCTTCACCGTAACTTTATATGTTTGCTATTCGATATGATTAATACCCCCCCCCTTTTCCCCTAAATCGGTTACTTAGTCAGTACTGTATTTCCAGAAAATTTTAATTAACCTGTTAAAAAAAAGTTAAGGTCTTTTTTAGAACAAAAATTTCAGTCTCAAAACAAACATGCATCTAAAAAAGTCACAAAACAATAGTAGTTCAAAATGTACACGTGTCGGCGGTGGTATTTGAAATTGGCAGAGAGTATGTTTCAAATTCAAGTGTTAATGCCCAGTAAATTTTATTCACTAATTATTCAAATGTTGGTATCAAATCTAGAAATGATAAAAATAAATGTTATAACTTGTTGGAAATACTCGCACTTCGTTCTTCGATGTGACGAAACTTTCACACCTGCACAGTGTCGAATGATTTTGATTGACAGGACAAGCACGTGGACTTCGTGTGAACTTGAAGCAGGAAAATAAAAACGAGTAATACTGTCAAACAGATGGATATGATTTGTTGATAAAAAAAAAGTTACTTTCACTGTCTAATATATTTAGAAAAAAATATCAGAGTTATTGTTTGATATAGGTGCAAACATTTAGTGAAGCCTGAAAGGAAGGGGGGCTGAAACGGAATCTCTCTCTCTCTCTCTCTCTCTCTCTCTCTCTCTCATTTGTCTGTTTGATAAAAATTATAACAGCATATTACTTAAATATCAAGTTCTGAAAATTGAATTTATAACAAATAATATGAATATGTATCTTTGTATTATCTTGTCTGAGTATAATCACGGCCATCTACAGATACATGTAGAAGTCTGCTCAATAAATCATCATGAAAAATAGAAATGACACATAATATATTATTGTATTAAACATTTAAAGTACGAGCGTATAAATGCAAAACGTCCACTGACCTTTGTAGTTAATTTTTTTTATTACTTTACATGAAATCGCCTTGACACGGAGATACATATATGAATGGATGTTACAATCGCTTTAATTCATTCTATAAGTCAGAAGTTTTCTCTGATTTGTTATCAAATAAGAATAAAAATTTTTATTTTCCAACTAAAAAAATATCTTTTATACTTCAGCGTTCGGCAACAATTGCAATGTTTTAATGCGTTAAAAATCGTGTGATTAAAAACTTAATGTGCATGAATCGTCTTTCTTAAGACAATTTTGGAGAATTTATTTTATTTACTTATTTATTCATTCATTTATTGGTTTACTTATTTACTTTTTTTTTGGCACCTGACATTATAATACAATAAAATAGTTTCAACGCAAGGAAAAGATCAGAGGCATTCCGAATATATCGTTCATCTTGCGTTCACCGTTCGTTCACCGTTCACTTTGCGTTCGCGTTTGCGCTCCGTTCGCGTTCTGCGTTCGCTCACCGTTCACCGTTCACACATCGTTCACCAAGTTGCGTTCAGCGTTCACACATCGTTCACTCACCGTTCGCTCTGCGTTCGTTCAGCGTTCGTTCACCGTTCGTTCAGCGTTCGCTCACCGTTCAAGTGGGAAAGTAGAACGTTTCAGGGACTGTAGCACTAGTGTTTCTACTTGGAAATTTTGCAACCATGCATTCAAAATTTGGAACTATTTCATTAAAACTAATAAAATTTCAATTAACTAGCATTTTATTGCTCATAAGAACTTAGACCCAACCTGAGGGCTGAACTCTGGACCCTGGGGACAAGAATCTCACAATTCTGGTTGAGTGCTACCACCTCATTATAATCAGGTTAACAATTTGCCTGCTCATTGATCATGAGTGTAGCAGATTTAAAGTGACATGAATTTTGATAGCATTTGGGTAACACAATATTTACCAAAATTGGTTCAGTTACAGTTACTACAGAGAAGAAACTGAAAATGTTCAAAAAGATACAGACTCAGACAACTGAGCATACAAAAAACAAAGAAATGATAAATTTAATGACTTGCCCCACTAGTTTAATGAAATCAAAAAAAAAAATCTTTATCAACTATGATGACATATCAAGCACCTGCTGTGCAGCCTTGTAGATTGCATCTCGGCTACTGAGATCTACAGTGTATGTCTTAACTGTGGCACCAATGGCCTTGACCTGCTCTGCAGTCTCCTCATTCCCAGCCTGGTTGATGTCCCACAACACAAGCCTGCTACCTAGCTCCGCAAATCTCTTTGATAGTAACCGTCCTATTCCACTTCCTGGAAAAGAAAAAAAATTGAAGTGCTGTAAATTGCACTTTATTAGTGAGAAATTTATTTCTACATTGAAAAACATATTTAAGCTAAACCATATACTTGTCAAAATTTTATTCTCATGTATATTTGTTTTATAATAGTTTTTATGCATAAACAACAATAATTAAAATTCATAAAATTTTGTCTTGCTTGTAAATACCAAGAACTATGCATGCTAACTGTCAATTCCCGCCTACATTTTATACATACTGTACATTTAAATCAATACCTCACTTCATACATCATGCATAGGTTGTACAATCGCTTCGTGCCTGCACATTTATCATGAAGCACTAATGTGAATCGTAGTTCATGTCCTCATGAATTCTCAAAAATCAAATTCATTTTTTCTGTGCATCTACCACAGTCAGTGCCCCAACTATGCTCAAAGTGATACTTCATTATTACTTAAAATTCAATTCCTATACTGTTCTAATTCAAAACTTATGACTAAAGGTTTAAGCTTTTGTGACATCAGACTAATGGAAAGACAGACAGTAAGACATACAGAATGAGATTTAATGTCCCCTCACTTTTACAAAAGCGAATGACAAAAAAGTGTGTCAAGTCATTCATTTGGTGAATACTAAAACGACCTAGAAAAATGTCTCTTTACAGTTATCATGCAACCACCCTAGTTTTATGCAATGACCCTTAATTCTTTTTTGTAAAATCAAGAAACATATATCATGTATTTAAACGTAATGGTTCGTAGGTTGTAAGGTTACTTTTTATTATCCATTTTTTGACTTAACGCGTAGATTATTATAAAAAAAAAATATGCTAAGGTTATATCTTTTTCTTTAGCCTTTAAAGCTAACTAAAATAGTTTCAGTAAAGGGATATAATCCTGTACTTTGTTCATTGAATATTGACTTCAGTCACTGTAAAGATGGCAACATATGAATAGTGTAATAGAGTTCTCGAAATTTTTAAATCACTGTCAGACATTTGGTCGGATAAAGTTAAAGATTCTGTTGGACCAGACAAAGTTTTCTCAGACCAGATATATAGAGGATATTCAATGTTTTGTAGTTGGATATGGAATTTATTTCACGAGTGCAAAGCATGAGTGAAAATATCAAAAAATCGTGTCTCACAAGTGAAATAAATTCCATATCCAGAAGAACATTGAATTTTTTGTTTATGACATTTTCTGAATCATTGATTTCCCTTTGCCTCTATCTTTTTTTAACACAGAGTCATAAGCTATGACGTCATAGCTTAGCTATTTTGAGATTGAAAACATTATAACATGGATTTTAGCAACAAAATTAGGAGGAAATTGGCAGTTTTAGTCTCTATCAAGATCATTTAGTTACTATCTCTTGGGGCTGTGCAATAATATCGATATTCCTGTATGTACGAATTGCTATTTGTTAACAAAAAATATCGTATTGTGATACATTTTTCCAATACAGATATACCGGCAAAATGCTCAGGGTTTAGATTTCTAAAGTAAAATATGAAATTTAATATGTCAGAAACGTTTTCAATCGTGCCAAACAATTAGGTTGCTGTTGTATGTTTATCTATATTGTTGCAAAACTGCAGTGAAATCAACATGAACTTTTTTGATACAATGCATATATAATAGTTATACACACTCGGCTTATAAATGGAGGTTAGAAAAGAGCATTTTAACTATTATTGAAAATATTGCAATACATATCACCATACAGTTAAAAATATGGCAATATATCGCAATACGAAATTCCAATCCAATACCTAGCCCTACTATCATTTTATGACAGGCCAGAAATTATTTTTTACTTACTTTGATATCCTAGCTTTCGCAGTCTGTGACAGAATATCACTTTGATATCCTTTCACACTATGACAGAATTACACTTTTATTCAATAAATAAATCACAGTATATCACTGTTGAAAATGTAATAAATGTGTACAGAAAGGAAAATAAATTCCTGCTCCAAAATGCCCTTTATTATTTTCAAATGCATTTGATCTCACAATTTTCTTTTCTTAGGATTAAGAGTCTTTAATCATGCAGAGACATAAATAACACAATTTATGTCTCTGATTTAAAAAAAAAAAGATCAACCACCATCAACACGTGGACATCTCTGTTGTTTTTGTGACCTTCACCTGCACACCCCAGTTCTAATCTTTAAAAAAATTGCATCATGTGAGATTTTTTCAAACGGTCATTTGGACCAATGTTTTACTTAATAGGTTATCGGTCCAGACATTTTATTCCTGACCTTGCCGAAAGGGCCGACAATTTTCAAAAACTCTGTGTAATATACATGCATGCATTTCAAGAAGTGTACACCCACAGTAATTCTCTTTAGAGAAGTGGACTGGCTTTCACCTACATCCGTGGATGTAGGCGAATTAAAGCCTGTCCGACTTAAATTCTCTAAAGAGAATAACCCAAAATGCATTGGCCAATTCTTCTGGTTAGATTACTAGTGCCTGTTGTATAGTGATGCGCTATAGATATGTATAGTTTTGCAAACTCGTTACAATCCAGTACCCAAGTACCCATGATGACAGGGTGTGGATGAGAGAAAGGGGAGGTGCAAGGGTTCTCCTTTCTGAGCTAATTATATGTGTATGGTGATAAACGTGTGATGAGTGAAATACCCTATCTTTTCGATATTATTGTTGAAAAGCAGAACAAACAACCTTGTGTGGACATTGGTACCCCAAAGAAATTAGGATAATAAAATTACCTGCTCCAGTAACAAGCACAGTTTCGCCCGCTACACTTTTGCCTCTGAGTCCTGCTGGTATAAATGTTAACACTATGGCTTCTAACCAATAGTATATTACATAAAATAACGTGACAAAGAATTCTAGCACAGCATTCATGTTGGTGGTGTCTGCTGGTCTGCTGACTGCGCTATAAAGAGCTTTCGTTTTCGATGCGAGACCTTTGGTCAGGGGGACAGTAATTGTTTATTATTTGAATAGACACTGTAGCACATGCAAAATACATCGCACTTAGTTTTTTAAATACATAACATATTTTAAATTAATTTAATATAATTATTAACAAATAAAAAAATACATAAATTTATCTGTCTAAGGAATAAAATGTTTCTGAATATCTAAACTTGGTGCTCCCTGTTAGTGAATCACGTGACGCAAAAGATGGTGGTCTTCTGGTTTTTGTTCATCTACTGATCTACATTCTAGGTAAATATAACAGAGATTGTTGCTCATGAATGGACATTCATGCATAATAAGTATAGAAGCTTTTACAAAATATTTAGTTTTACTTTGCTTGTTTTTAATACATGTAAATATACAAGCGTAACAAAATCAGTTAAATTACACTGAGGTAATATCAAGGTACATGTAATGTTCAACTGCTAGACGGAATTCTAGTGGCAAAATGGAACAATAATATGTTGTAACTGTCAAAAAAAAACCTGGAAAAATTTGCAATAAACAATAATTTAAGAGTTTTACCGTTTTTTTACTACATAGAAAAAAATATATTAAAGCTTAAAAACTTTTTAAAACTGTAGGTCTAATCCATTTGTTTTAAAACTGTAGGAATAACTCAATAAAAACTTTGTCTGACATAAAACGTCTTCTAAATTTGAACCTGTTTATTTCTCAATTCCATGGTAAAAAATACACATTCAAAAAAATAACAATAATTTCTATAATTTTGATGTCTAGTAGGCAAATAAAGTCAAATCTTTTGTAGGAATGCTCTAAAATTGAAACCTAGGTGACAGTGAATTAATCCAGGGACCTATATACTAACGGGATATGCAACTCCTTCAGTGCCATGTTTATTTACCCAAAACGTCACATACAACACTGCAAGTTTTTCAAACTACGTTTTTTCCAAGAAAAAAGCTTGTTTTCTGATTAATGTAATCTGTTTTGTTTGTGTATTGGAATGGATTTTTAATTGATTTTAAAGCACATATTATAAAATAATTTAGATATTAAGTAAACAACCACCAAAATCGGCGAATTCTCGGAAATAAGGCTGATCAGGGGCATGCAGTGATTTTTAAATAAATGCAATTACTACGAAGATAAGGAGTAAAAACAGTGCTAACAACAAATCTTGAATAATTTTTTTTAGATAAACCAAGGTTTTATTCTGAAATATTTGATATCAAAAGAGATATATTTAATTGAAATTGACTTATGAAATCCCCAACTTATATAGATATAGAGATATCACGAGACTTGAAAGAGTTGCCTATCCTGTTAGTATATAGGTCCCTGATTAACTAAAAAATAGTTTTAAGCGTGCATTGTTAAAGCTATATATGGCATATCTGAGCTAAAAAATAAAAATACGAGATTGAGTGCAGATGAACATGATATTTAAATTAATTGCTATTTACGTTCAAATTAAAATTTTCACTGATTTTGAACTTGAATAATCCCATGTTTCTATAGTTAAATTGACTTTAAACTGTGTCTGCTATTTAAATGCGGAGTTGGTAAACAAATCAGTTATTGTTTTAAATTTCTCATATTTATGAAACGCATTTGATTTTAATTGTATAAGTTACAGGAAAGTCCTATATTAATAAAGTTATAAAACAAATAGAAAGATCTTTTTAATTTTAGTTAGTCTGAACTTATCAAAAACACACCATATATGACTTTAAAGCTATATATGGGGTATCTGAGCTAAAAAATAAAAATATGAAATTGAGTGTAGATATACATGTTATGTACATTAAAATTTTCACCAATTTTGAACTTGGATAACCTCAAGTTTCTATTGTTAAATTGACTTTAAACTTTGCTGTAATTTTGCTGAATATTTAAAATAAGATCTGCCACAACTGGGGGAAAATATACAGCATCAAATCCGTCTCAGATTGAAGAAGAGATATAAATGTACATGATATTGTTAATTTAACTATCAAAGTTTTACAAAGGAAAACATAGGAAAAATCCTTAAAATTTTCTCAAGAACAGCAAAGCCATGATTAGTCATATTAGTATGGAAGGATCCTCAGTTAGTGTAAATTGAAGTTTGTTCAAATCGTGACCCCAGTAGATAGGGTGGGGCCACATTGGGCAATAGGAATACATACCAAAAATCTTTAGTTAAAATTCTTTTCAAGAACAGGAAAGCCTTGATTAGTCATGATATATATGTGGAAACATTCTCAGGTAGTGTAGATTCAGGTTTGTTCAAATCATGACCCCTGGAGGTAGGATGGGATGACATTACATTAAAATTTTGTACAATTTGAAGTCATTTTTTAAGGGCAATCATCTACTTTTCTTAAGCTTAAATGAATGGAATTTAAATATACAGAATGAATTTAACAGCTACCCAATTTATACGATACAAACTGGATTGGAAAAGATTACACTTTTTTATAAACTATGTCACAGTTTATAAAGCATTGACTGCCCTTACCCAAGTTATACCTTTTGAATTGGGTTGCTATTAAATTTATTCCTTAAATAAATTTATCATCTCCAGATGAGTAAAAATGAAACAAAAATACTGAATATTTATACCATAAAATATTAATCAAAGACCATTAAGAGAGGCCAATGAAACGGGGAATGTGCTCATTAATGTGTATAATATGTGTAAGTATGTTATACTTACACACTATTGTGTTGTTAGTTTGGCATCTTCGCTAGCCAAGGGTTTCTGATACGCTACTCTCCTCATAAACCCTTGGGCTTATGAGGAGAGTAGCGTATCAGAAACCCTTGGCTAGCGAAGATGTTAGTTTGGTGATAGTAATATAAACTAGTTTAGTTCGTACTAGCACATACAGGGAAGTAAATGGATGTTTGCTGATTACCAGAGTAACATTTATTTTGTTGATACCTGCATCATCCTGTTTCACTTGTTTTAGAGCAAGTCTTCATCTACGGTCTGATTTAGACAGCATGAGGATACATTTACATACTTCTGTATATGTAAATCAACAGAATGTGATTCAAGCTACTTTTCTCTTCCTTCCTATTATAAGTACAAAGGAAGGGCTACAGTGTCATCTAAGACTTCTTATCATTATGTACAACTGTAAGATGGATCAATCTTGTGCTGTGTAACATAACATATGTATGTATATGTAGGATAAAATGTTCATTTTCAATACAGTTGTTAAGGGTTCAAGAACTTTTTAGCTCACCAGAGCTGAAAGCTCAAGTGAGCATTTCTTATCACCTATTGTCCAGCGTCTGTCCGTCTGTAAACTTTTCACATTTTCAATTTCTTCTCAAAACTACTGGGCAATTGTAACCAAAATTGGCACAAGTCATCATTGAATGAAAGGGATTTTAAATTGTCAAAATGAAGAGCCAACCCCCCTTCCAAGGGAAGATACAAAAGGCAAAAAAAAAGGGTTGTGTCATTAAAAATCTTCTTCTAAATAACCACTGGCCCAGAAAAGATGAAACTTATGTAAAAGTATCCTGAGGTAGTGTAGATTCTAAATTGTTCAAATCATGGCCATGGGGGTAGGGTGGGACCATAAAAGGGAAAAAAAGTTTTACTTTGAAATATATATATATATATAAGGAAAAAATCTTTAAAATTCTTCTTTTCAAGAACAAATGGACCAGTAAAGAAGAAACTTATAAGGAAGCTTCCTTAGGTAGTTTAGATTGTAATTGTTTAGATCATGGTCCATGGGGATAGGATAGGGCCACAGTTGGGAATCAAATTTTTACATTGAAATGTATAGGAAAAATCTTCTAAAGAACCACTGGATTAGAAAAAGAAATGAAACTTCATGTGAAAACTTTCCAGGTGGAAGGATGAGGCCACAGTAGGGAATCAAAGTTTTATTTAAACAATAAAATACTTTCTTTGGTTGTTAGTATAGGAACTATTGTTGCAGCTGTTGCAGAAAAACTGCATAACCCGCGTTAGCGGGTTATGTAATTGTTTTCTACAATAGCTGCAATGTTAATTCCCTTATTAACAAACAAAGAAAGACATTTTATTGTTTATATTTATATCTGTACAAATAATCATTGAAAGTAAGATTTAGTTGATAAAATATTGTATTATTGGTATGTACGTCATTGTACGTTTCATTGACGGAACAGCCACTGCTCAAGAAATCTGTAGAGGTGATATGCTTGGCAGTGTTTACTGATTGATAAAAGACAATGGTTTTCTTAAGATATAAAGGAAATAATATTCAGTGGATGTAAATACTGGTATATAGGAATATATATTATATGATAAATGATATTTAAAGAAAGCATTCCTCAGGTAGTGTAGATTCAATTTTGTTCAAATCATGGTCCCTGTATATAGGGTGGGGCCACAAAAGGTCATCAAAATTTTACACATGAATACATGTATAAAGGAAAAAAATCTGATGAAGAAGAGTAGGACCTTAGATCTTCTTTTCACTGCATTATATTAACTATCTTAAGTTTTCTGTATCATCTCTGTTTCAGTCTAACCAGGTAAATTGTGAATTTTAATCCACCCAACAATGGTCACTTTAGGTCTTTCAGTACACTACTCCACTGGTATTTCATCTGTGAACAATAAATTTACATGACTGAATGAATCACTGTGATACTTAAAACTTTTTGCAATGCATTCAGAGATTTAAGTTCATGGGCATTATAGTTTTGATAATTACTCAGCAGTATTTTATATATGTTTCTTGAAGGAAATAATGCTATGAATGGAATTGTAAATATCTAAGTGTTATTATTGTTCAATTTCTGGCATGGACAATTATATCTATGTCCCATTCTTTCAAATTTTGAAGATTTTTTTTTTAATTGAATGAGATGTACACAACACCTTGTATGTTATGCATATATATCATTAATTGTCATTGAGAAGTATAAGAAGCATGAAGCATGCATGCTGCAGGTGGTATCTTTATTTAAAACACCGGGATTAAACATAAACTTGACCCAGTTCAAGAAATGAAAATCCTCTTACAAAATTGTCATTTTCTGATTTCAGATTGACATTGTTTCAGATATATGTAATACCCATTTTTCTGGATATAAACTTTTGAATATTACATTAGATAACGGTTATCCAGCTTGGACTACAAAGTATTTAATGTGAAAGGGACTTAGAATATACAAGACTTAATGGAGTAGGGCTATAAAATCAAAGATATGGATCATTTTTTTGTGATTTCATGGAAATTAGGAAATATGTATAATTATTTTATACTCATATTATCATGTATTAATATTATTTACAAGGAAAATTAAATGTTATGCTTAATATTTTATGACTCAAGGTATTATAAAAACTTTAATAAGTGTTTGCATTTGTGATAATTAAGGAAGTGTATGGGAGTTTGCCAATAAATTACTTTACCTGACAAAAAAAAAATAATCTTAACTTCTTAAGACATTGATTTAAAGTCTGTGCAGTCTGTCAAAATCTGGGTATCAGATGGCTATACAGTAGTTTTAATGTCATAGTTGATTTCAGTGCTAACTTTCTTTTAATCATGGTCATTCCAAATGATTGCTAGATTTTATTTTGTTTTATATAGATATACATGTTGAACTGGGAGTAAAGAATGTCAGAATGTACAGAAGGCAGAGACACAGGTAAGGGGGATAACTCCTGTCTCCAGTGGAAGTGAAAAATGTAAGCTGCTGAATTTAACATAGCACCATAAAGTACAATTTTGATATATATCTTCTTTGTTTAAAAATAAGGAAAAAAAAATAAAGAATACCAAAAAAAAAAGAAAGACTCTTTATGTTTTTTTTTTTTTTTTGAATTACCAGTAGATTGACAATTTTGTATTTTATTTTATTCAGGTGGAACAGAGCTTCCTTCAGAGATAGGGGATCATTGTCAAAATTTGAAGACCAACCAGTTAAAATCTCTAGAATTTACAGGTCATAATAAAGGTATGTTCATGTATAACTTAAAATTACCTGCATGGTGCCTGTAATTGTCATTGCTCAGACTAAGACACAAATGCAGCTGTGATATGTTGATTTTCTGTCCCATTTTGTTTCTTAGCCTACTGGTACATGTAATTGGTCTGTCAGACCTTTTTTATATTTTGACATTGTCTCTTTGAGATAACATTACTGTAAGTGAAACAAGAAGTTTATTAGCTCACCTCGACGAAGTCGAGATGAGCTTTTCTCGCATAATCACCGGTGTAAGATTGACTTGTCCGGTGTGAGACAGCAGTGTGAGATTTTTCTGTCTTACACTGTGTATTACTACGCCGCGAACGATAACGTAAACATTCCGTCTTTATATAAAGAAATTGTAACAATGTTAAAAAATATTACATATACTTAAAATGTTGTCATTTAACTTATTAAGATAAACTTATTTTCATTCAAAATATTGTCGTATTTTCACTTTTTAAATGGCACTATTTTTAGATCGCGGAAGGATTCTTCTTGAATGAATGTGTACGCTATCGGATGGATAAGTTTTTTATTCCCAGTTTTTATCTATCTAATTAATTTACATGAACTGAAATTCATTTTATCAGTTTACACTATGTGTAAACCATTTTCAGGTACGCTCTCTCTGATGGTGTATTTAGAATTTTAATTAGATGGAAAATTAAAAGAATATATTTTTAGCCCTATCATGGCGATGTCATTGACAGGCAGTTATTTTGGATAAAATAATGCGAGAAAAATAATCATTCATTACTCACTCATGTGGGAATAGTGAAATTCCACCTCGGGGCCAAGATTCACGGTCTAGGACTCGGCAAAGCCTCGTCCTAGACCGTGAATCTTGTCCCCTTGGTGGAATTTCACTATCCCACACTCGTAGTAATGAATGATTCTATTAATGCTATACCCCCGGCGTCGGCGTCCCAGGTTAAAGTTTTAGGAGCAAGTCCCATTCCCAAGTAACTATAAGCCCTACCTGGACCAAACTTGCATGGATGATGCATCTAGGGATGGACACTACCAAACTTGCCTTGGATGCTGGATCTGACCTAGATTTTCCAGATGAGTGACCAGGTTAAAGTTTTAGGAGCAGGTCCATTCCCAAGTAACTATAAGCCCTACCTGGACCAAACTTGCATGGATGATGCATCCAGGGATGGACACTACCACACTTGCTTCGGATGCTGGATCTGACCTAGATTTTCCACATGTGAGACCAGGTTTAGATTAAGGAGTAGTCTCGTTCCCAAGTAACTATAAGCCCTACCTTGACCAAATTTTCATGGATGATGCATCTAGGGATGTACACTAACCAACCTGCTTCGAATGCTGGATCTGACCTAGATTTTCCACATGAGTGAATTTTAGCCATATTTTAACCAAATTAGCATGGATGATGTATCTAGGGATGGACACTTCCAGACTTGTCTTGGATTCTGAATCTGACGTACATTTTCCAGATGAGTGACCAGGGTAATTTTTTTGGAGTAGCTATATAATATTATGGCCTGTTATGATTAAACTTGCATAGATGGTGCATCTAAAACTGAAAACTTCCAGACTTGATTTGGATGTTGGAACTGACCAAAATTTTCTTGATTACTAAACAGGTCAAAAGTTTTTTGAGCAGGTCTATAATTAAATCAAACTTGCATGGATATTGATCTTGGGATGTACCCTAACTAGAAAAAAAATATGATGTGAAATTTGCCTTACATGTAGATAACATTCGTCGAGGTGAGCTTCGTAATCTTTGATTACCTATGTTTTTTTCTTTTAAGATGCATTATCTGGTCAAATTGAAAATCTGTCTCCAACAACAAGAGGAAAACTGCAGATTATCATAGAGAGTCTTAGTAACCACTCAGGTAAAAAGAAACAACTTCTGAAAATGATGTTAGTTTTCCAGTGCTGATAAGAAAATCTGTTGTATTGATCTCTTTAAACTCTATCTTTAAGCTGTGGTAGGTGAAGATGAAAGGGGACGTCCAACTGTACAGTACAGCCAAAAACAGTAAGAATATTGTACACCAGTCCTTGTTCTGTGTTCCTCTGTGTTTTGGTACTCTTCATTTCAGAGAGTTTGAAACAATTTTCTTAATCATCACAAGCCAAAAGGGGGTTTGGGGATGGGGGTGGGTGGGTGTAGGGTTCCACACTACTACTCTCTGAAACTAAGTTAGCAATTTTTTAAAATTAAACATTTGTTTTTGTACCAATGACTACTACTATCCATACAGATATACATGTATATCCTCAACATTTTCATCTCATCATTATGTACAGTAGACAGTTTTGCAAACATAAAATGAATGAAATGTTTAAACCATTTAAGTTTCACATCTTCAGAAGTAGCAAAAATGCAACTATTTTCCTCATATTAAAGAGTTGGATTGAAAGTTGTGGATGGATGTAGAGCACTTGTTAGAAAAAATGTAAAATTTAGAATGATTATAAAAGCTAGGTGATGATATATCTTACAACTATAATAGAGAAATGTGTGTGACATATACCAAGCTCATCCTGAATTAAAACAAGATATTTGTGACTATAACGGTAACAGCAACATATGCATTTTAATCTATCAAGGAAACTTTTCTGGGATGGTTCAAATGCAAACAAGATTGCTGTTCCAAAATCAGAACAAGACCTGAAAGCAAAAATGGATGTCTGTCTAGAAATGTTAGAATACCTTAAATTATCAAAAGCACCATCAGGAATTCTTCTTGACAAAACTAAGGTACACATGTAAAGAGTATAGCAAGGTTTCTTTTTATTTTAATGAAAAAAGGAAAGAATTAAGGTTGTAATCACTTTAATTTCATTTATGACCATTACAGCTTACAAATATTTGTAATTTTGAATGACTGTATAGAAATGTAAGCGAATGATTTTCCTGTTTTTACAGATTCAGGCAGACAAAGGGCAGTACAGAGAAGGCATAGAGTTTGAAAAGACAAAGGAAATCCTAGGTAGAGGCAATTCAGCAGGAGACATTGTGGTTATAAAAGACAAAGAGACAGAAATAGAGCATGCTCAAAAAACAGTAAGTGATGGTGCATTTCTAGTCAACTTGTTTGCCTGAAATACTTTCAAACTTTTGAAAAGAAAAAAAATATCTTTCTGATATCATACCTAGGTTGTCACTTTTATATATTACAGGCCTGTAGAAGGTGGGGGGGACCTGCCCCCCCCCCCCCCCCCACTTTTCCTGAGTATAGAATTTTGTTAAAGTAAATGTTCCCCCACTTTTTGATGTTGTAAGGTTGAACACTGGCAAATTCCAGGATTCTGACGGTAAATTAGCTTTTTTTCCCTTCTTTTTTTTTTGCTTGTCAGATAATTTTGGGAAGTTGCTCCCCCCCCCCCCCCCACTTTTGGTCCGTTTAAAGTTTTTTTTTTGTTTGCCAGATTTTATTCAGGAAGTTGCCCCCCCCCCCTTTTGAAACCGTTGATACGGGCCTGTATTATGCATATTCATGTTCATGTATATTCCATTCATCAGCCCATGAGACTTAATTCATATGACTTGTCATGTTGAGATTGCTTAATTCAGAATTATTATTCGTTATAAATACATTATTATGTAGATTATGATCTCAGTTTTCCGTCCTGAAGAAATCAAAGCATGGGTGGATCTAAGTGAGGATGGAATCAGCCCAGAACTTTACTTGTTCAGATTGGAGGGCAACAGAATAGTTGTTCACATGGAAAAGTTAGATAATGGTATATTGAAACTATACATGTATACTCTACAATTATGAAATATAAATATTCATAATATTTTCTACAAAAGGAGCTAGTTCAGACTTTCAGTATACTCTTTTACACACATATTTTTTAGTAATATATTGAAAAATTCTTGAGAAAATAGAAAAAAAAATTCTTGTCAGGGAAATATAATTTGTCAAACATACTCTAATGCCTGCTATAGAAACAAGTACATGTACTACCTTATTCTTGAAACTCACAATTTTCATATTTATGGTTACAGCTGTTACATTAAATGAGGTGATAAATGTCCACATGAACACCCTGATGCAGACAAATAGTTCACTGGTGAAGCCTTTCTCTCTGTTTGTTTTTAACAACATCCTTACTGTGGTACAGTCTATGCATGAAAGAGGGTGGACTCACAGAGACCTACACTGTAAGTTCTTATTTACGACTTTATGTACTGTCACTACTGTGTATATTTTTAAAAAAGAACATCAATATATTCAACAAACATAAGTTAAATTGCAATGGTAAAAGTGTTATTTAATTTTAGCTGGGAATGTTATGATACAGAAAAAGTCTGACTGTGAAGTGAAAGTGAAAGTACTAGACTTTGGGAATGCTGGGAGGATAGAAGATAAGGGTGGATATGCTGGAATAAAGTCTGATGTCCTCAATGCTGTTAGGAACTTCAGTGCATTGTATCTTGGAGAAGAATTTGAAAGTCAGACTGACCTTGAAAAAAACTGGAAACAGAAAATATTAGAAAGGGTACTGTATCATGTGTATATCACTTTTTATTCACAAGAACTTTTTTTCTTGGAATTACACAAGACCATCTCACAATTAATTCATTCTTGCAGATATTTTTGTTATTAATGAATAAATACAACAATAGCCAGAATTTGTGAAAATTTTGTCTCAATAAATATCACATGAGTTTCTTGTGAAAATAAGGTGTTATGAAAATTTGGTGATCTATTTAGAAAATACCATGATAACCAAATAAGAGCAATAAACATATCTTGAAAGAATGAAAATAAAATAATCAAATTTCTGTAAGCCATTGAAAATTTATATTTAGATGCAAGGATTACCAAATGAAGAGAAGGCTGAGATGTTCTGTTTATTTGAAAGTGCCCTGAAAGTTGTTACAACAGAGGACCTGGTTAATTTGAAGCAAACTGTAGATGAATTGATGCAATTAAGTAAGTATTATTATCATAATTAAGGCTCAAGTACCTCCAATTTTGGTGCAACCACTGTTGTGAAGCCAGAAAAGTAAAAAAAAAAAATATACAAATAAACAAACAAAAATCGCTGACCAGCTGTGATTAAGACCATATCAACAAGGAAGGAAAGATTTTAATTTGAGATGATCATTTAGATTCAGACATACTACAGTTGAACTTCGATATCTCGAACACTGATATCTCGAATGCCATGGATATGTCAAAGTGATTTGAAAGTCCCAACTACTTATTCTCTAAGTATTTTACCCTTTATACATGTGTCTCCAATCCTTGGATATCTCAATTTTTTTTCTTCGGTCCCATCAAATTCAAGATAATGAGGTTTGACTGTATCTTGAAAAGAAAGAAATTGAGTATTCAATTGCTATTCAATGAATTATCTTCATTTAAATTGAAGTTGCATGGGTAAAATATTAGAATTCCTTGCAGAACTGTTCAAATGTAAAGAGAGCACCACTTAACCAAGTAACAGTATAGATACGCACAGTATACTTGTAAATTCACAGAGCATAAATACAGTATGCTATGATTTATTTGCATTTAGATATTGAGGGCAAAGTGAACGAGATTATGAGAGAAGTAGTGCCTCTGCTTTTTCCAGATGTGTCTACTCAAAGTGAAGAATCGGTAAATTTGATCAAAGTTCTTAAAACCCCGGTAAATTCTGAAAAAACACATACTCAAATGTCCTGTAAACAAATAATCATAGATTTGTCTAGAAATGTACGTCATGTATGATGCTATTTTACTGCAGGACACAGAAGATGCTGTAGATTTTGCTCCACCCACTCTGGACAGATTCATGAAGAAGCTAAGGAGATCCATTATGATTGGATGCTGAAAGAAAAGTGTTCTCAAGCTGCCTTTAATGCTTTTAACCTATAAGCTCCCTTCTTGTTCAGAAACAATTTGTTTATGTTACAGTTGAACTTTGTTATCTCAATCATCGATATTTCTATTCAAATGGATATATTGAATTCATTTGGAAGTCCCAGTCACTTTTTCTCTATGTATTTTATCCTCAATGTCTCAAACCCTTGGATATCTTGAAGTTTTTCCATGGTCCTATAGATTTGAGATAACAAGGTGTGATTGTAGTTGCATTTTTGCTTCGGTCA